TAGATTTAGTAGTAACATCATGCCTCTTCGAGAAAGAATGAAAGTCCAAGGAAAGGTCCCCCATTCAACCTCCTCTACAAAAACCAAATACCGAGGGATTTACATCCACCCCATCAGAGGAGAGAGAAGGTAGAACACATGCTACTTTTGACAAGCATGATAAGAAGATGTATGAGATTGTAGCCATTATCAAACACCTTGCCATTACCTTGGATGAACTCAAAGGCACAATCAGCATTATGGAAAAGGTCAAGTGAGGCTGAATGCTAATCTCGCCATAGAATTCGAAAGTAGAAGAGAGTGGGAGCGAGACATGTTTACCAAGTTCGAGAAAATCCATGAGTCTAGAGCACAACTAGTGGGCGAGGAGAAGGATGGTAACAAGGATGATGAAGATGAGATAGTAGAGATTGAATCAACTATACCATAAGGCTGCATGAGACTTATTTCATGCTATTCTTTTATGATTTTTTTAATATTTTGTTTTTTTAGTCTCTTTAACTTATACTACTTCAGTATGGTAGAATCTTCTTATTCAATAAAGCCGACATTGCTTGGGTTCGAGTTTTCTTTTTCAGACAACAAATGAGGTAACCATATTCCAACCTTTCTATAGCTCTCTATTATTTTTAGTCCATTGAGGAAAATGTCAATTTTAAAGTGTAGGATGAAATTGTGTGATACGTGGTACTTCATATTTAATCATACAAATTTGAAAGTTCTATCCAAGTTCAATAGTTATTATATACATGAAAATTTTCTTAAAGATATTTTTCATCTAATAACTTTTCGTCATCCCCTACAAGCATGTTCACTACCCATCTTACTTTGAATCAATGATTCTAAGGAATATCACCTAATCTAGGAAGGACAATGTAGTGACTATGAAGGATGTGTTCGTCAATGGGTATAATGACTATTTGATATGTTTGAATGCAATGTGATTTAATTCATGTCTGGCTTTCTGATTATCCATAAAAGTCTTACTTTTCAAAGTTTTTCCATATAGTGAACTGGATCTTCTATAAAATGCAACAAGCTGCCTATCAAAACATGGTTGTATCAAGAGAAATTTTCCATGTTGTATTGGGAAATAAACTGTGGGGTAAGCCCAACGTGTGTGACATCTTTTCATTGCACGAAATCGGATTTTGGAAGAGATACTAGTGGCTATTCATTGAACCTGTTCGAAGCTAATTCTTCTCTAATACATATAAAATTTCCACCCGTTGAATTGATAGTCAACTTGAGAATGTGTTTTTAAGAGCACGGATTAAGCTTCCGACACCGTTTAATTTCATCGATCCTCCTCACGAATTAAGGTATAGGATTAAAAGAAGTACTCTAACAATGACAAAGATACAAAAATTGCTCTTGCTCAACTAATAAGGGTCTAATACTCTAGTAAATCTCCTAAAACAATAAAAAGAAAAAATGTTTATAAGAAAAATTAGAAAAAAAAAAATTGTATGCTAAAGAAAAAGTGCTTAAAGAACATGTCAAGTGATGGCATAAGCATTCAAGAGCTAAAACAGTTTTAAAAATGTTTCACCCTATGTGTTTTGAGACTCCAATTCATGGTTAGTAGTTTTAACTTGAGTTGGATGTATTCTTGCATGTTAATGTGGTTATGATTCTCTTTTGTTATTGCTGACCTTGTAAGATCACTTTTGATCCACTACCTAAGATCGGGATTGAGTAATGATCTTTAGTTTTCATTGACTTGTATGATAGTGAGTAGTGTTTCCATGGGAACAAGCAAATGTCAAGTGTGGAGTATTTCTAATATCGATTGATGCACAACAACATGCTTTGGTGGAGCAGTAGAGGCAGAGCTTTGAGAAATTACAGAGCCAACACGATTACATGCAAGAGTTTCAACAGAGGTTCAACAAGATCCTTTCTAGACATGGACTAGGATTAGGTGACTAGTAGGAGTTCCTTATCTCTTATTTGATGGATGATCCTTTATTTTATTTGTTTTTTTCTTTAACTAGGAGCTGGAGCATTAGCTCTCCTGTAATAGGGTCACACGTTCTTTTGTACATGCTCAGCATTTAATCTTCTTCTCTAAATCTTGGAAAAAATCCAAAACTACCACTGTTTAATTTTTTTTTTATAAAACTACCACCCATACTGAAAAAATTTCAAATCTACCACCCTTAATTGAAAATCGCACCACGAAGGGGGGGGGGGTTACAATAAAAACCGCATTGCAAGGTGGCGGTTTACCATGGAACCGCACGCCAGAGGAGCGGTTTGTGTTTTTTGGGAAAACGCTCTTCGAAGGAGCAGTTCCCATGGCTACTCTAGCACAAACCGCATGCTCTGGGTGCGGTTCTACCTCGGAAACATAAACCGCCCCACAGGCAAGCGGTTTATGACGTCGATGCACAAACCGCAACACCTCTACACCCCCAGCGGTTTGTGCCTCAGCCCCATTCCCCCGACATCCGACATGTCGACATGCAGGAGGTTGCAGGGGGGCGGGGCTGCATGCCAGACTAAAACCGCTCCCCCTGCGGTTTTCGGTGTAAAATTTGCCTATAAAAAGCAGCCCCGGAAAACTCAAAATCTTCACTTCTCTCCTTCTTCTTCTTCTTCTTCTTCTTCTTCTTCAAATTTCAGTTGTGCACCTTTAATTTTTTTAGTTTTTGCGATTAATGTTAATTCATAAGTTTGTTTTGTATTACTTTTCATTGTCATTTGTACATACTTTTTTTCGTTAAAAGCGGGTAGAATTCGTTCCCATTCTAAAATTTGGCAACACTGATACCGAGTTGGATAAGGTGGGTATAATGCGTTCTCGACCCAATTCAATGATTACAAAAGTGGATAAAATTCATTCATAACCCAAAAATTTGTTCCCAGCCGAAAATTTGGCAACACCGATACTGGGTTGGAAAAGGCGCGGGTATAACGCGTTCTCGACCCAATTCAATGATTACAAAAGTGGATAAACTTTTTGGGTTCAATTGTCATAAGATGAAATATTTAAAATATTTTATTAATGACCCAATTCGTTAATTACAAAAGCGGGTAGAATTCGTTCCCGGTCTAAAATTTGGCAACACCGATACCGGGTTGGAAAGGCGGGTGTATCGACCCAACTCAATGATTACAAAAGTGGATAAAATTCATTCATAACCCTAAAAGTTCCTAAACTCGTTGGTGTCGCAAAATTGCACACCGAACCCAATCGTTAACACCGAGTTCAACTCGCTGAACAAAATAAAAGGAAATAAAATTAAAACTTGTTCCCGACCCAAAAAAAAAAATACCAAGTTCAAATCGGGTTGAATTAGTTTGAATCCATCTGAAAAGGAAATAAATTAGTGTAATGAAAATTACAATAACCCAAAAAAGTCCCTAAACTTATGGTTAACTACAAATGGTCACATGCATGTTAAGATGAACAAAATGGTCACACCGAACCCAATCGTTAACACCGAGTTCAACTCGCTGAACAAAATAAACGGAAATAAAATTAAAACTTGTTCCCGACCCCCAAAAAAATACCAGGTTCAAATCGGGTTGAATTAGTTTGAATCCATTTGAAAAGGAAATAAATTAGTGTAGTGAAAATTACAATAACCCAAAAAGTCCCTAAATTTATGGTTAACTACAAATGGTCACATGCATGTTAAGATGAACAAAATTACAAAAGTGCCACTCCTTGGATGTGACTCTAAAGAATAGTAAAAAAGTTGTTTGTTCTTTTAATATAGTAAAAATAATAATTGGCCCGATTCGTTGCATTCCCTCTCAAACAAAGTAGTGAGAAGAAATCGAGAATATGGTCGCGACTGTTTCGTATATTCCGAAAGTTTGTAACGGAAATGGCTAGATTTATAATAAAACCATCCAAATTATGGCTATTTCTTGTATTTCAAAAGTTGTGGCTATAATTGTCACAAACGTGAAAATTGTGGCTACGGAAGAGTATTTTGCATAAAATATTTTTAAACTATATTGGGACGTGGCAAATGAGGCTCAGTTGTCGCTGACGTGTGCATCATTTCGTTTGGCATCCTAATTAGCGTGGCGTTAACCTAACTAACGGAATCTCTAACACCATTATTTTGTAACTGAAATGGCTAGATTCGTCAAACAACCATCAAAATTTTGACTATTTCGTGTATTTCAAAAGTTGTGGCTATATCTGTTATAAACGTAAAAATTATAGCTATGCAAATGTATTTTTGTTTAACCACCCCCTAGGTTAAGGTAGCAAAGATGAGAAAAGGAAAACACCTTTTTTTCATGCACACAAGAAACCTCAAAGGCGACAATGATGAAAAGGATAGTTAGCCGGAGAGGAAGCCAATATTATTTCTCCCACGCTACACGATAGAAGCAAACTGCAAGTCCATATTCCGAAAAAAGTGAAATCGAGAGCTCAATTTTTTTAATGTCATATATTTTTCTGGCGAGAAATGAAAGAGATAAAAGAGAATGTTTTTTTTTTGGTTTTTTAAAGGCAGTTGGGGGAAAGATTAGGAATTAGCACAAGGAAGGGGCGTAATATGGTGGGTTTGCTTCACGCAAGCAGCTAACTAGCTAAATGGGGTTAGTCCAACGAGGGAAGAGATAGATAGATAGATAGAAGGTTTGCTCTCTCGCGTGGCTTTAAAGGCTTTTCATCCCCATCCCTCCCCCTACCGTTTTAAATCCCTCTTTCTTTCCCCATCCCTCTTTTTTTTTTTTTTTTTTTTACCCAAAAAAATAATAAGGAACACATAAACCAGGACTAAACAACTAAACTCTGCTGCCACAGCACCACCCCCAGAAAAACAAAAAGAGGAACACTCTCCCCTCCTCTCTCTTTCTCTCTCTCTCTCTCCCACACACAAACCCCAACCAGAATCAAACCCTAGAAAGCAACGATCCCACTTCCTCCTCCTCCCGGCTTACTAATTATGTGAGAGTTGCGGTGCGTGCATGCGCGAGTTCATCTGGTAGCGAGACCGATCGAAGTACTGTTGGTTTAGGTAGGTAGGATGAGCGGTGCGGCGGGAAGCAGCCGCGGCGGCGGAGGAGGGGGAGGGAGCGGTGGCGGCGGCGGCGGAGGAGGGGGATTGGGCGGGCCGTGTGGGGCGTGCAAGTTCCTGAGGAGGAAGTGCGTCCAGGGATGCATCTTCGCGCCTTACTTCGAGTCGGAGCAAGGTGCGGCGCATTTCGCGGCGGTGCACAAGGTGTTCGGGGCCAGCAACGTGTCGAAGCTGCTGCTCCACATCCCGCTCCACAAGCGCCACGAGGCCGTCATTACCATCTGCTACGAGGCCCAGGCCCGCCTCAGGGACCCCGTCTACGGCTGCGTCGCCCACATCTTCGCCCTCCAGCAACAGGTAATTTAACTTAACCTACCTAATGCAATCATTTGGGTTGTGGCATGATGATTAGTAGCTAATTAAGCATATCTAGGTGTATAGAGTAGGTTACGGAATACGGATCGCTCGCTGGCCGCTAGGAAAGCGGACAAAATCAGTCATCAATTCCTTGCTTTGGCTTGCTTTCTTTCTGTTGGGGTTTTTTTTTTTTTTTTTATGATGATCATCGTTTTGACGGTTTCTTTCTTTCGCCTCATCACCTTTCATCCGTTGAGAACCAGTCCAGGGGCTTTTAATGAAAGGGGTAAAGAAAACGTAACGTTCTCCTTCCCATCCCAAGAAAAAAAAAAGACAGAGTAATTCTGGGGTTCCCTTCTCTCTCTCTCTCTCTCTCTCTCTCTCTCTCGCTCTGCAAAATCAATCAGCTCAATGTAACAAGTCTGTGCTGGTGGAGTTTGGGTGTTGATTTTGTGGCATTCAGTGACAGCTGCGACTGTGTGGCGGGGGAACAGTACAAGTATGTAGCTAAGCTAGGGTGGGTAGGGGGATGGTCAAGGAGACATGGTTTTATTTATACATGGAGCTAGTTTGAAACGTCTTATTCATTCATTCATTCAGCAACCTCTATAGGAAGCTACTGAAATCAAGGAAGAAAAAAAACGTAGACGAGGCAGTTTATTAGTTAATCCAACCTTTTTCTGGTTTTAAAATTTCCTAGACTGTATATAAATACGCGATCCTGGTGGAGCAAGCTCAGCTCAGCTAAGCTTTCTGCGGGGGAGGTGAGCAATCTCGCAGTTATTGAGGAGATGGTCGGTTGTTTTGTTTTAATTAGTTGTTTTGGTCTCGACTTATGCAGCCTAATCCTAATTAATATGAAAAAAAACACCCAAAATGAAGAATTGGTAATCATCATCACTTGAATTAAAGCAGGGTAGCTGGCGGCATTTGCAAAGTACGGAATTACGATACTAGAATATGTGTACACTACACACCACCCCTTAAACCCTAATTAAGTGGAAACGGGCAGCTGGGAGCAGCAGTAATAGCTAGTATTAGCAGACAGAGAACTCAATCGAATGCCGAAATCAATTCTATTAATTCCCTTTTCCTCCGAATTGTGGTTTGTGTGCGGGGGCGCAAAACACCAGACACCCAAACTGTTTATCGGGATCTTGTCCTGTCAACCGAGTCACGGCACCACGGCCCTCACTTTTCCTTTAATTAATTTTATATATATAAATAATTAACAAGGTTGTGAACCCGCGGGTTGACCCGGACCCGGTCGAGCTAGTGGGTCACGGGTTAATGGGCCAACCGTTTTAGCCCAGTTTGGCCCGGAAATATAGAAAGAGTCAGTATATTGTACTTATCCTCATAAATTATATCAAATCTTATCTAACATATGAGTTATAACATATAATATTACACCAAAATAACGTATCGTACTTAGATCCAACATATAGTGAAAATTCACACACACTTATATAACATAAATATTCAAATGTTCAACTTAGTATTCCAAAGATTGAGTTAGGCGAAAAGAAAAATTGGAAAATAGGCACATTTCGCAAATTAAAGAAAAAATTGACACAATTTGACCTCCAACCCGGTACCTTATAGCGGTCGGCCCGGCAGGTGCGTGCCGCCCGTTTTTCTCACCGAGTCAGGGTCAAATTGGGTCGACCCGTGGGTCAACCCGCGGGTTGACAACCTTGATAATTAAAAATTTCTTCCCTTTAATTCACTGTGCTACTTTCTTCATCCCATAAAATTCCAAACTATTCCTGGTCTTAGCTTAGCTAGTTACATAAATGCATGTTTTGGTTTCTCCGCTTTACGCAGCATAACTTTTCCGCGCTTCTTCTTCGAGTATCCGATCCAAATTAAGCCTGGCCTCCACCTTAGGCAAGTCAAGGAAGTGTTTATTTCGTGGGTTTGAGTGCATTTTTAGATGCGTTGGATCGAGGGAGACAGAGTTGTGTACGTAATGTATGGTTAGGAGTTTACAATGATTGATTTAATGAAGTACGTAAGTCATGAGAATGAGATCCGAATGAAGTTGCATGATCGATCGATTGGAGAGAAGTACCTCCACTCCATTTCGCCTTGTTCGATAGGCATTATTAATAATAATAATAATAATAATAATAATAATAATAATAATAATAATAGTAGTAGTAGTGAGCTCCTAGAGTAACTAGGTTATTTTTCAAGTCAGCTTATTTGATTTTTGGAATAAATCTACACCATTAAAATAATGTCATTTTACAACTTTTATGTAAGATAAATATGAATTACACAAAGATTATAGAATGATAATTATATGTTACGTAGTGGTTAAATTAGACGTATTATGTAAAATTTTCGTACTAGTTTAACAATTTATGTAATGCGATTCGAAATGTCATTAAATGAAAGGAGTATCAAATACATATCAATTACAAAACTTCCTACATAACGGTTAACAAAAATTTTGTGCAAGGCTTCCACAGTAGCTTTGTTGTTTATGTAACAAAATAGTGTATATATAACTATTACGTAAGATAAACATATGTAAGTAAATATTATGCAGTAATTAACTATTATAGCTATGTAATCTTACCTAAAATCACCTATTACATAAGCTACACATACGCTTAAGTAAGTCATTACATTATAACTTTTATAATATAAATAATGTAATATATGATCTATCTACAGTCCCGTTACTTCAAAGGAATTCCTTAACAATAATACATTAATGAACAATGAATGCTAACAACAAAAATTCTAATTAATGTTCCTGAATTGGTCAAAAGAAACCTTAACTTGCCAGCAACAACCATGTTCTATATATATACATATATTCAATCGCACACTCTTCGACCCATTTGTTTGACTCCAAACCAAATACATACGTAACCCCCCAATGTTTTTGTCTTTACTCCTAATTAATCTGTCAAATCTTCTATGTGATCCCTTCCCCATTAGCAAACCACCTTGTAATTTTGCTTTGCTTTACTTTCCATTCTTCATATTTAATTCATACATGTAATTTGAAACCTGCTAGTTGGCCAGCTTGTTCGTCTTCCTTTATTGGTTTCCAATACAGATTTGTCCCATGCCCTCAATATAAGGTACACGTATACGTACCAGGCAGGCAGATGTACTTGCTCCTTTATTTCTAATAGGAGTGGCTATACGGTCCGGTCCAGTTAAATTGGTTCGAATTGACTTGGTACCAGTCTGGTTTTTGCGGGAATATTAAGAACCAAAGGTTGTATTGGATACCGTCCGGTCTTGTCCCGGTCCGGTCCCAATTCAGTCCTGATTTTAGATTGAGCTTGTGGGGATTTGAGTGGCCTGAGGACTCAAAGGGTGAGGAGTTAGTTAAATTTTGGGTGGTGAGCTCTCTTTTCTGGTCTTTATCCGGTTTTCGATCAGATCCCAAACGATTTTTTTACCTCAAATCTAAGTCCGAATATTGGATTGGATTGTTTGTTATCCGAATTCGGTCCTGTCCAAGTTATACCATCCAATTTCAGATAAATCCAAATAACCCCGACCAAATAGCCCGCCCTAATTAATTTCTAAAAATAATGCATTGTTGCTTGATGCACGCAAGTCGTAACTTCACCTCTCCGTAACTGACATTTTTTGGAATTCCCGAGCGGCCTTTAGTTTTTTTTTTTTCAACCTCATGATTTTGCTTATATAGTCCGGACTTGGCATGATGAACAGACTAAAACAGAAAACTCAGTTAATCATTCATAACCAAATATAGTTATACCATTTAAAGTGCTAATTCTTTTGTTTGTCTTAGAAGGAAGGATATAACACTAAGCTCCTCTGACGCTGAGTTGCAAAATGAATATTATATGTAGGTAGTGAACCTGCAAGCGGAGCTGTCCTACTTGCAAGCCCATATGGGAACGGTAGAGGTCCCGCCACCACCGCCCGCCGCGCTCCTCGCACCGCCGGCTCTAACGATCGCCGATATCCCGGCCGCTTCAATCCCCGCCAGATACGACCTCTCCTCGCTATTTGATCCTCTGGTGCAATCCTCGTGGGCGGCCATGCAGCAGCAGCAGCAGCAACGTGCCGCGCAGCAATTGGAGCCACGCCATCACCAGTTCGGAGGAAGCGGCGGCGGCGACGGAGGAGCCATGGCCTCGTCGTCGTACGGCACTGGCGGCGGCGGCGATCTCCAGTCATTGGCGCGTGAGCTGCTTAGTAGGAACGGCTCTCCGCCTCGTGGGGGTCCCATAATGCATTGTAACGACGCCTTGTCATCATCGCCCTCCATCTCAAAGTGAGCGATGGCGCCCCAAGAACAAAAAAAAAAAAAAAAAAGGAAGGAAGGAAGGGAGGAAGGAAGATGAGGCTGATCGATCTTGCATGGTCGGTCACGGCCATGATTGTGTAATTTGCAGCGGAACTTGTGTACTGATTGGAAAGAGACAAGAGAGTAAAGTTGGTTCGGTGGACTGGAAATGCATGGCGGTCTTTTAACAAAAACTAAACTTAAGCAGCAAAGTTCAGCTTCATTTTTTTCTTTCTTTCTCTTATGAAATACAATATAACAGTCAAATCTTTTATTTAAAAAAACTAATAGCCAATCTTTTCAAAAAATAATATAATAGCCAAAACAGAAAAATTTCCAACGAGTCAAATATTATCAACTCTGATGTAGCAAATTGTACCGACATAAACCCTCACGTGGATGTTGCATTTTTTACTGTCAGCAAAAATGTGGAGCCAAAACAATTTAATGGCCAACTCTGGGAGAGCCCTCAAGTTTATTGGCTATATTTTATGGAATTAAATTTGGATTCTCAATTAGTCTGTAAAAATATGTTGCATTGATCATAATCTACACAATGACATCTATTTTGATATATTTTAACGTCTACAATTTAATTTTATAATGGCGTGAATAAACACCAAGTTGCGTGACTAAACAATATTGATTGCAACACTCTTACGTGAATAACGTCAATATGGCGTGAATAACGCAAATATGAAGTGAATAAATAAAAAATGCGTGAATTAGGTGTTCTTATCACCTAACCTAACGTGACAAAAAACTTGATTATTGAGAATATGTGAAAGATTGCAGTAGCTATATGGAAAAAAACTGTTGGGGCAAGTTGACCCTTTGTATTTGTCTCTAACTATATATTTTGAGAATATGTTAAAGATTGCAGTAGCTTTATGAAAAAAACTGTTGGGGCAAGTTGACCCTGTATTGGTTCTGCTGAGGATGCGTAGTATTACAAGAAGATTTAGGGAATTTTTCCCAAATTACCATCCTTTAAAATAAATTTACAAAACTACCACCCAATCCAACAAAAATTTAAAAGTTCCACTATTAATAAAAAACAGTGCCTCGAAGACACGGTTCTCCTTCAAACCGCGCGGGGAACAGGCTGTTCTCCATTGGGCAGATGCAAAACCGCTCCTCTACGTGGCAATGCATGCAACCGTTGGATTGGGAGGCGATCTGACGGCTAACCGCCTGCCAGCGGAGCGATCCGCGTCCACCACTGGTAACCGTTCCCCGAGGGTGCGGTTTGCGCGTCGGGAAAAGAAAACCGTGTGCTGGAGGCGCGGTTTTTGGTGGGGTAAAAATACCAAACTGCTCCCCCCCCCCCCCACCAGGCGGTCCTCCACCTATAAATACCCACCCCTTTCCTCTTATTTTCTTCACACCAAAACCAATCTCCTATCTCTCTCTAAGTTTATCACTCTACACATCCCCCTCTGCACCCAAAAACCTTAGAAATAGTGGTTTGTTGGTTGCGGCTAAGTCCGATTTGCCCTCAAAAAACTTTTCTTTGGTTTTCATTAAAAAACCGTCGAATCACTGTCCGGTTCCTAAAAATATGGCCGATTTTTTCGAAGAAGAGGGTATTTACTATGATAACTATCAACCGGTACGTACTCATTTTACCTCATTTTTGTTGTTGTTGTTGTAATGATTTTATTTAATCTATATACTAATTGATTTATGTTGTTGTTATGCTATCGTAGGTTGGGGAGGATGTTGAAATGCCAATACACAACGTATAAATCATACATCAAATATTTCAAAAGTCAATCATTCTCATTTAAATACGTATTATTTATCATAGTCGATTAATTAGTACACCTAATATATCATTTTATCTCCCGAGCCAGGGTGGGTCCCGGGACCCACCATCTAGCCTTCTCCCTCCGCCCTAGCTGCTGCCGGTGCCTTCTTCTTGGCGACCGTCATCAACTTCTTCCCATCAGCCTTCTTGCCCTCTTTCTCGTCATTTTTCAGTGACCCGACAAGCGTTTCGAGGCCTTCTTCTACAATCTAGCGATTGAGGATCTGAATCGAAAATTCAGAAAATAAGGCTTGCTTCTCCAGTCATACTGTTAAGTGACACCGTTAAAGGGATGTACGAAAGTGGTTATTTTGTGTATTTCAAAAGTTGTGACTATAACTATCATAAACGTCAAAGTTGTGGCCGTAACTGTTACAAACGTCAAAGTTGTGGCTATGAGACTGTATTTTGTATTTTTTTTGGTTAATCCACATGGATCGCCAACTCAGCTCTTCCGCCAGTCTAGTCAAACTATTAAGTGACACAGTTAAAGAAATGGACGGAAATAGCTATTTTGTATATTTTGAAAGTTGTGCCTATAATTATCACACACGTGAAAGTTGTGACTATTAAAGTGTATTTTGTCAAAATAATATAACCAACAATTGCTTTTCATGTTTATCCTTCATCTACCCCTTTCCGAGTTTCCAAGTCTTGTCTTTATAAACACACATCTCAATCTGCTCTTTATTGATTATTAAATACTCCTAATGTGTACTACTGCAAACCGGATTGGGTTCCATGTATACCCCAATACTAGGGATGGCAATGGGTCGGGTCAGGGGCGGATAGTGAATATCCGTTACCATACCCATACCCACATGTGAAACAGGTAGAAAATCAAAATCATTCTCATATCCGTTTGCGTTTCGGGTATCCACGGATATCCATGAGTAATAGTTTCTCTTCATAACTTCAACCAATATGTTAACATTCATACGTATTCTTACATTACGTAAGAGGAAAAGTATGACAATAATTCACTAGAATGAGGAAAATTAATTAAAAAAAGATAATTTCATGAAATATTATATTTATATGCTAAATATAAAATATATATGTTAGAGAAAAATAATGATTATTTCTAGACAAAATACATATGCATGTGTATAATCGGGCGGGTTCGGGTTGGATAGTGAGAAACCCAAGCCCACCCATTACTCGCAATATTCGGGTTCGGGTTTTACCCGTACCCACTAAATGTCCTTCGGGTTTGGGTTTTACCATACCCTATTAGGCCGGATTCGGACGGATATCCACGGTTACGGATATTTTTGCCATCCCTACCCAATACCCTATGGTTATGTAAAATTTCTTAATCCAATCCCATTTTTAATTTGAGAAAAAAAGAATTAAGGAGGATTTTACTTTGGTAATAATTTCAAACAAATTATTGCCATATTTATACTTTTCACATGTTCATTTAAAATTATTTTTATTGTTCACAATTCATTTTTTTTAATTATGCTAAGAAATTACAAGCATTGTGTACTTGATATGACATAAACTATCACAAAAAAAGAGGGCTAGTTAAATATTAGGGCTAATACCACTAGGAAACCCGAACTATAAACTTTGTGTCATTTGTGTCCTAAAGTATCCGATATGGCAATTGTGTCCTAAACTATTTCTCTGTTAGAGTTGACCAGCGTTGACCGTTAGTTTTTAACAGAAAATCCAGAAAGCGCTGATGTGGTATCTGAAGTGGAATTTATAATATTAATTTATAATTATTTTTCATATAAAAAAAGAAAATTAGAAAATTAAATAAAAAATAGGGAATGAAGCCTTCCTCTCCGAATCAGACAGATCAGAGGCTTGATTGATCTCTTTCTTGAACGAGATCAGAGAGTCCGACAGAGAAATCATAGACCTATGGGATCATATCTGTGGATCCCTCGAGCTCGTTCAATCTCCGTCGAGGACGTCTCCAAGAAACGGTCGATGGATCTACCTGCTCATTAGGTCAAGAACCTCCAACCCGGGTCGCAGCCTCCGCCAGTAGAGCTCCATCAGCACCGAGATAAACCCTCCATCGACGTTGGTGACGAACCTCGGGTAGGCGTAGAAGTTTTGATCCGATCTCAGGTCGAGCGTCGCCCGGCCCTGCTAGGTCAGAACCTGGCGCCTGATTTCGTCCGAAGGAACTTCACGGCGGCGACCGGACAGAGGATGGAGGCCTAACCTTCTTAATTTCCCCCAAACTTAACCGCCCAACCTTCTTCCCACGCCGGTCAGATTTCTCAATGGTGGATTCTGGGTGGACGGATTCCAAGAGACGGCGAGCAGAGGGCGAGGCTTTTCTTCCTCCTCTGCATTCGGCGGCTTCTTCATAGGGCGTCGCTTTTCTTCCTCCTCTGCATCCAGTGGTTTCTTCATCAGGAGGTGGTGACGATTCAGTTCAGGAAGTTGTGGAGAAGGTTTGGCTAAATTCGCCGGAGTAGTGGAATCGAAGAGGGGAAAGAGATCCGGAGTGGCGGATTCGGAGAAGGGAAAGCCGAAAGAGGCTGTCAATTATTTATTAATTATTTTAATTATTTTTTTAAGCAATAAGGAAAAAGTGAGTTTTTAAAATTATTTTTAATGATTTTTAAATTTTATTTTTTATTTAATTTTGAATTAAAAAATGAGGTGTCAATGACATGGCATCTACGTGGCTGCCACATTTTTGTCATGTCAACAAAAGTCAACATTAAGTTGACCATCGTTTGGTCAACCGTTATCTATAACGGTCAACAAAATTGTCAGGACATAAGTGACACATAACTATTATACATTGGGACACAATTGTCATATCGGATACTTTAGGACACAAATGGCACAAAGTTAATAGTTCGGGTTTCCCAATGGTATTAGCCCTAAATATTATATGTTAGGCGATATAGTTGTGATAGTTTGGATGATATTGTTGCATATGACAGAAACTTTACTAAAAAGTAATATATAACTCATTTATATACATTTATCATAAAAATCACATAGGGTAAACTATAATACACCAACTTTCTTAATTAAATTTATCGTATTAATGTATTATACATATATTGATAATTGTTTGGGGATCAAAAGCATCAGACTCTCGGTCCAAATACTCTATTGGGTCGGGTCATTTCGGGACAAGCGGATCATTTATGATGAAGAGGATGAGCTTCAAGAGAATGATTTGGAGTTGCAGAGTGGAACCATGCAGTACCAGATACGAGATAGATCTTCCAAAGAACAGGGCTTTTTTCGAATAAGCCAATTCATTTGGGATCCTGCAGATCCACTCTTTTTCCTATTCAAAGATCAGCCCTTTGTCTCTGTGTTTTCACATCGAGAATTCTTTGCAAATGAAGAGATGTCAAAGGGGCCTACTCTACATAGATTAGGTATACAGGCATTCCAGCCTATTTTAGTGGAGCATAATAAACCTTCTGCTACTGGAGCATGTTCTACAACCCTTAAACCACACTAGTCAAACAATCCACTCGCTATATTCACCAAAGACCTAATGTCCTAGACAAAGATAAAGACGCTCTAGGGTTGCCTCAAGGCTAGACCCGCCCGAAGAATGGAGTAACCCATTCCTCCTGACCCTAGGCACCAAGGGCATAACTCCTCAGTTAGCGTAAATGGGCAGACGGCCAGAGGGTGTATCTTGATTTGCATAGCAGATAAGAGCACCTGGTGACAACTAGCCCATGGCTCGAGACTCATCTACGTAGTAAATTTCACAATGGCATCGGCCACCTTAGAGAAACAAGCTTCACATATCACAACTCCATGTGAGGATGGTCCCCATATGCAGAAGGAATTATGACCTTTATAGTGTTAGTTAGAATTTGAGAATCACGAGTGACAGACGGAGGGCATATTCATCCTCATATTGGCCCAACGGACCAGATCCAGCTGATCAGACAAGCTATAACCCTTAAGGCCTCCCACCTTCCTATAAATATTGGGCCTTCAACCTCATTCGAGGTAACGCATTCTCTCTCATTTTATTCACGTACCTTCTGTATCATCTATATCCAATAGGTTTTCCATCACTGACTTGACCGTCAGATGGCATATCAAAGGTGAGTCGCACACCTTTTCAATCAAGCATTTTTCCACCTCCAACGATGGTACTGAATCTAAATTCTATTGCTTTGGTTCTTTTTATAAGGTCAATTCAAAAGATCTTACCTTAAACAATTGGCGCTCAACGTGGGGCCTTGCTAGGACAAAAGTCCTTCTAAAATACACTCACCAAACCCAAGAAAGCTTTCCTTCTTCATTCAAAAACATCTTCCACATGATGTTGGATCCCAATAACCAAGTAAGAGGTAAAGCACAAGTGGACGAGAATCAGTCCTCGTTAGGCGTGGAATTGCTCTTGCCCAAAATCCAATGTCTATCCTTCAATTCCACGGTTGTGAAATTGGCTTTCTGACCGTGGATTTTGATTGGTCACGGTATAATCTTCAGGCTGCTCGCTTGGTGTGCAGGAAGCTCTCAATCGATGATCCAACGCCTTGCACGATGCTCAGAAACACTTCTACTTTCCCTCCAACTCCTACCTTTCCTCAGATGTGTCCCAAACAAAACGACTAAGCCTCCAAAGTAGGTGCCACGAACTGTTTCCTAGACTTCACCAAAGTTCCAAGTTCTTCCCTTGCCTTGGTTTCTTCTTTGAACATCAATGAAAATGATTTTGAATCACAATCCAGGATCACATCATCATTCCCTTAGTATAGGAACTCATGTTATTAGCAATTCGGATCAAGGTCTTCATTACTGGATCCCTAACATCGATTAATTTAAGTGTCGGGGGTGGCGCCTTTTAGCATCCCATTTTCCCGGGGGGGAAAGGAGCATTGAACACTAACTAAGCAAAACGTAGGTAGGTACACATTCAAACAGCCAAAGCCGGTTTGTCTCCATGGAAGGTACAAAATAGAGCCATCAGAACTGACTAATGATTCAATTGTGCACTTTCATCAATGAAAGACGTTTACAGTTTTCTCTTTCCCAGTTAACTACATGGATGAATGTTATATCATTCGAGAACCTCACTATTGAATTCTCCAGCCATCCTTGGAGTGCAACTATCCAGCCAGAGGATTGGCATGTATAGTTACATGGTTGATCCTTATCTCTGCTAGAGGTTTGTCCCCTTGCCCTGTTTGTGTCTAGATATAAAACAAAAATCACAATCAATTACTGAGAGCATCAACGGGTTCAAATCACTGCTAAGAAGATAGGGTGGCAAAGAACAGTGTACATAAGTAATGGTATACCTTTTCCATTATATCAAGGACTTCAAATCCGTGAATTACTTTGCCGAATATAGTATACAACCCATTAAGATGGGGCTGCTTTGCATAGGTGATGAAGAACTGGCTTCCATTCGTATTAGGCCCGCTATTAGCCATTGCCAGCATCCCCCTAGCGTTATGCTGGAAAAGAGGCACATGATATTTTGCAACTATTAATATCATACAGCCAACAGCAGACAGTAACAAAATTTGAACCCAAGGATGTTTCATACAATCATAGGAAGATGGAGAAATTCATCAACAAAATATTTGGTCCACAGAAAAAGTCCTAGCCAAGAAAAGCACAGAGATACGGAGCTACGCGTTCAGAGCTTAAGCTGAACTTATTTGTAATGCATGCTTCATGAAGATAGCTAACGAAATATGTTCTCAAGTTACTAGTTAGCACGGCCAACCCTACCCCAAACTTCCCTTATGGAAGGAAAAAACAAAACTCAGTTCAAGGACAGTAAGCCTGAAAAAAGGAGGACTAGAAGAAGGGGGTTACCAAAGCCATAGGCACAACTGTGCTCCATGGTCACTAGAAAAACATACCTTGAGGGACTCTCTTATCTCGTCATTGAACTTCTTCCCCCAGATACTAGTTCCTCCTTTGCCTGTACCTGTAGGATCACCACCTTGAATCATAAAACCTTTGATGTTTCTGTGAAATATGGTTCCGTCGTAGTAACCACTACCACATAGTGCCAAGAAATTCTGGGGAAAAGAAGGTGGATGTGAGGTTAGTACTAGCTTATTCCTATAGCTTAGCAGACAACAGAAACAAAGACAAGCATATTGTTGGCCTATCATTCATCCATCTCTCAAACGGGTAAAAAAATGACCCCGACGTAGAATCACCATAAGGGCCTTGCAATGAGAAAGGAAACTTCAGTTTCTATCATTTCACTACACCTTTCAACCGAGCAGAAGCAACATCTTGCATTGTTGTTTGAAAAAGACATCCACAATGTTAACAAACTCACGTCTTATTATTCAGGCCATCCCTATGTACTAAACATCAACTACATGAACTATCGTTGTCTCTGTGACATGAAAATCAAATTGTTTCTACCAAAAACAAAAAATCGAATTGCTCAAATTCTCCTAGGTCACTCACAACTTCATCTCATCGACTTCAATTCGCATAATTAAAACGAGGACAAATTCAGTAGTGAAATTCAATTCTATGGAGTATCAAAGAAAACGGGTACCTCAGCTGTTTTGGGCACCTCATCGCAGAAGATCTCGCACTTGATATCTCCGAGATTCGTGTTCAGTGTGACTGACTGCAAAGCAAGCGGCGAAAGTTAGGGACGGAATATGCAGAAACATTGAGCAAGAAATTGTACAGATAGAAAGGCACTAACCATTACGCTCAGTTGTGGTTGCTACAACCAGCTTGTGGCTAATCTGGATATCCTTGTGCTCCTGTAACCGCGGCATCAGAGTTGAGAATTCGACGATAGCAAAAACGAACTCAGAAGCAACAACTCGGAAAGAATCAGAAATCGGAGCAAGAAAAGCCTGCCTCCACAGTGATTTGCTTCTTCTACTTGATTCCGAAGTTGGCAAAATAAAAAACAAAGCAAGAGGCACATTCTTCCGAAGAAGTAAGAAATTCTAGAGCGCCGTTGGAATTGTTGCTTACCTGACAAAAAAACGCAGGATTGGATTGGTCCAAAACCAGCTGCGCCGAAGATTTCAAGAAGGCGGCGGAGGACTGAAAGAGGATGTGTCGGAGATAGGGAGCGGACTGTTGGTCCGAGAGAGATTTTTCTGGAGAAAGCCGGTGTTGTCTCTGCCTTGAAGCTAAACAGGTTAGACGGGGAAGGGCCGGCGCGGCGACTCAGCTACTAATTATTGTGTTTAGCTCGAGAGTCGAGAGACACTCCGCTTCGTCCATACAATTGGGCCAGGACTTGTCCAACCAACAGATTTACGGCAAAGAAGTTGGATCAACGCTTTCGGTCCAGCTCCAATAAATTTGTACAGTGGGCCAGGCCTATTAGGCATAACCATGCACACCACGGGGAGGACATAGTCTGCTAGCCTTGTGGTGCTAGGCGCAAAAAAGGTGGAAGTTATAATTATTAGATAGATGTATTGTTGTGAATGCATGTATAATAATATATTTTTATTGTCGAATTTGATGCATTGTAAAATAGAACGTTTTGTATGTGTGATTATGTATGTCACATCAGCTAAGAGCCGAGACAAAATAATCTCAACTCAACTATCTCAACAATCACAACTAAAAATTGAGATATAAAAATCACTCGTTTTGAGTGATAGTTTCTGTCACATCACATAAACAATCCTTGTATTGTTTCTCCTAAAAAAAACGATGCATTCTAAACAATACATGTATAGTAACAATCGCAACTTCCAAACGGCCCCAAAATGTTCAATTTCCTTCGATTTTGTGTTCTATTATCTCTCTCTTTTCATATTGCGTGAACATTTTCATCAATGAAACAACACTCTACCAAATTCAATATGTTGTTTTCCAAATTCAATATGTTGTTTCTCTTCTAGCCACAACACCTTTTCATATTGCGTGAACATTTTCATCAATGAAACAACACTCTTCCAAATTCAATATGTTGTTTTCCAAATTCAATATGTTGTTTCTCCTCTAGCCACAACAATACCGTCGTTGCTCTCCATGACAAAGGCATTGACGGTGAACCCTCACCTTTCTCTTTCAATATGTCGTTATTGCTACATTTCCGACCAGTCGCCACTTGGGGTATTTATGATAACACTTCATATTTATAGTGTTTATCACTCGTATATTTGATAGATTTCCTCCTTCTATAAATACATCTTTAGGAGATTTTACCTAAATTTTTATGAAAATCATTACTATTTGATCAACAAGCTATTATTAGACCTAGAGATTGTATTTTTATTTCTTTTTATTCTTTTTGGTATAATTATGTGCTTTTCAAGGTGAAACGCAACCTAAGATACTTTGGTATAATTACGGTTAACCTATCGTACCTTAGGTCATATGGGAACATGATATACATAAATAAACAAGCATAATCATACGTACATATAGAAAAATGCCTATAATTAGTAATCATGGTTTTTACCAAATAAAAAACAAAAAAGGGAATTTATAATCCTTTCCCCTATCATTTAAACTTGGATTATCATATATGAGAGACGAACCAACCTGATCATATCAAGATAAGAAGAAACAAAAAATTAGGGAAAAACTATATCCTAACATTCATGTACCTACAAAACATACTTTTTCTGTTTCATTAGCAATTATTCAGCGTAAATTGACTTATATTCACACACATATACTTATTTTGTACACACTCTCATTAACTTCATCTATAAGTAATCAATTTTGTCACGCTCTCTTATATATTACATTAAGAATTTGATGCTGAACATAAGTAAATTTGCATGAATAATGATAGCGTTGCGTCAAAATGTAACTTTTTTACATTGATATTGGGATATCCTATGATGAGAAGTTATTTTTTAAAAAAGAGACCAACCTTATCACTTTATAGAAATAAATAAAGACATAATAAAATAAATAATTCCTCGAGACAACCCCAAATTGCTGCTAAAATGCAGACATTCTTTCCACAAAATACGATGGAACAAATTAATAAGCGAAAACGGAAAGTAAGGCGAGCGAACAACAGCCTTTTATGTAACAAATAAATATGACGGCAAAGCACTGCCATAAATTGCGATTCATGGTATCATAAACAGAATCAACCAAAAACGGAAGCCATGACGGCGAGTGCAGCCAACATTAATATTCCCGATCCACGGCCAGAACCACCACCTGCCGGAGAATCTCCAGTTGGGCCTGGACTGGGAGACGGAGCGGTTGCAGGCTGGGGAGCCGGCCCAGTCGGCCCGCCAAAGAACTCCTCCGGAAGAAGCACAGTGTCGACCGAGAAAATCACGAGCGGATCGGCATCGAGAATCGTGCTGGAAATTCTGGACAAGACGACGCCGGTTTGAATGGTGACGTCATCGCCAGCAGCGGTCGTCCTCAGCTCAAAATGTCGGGTGCCGTTGCTTGCCAGCGTTGGGATTGGGCCTTTGCTAGCCTTCAATAAGCTCCCGTACGGCTTATAGCTCGGCACTGCGTGAAAGAGCAGCAGCGACACCGTTTCGGCCCTGCTGAGCGTCCCGAGACCCGAAACGACTGCTGGTGCCTTAAACGCCTCGTCGTTTGGAGCGAAGACGGTCAGTCCTTTGGGAGCGGACGACAGAAACGTTTCGAGCACGCCAGTGCTCTGCAGCAGACCTGCAACGGTCGTGCAACCGGCCTTCTCGAGCAGCGCTGTGACGTTGAGGGCTGACGTCGGGGCTGCCAGGATTCCCGGGGCGATAAGGAGGAGGAGAAAGAAGGAATAGGCTGCCATTGCTCGCTAATCGAGATCGAGATCGAGATCGAGATCGAGAGAGAGATGCTAGGGAAGTGGGGAAGATGGAGGGGAGTGAGAACTGGATATATAGTAGTAGGCATGGAAACATGAGATGATGAAAGATGTTGAGAGGTTTAGTAGGTTTGGGATAAGTAGGTGGAGACATCTTTTTTGGTACCAAATCTGTCAAAAAAATATAGCCAAGTGATACTGCCCATTCTATTTCCTAACCTGTAGGGAGGAAAAAATGGGAACTTAACTTATTGGAACGTGAAGTTTATCTTTATAAAAGAAACTGTTGATGTCTAGGTGGAGTTTTGTTGTGGCAATTGCTAAATTTTTAAATTCCATTTTTGATAACTGACTCATTAGTAGTTGTAGTTTGTCCTTATCAACAATATTGCATCGGATTCTTTTGGTGGCAATCCATAATAGCAATACTTTATTCCCTAACTCTGGAGTCTGGACATTTTTTTTTTAATCATGAATTATTAGTATATGAAATTTATGTTTATCGGTGAATAAGGAATCTTCGTTGCGAATTGGGGCGGAGTATTGTAATTTGCATGACATTGGCTAGCTAGAATGTTGTGTTTTATTTCAATTTGAATATAGATTGCAAGAAAATTGTCTTTCTTTATATATTTAAATTTATTTAATGTTAATGTTATAAACTAATACAAACCAGTGTACCAACTCCAATAGTCAAATCACAATAGTATAAACCGTTTTGACAACTTTAAGGGGTCGTTTGCTTGATGGATTTGGGTCATGGATTTGGGACTCAAATCCCAAGCATGATGGATTTTAGCCAAGTCCATTATTTGTTGTGAGGTGTTAAATCCATGGGGTCCACGGATTTGTTCCCTTTTTTGGACCCAAATTCGTGGACTCCACGGACTTGTAAATCCCACATATTGGGGTGGGATTTGTAAATCATTGATGGCTAGTTATATTTATAGCAAATCCATCATAATTATATCATCAAAATCTATCATGTAAACAATAGACTCTTCAAATCCATGATGGTACAAATCCCTCATAAATTCAAAGATTTTTTTGAGCCAAAAACCCTCATTTTTCAAATCCAACAAGCAAACCACCATTAAGCTCAAGTCAATCTCTTAATTCCTCTCGCAAGCCTTTTACTTGGCCAAATAGTGTGAGCCATTAATCCCCAACTCCAGCCCATATTGGCCCAATCCCAACCCTTTAAAAATATAACTCATGGAATTGCTTGAGTAGGATAGCCAGATCGATCCAACACATGTGGATCAAGTTCCTACTGTATGATAGTTCACTTATCAAATTTGCCATCCATTTGGCGCCCAAATTGCAATGAGCAGGATATCCAGAAGATCTTCATCACTCAAAATGCACTTGCGGATTTCTGTAAATCTTACTTTAATAACTTGGTCACTAAAGGACTGCAAAATACAGAGAAATAACAGCTTCAATGGGCTCGAAGACTCCAGATAAACACCAACTATCGATCCTGAAACTGAGGTAAGCTCCAGTCTAGTAGTTACCATCGTACAGCAAAGGAGGACAGTCAATGGATGAACAAGCTACGGCGAAATGAGTGAAATGTGATAATCATTCACATTTCTCACTAGGGGGCTGGCTGACTTATGGCATGGTTGTTGGGGCTGCAGAAGGAAGTTGAAGTCCTGGTCTGGATATCCAAGCTTTGCGCTTCCGATAAGCTTCAATAGCCTGCAACCTGATCCTCTCTTGGGAAGCTTCAATGACCTTCTTTGCACCCTGCAAACACACATAGATATTCACTTTCATCTGCAACTGCTCCTTCCTTACTCCTTGCACAATGATTCTGAGCTTTAAAGAGTATTATTACCTTAGGCAGGACACTGAGCTTTGGTGGGGCTTGAACCACATCCCCAAATTTCACATTTTCCTTGCCAGGAAAATCTGCAGTCTCTTCTTCAGTACCAGATCTGTGGTGCTTCTTCTTCTTCTTTGCTTCCAAGTATCTGAACAAGAGTGATACAAGATTTCTTTCTTAAAATTTAAATGGCTAAGCTAATTTTGAAAAATCAATAACAGCAATAATAAAAGCTTACTTCTTCGTCCGCTCCTTTCGTTTCTCTTTCGTTTTGGTGTTCCCGACCAGCGTCTCGAAACGGAGGTCCTTCACCTGATTTCTCTTTCTCTTCTTGCTCTTCTTTTTACCTTTACCAGCTTCCACGCCATCACTGTCCATGTTCCCCTGCTCATTCCTTGACGTGGTTGCGACCTGTGGAAGATTGCATTCCCCTCTCAAGAATTAAAACAAACACACACACACACACACACGCGCGCGCTTACACAACAGTTTCTCACAACGAACGAGGAAAGAGAACTGAATTAGGGTTTTTACTTGGTGAGCTTCCACAGCTCCACTTCCTTTCCTCCGCTTACTCCTTCCCTGCGAATCTTCAGTCGGACTCGGAAGATTATGGGGGCCTAGAAGAAGGAGACATCAGCAGAAGTTTGAGAAAAATTTGGAATAATAGCAGAGGAAAAATTTTAGGCTGGACAAAAGACAGAGGAAGGAATTGAAGGGGAACCTTTGTGAAGAGTGGAAGCAAAGTTCATCAATTGACGGAGCTTCGAAGGAACTGCGTCGTGATTGGATGCATCAGGCGGGGGAGGGAGTCGGCTGTCGCCTCCATGTGCAGCTCTGTAGTTCTTCTCTCGCCGCCTAACTCCTTTGCCTCCCATTGCTGCTTCTTTCTTTCACAACTGAAGCCATAAATATTTGACAAATAACAATTAAAATTTAAAATGAACTCATAGCAGCACCCTGCCATTTCTCTCACAAGACTGAACCCATAAATCATTTGACAAAAAACCAATCAAATTGACTCATAGTGTCGGCAGCAGCGTAAACATAGAATGAAGAATGAACAATCGAAGGATGAACAATAGTAGCCTCTCCCTAATCAAAGAATCATTTCCAATCCACAATGGAAGCTACGTACACTATTCAATCCTAATCAGAGAATGAACAATCGATTTCTAATTCAGAATTCAAAAATCAAAACCCTAGGCAGTAAAAGGAAAATAGAGGCAGCTTTACCTAATTTGAAGCTGCAGTGGCGATCACTGGTCTCAGGTCCCTGGGAAGACGAAAGTCACGACGATGGTCTCTGGTTGCTTGGCCGACTTCTCGGTGAATGGCAGGGCGAACGATAAAGGAGAACGGAGAGCACGAACGACGAGCTTGTTTCGGCTTCTCTGGCGGCTGACTCGACTTCTCGGAGAATGATAGCACGAACGGCAGAGGAGAATGACGGGTAGCGAACTCGGCGACCTTGGGGCTTGACGTTCTCGGACCAGAGTGCACAAACGATGAGCTTGGCGTTCTCGAACGGGAGAAGATTAAGATGAACAGCGACTCAGCGAGCGGCGAACGAACAGCGACGACGACCTAATGGCCCGTTCACTTGAGGTGTTCCTTTAGGGATTTTTGTTTTGCTTCGTCTGCAATGAAACGACAACGTTTCGCGGTATCCCAAGAACCGATGGCACTTTCAAAACTGGCTGGTATCTCGCGGCACACCGGTTGAAACTAGAGGTGGCAATTAGATCGGATTCGTGGATTGGTGGATCCATGGATCCAATAGATTGGTGGATTCATGGATTGGCTCAAATGGATTGGTGGATTGATCCATGAATCCAAATGACATCCAAGGCTTGTACCAAAATGTAAATTTTGAAAAGTTTATGTACTAAAATGTCATAATGAAAATTTTTAGGTACCAAAATGTAATTTTTCAATGATATTTTTCGTATAAAAATAGAAATTTTAGGTACCAAAATGTAAATATAAAATATATAGGTACCAAATTGTAATTTGCCATTTGGATCCATGGATTGATCCATAAATCCACCAATCCAATTGGATTTGGATCAAATGGATTGGATTTAAATGGATTGGATTAAGTGGATAATTTGGTAGATGGATTGGATTCATGGATTTGGATCCTAATTGCCACCTCTAGTTGAAAGCAATACCGGCGGATACCCAAACCTGTGCTGTTTGGCTTTGCTTTACCGTTTCGGCCATGGTTTGGTTTCCGGTTTCTGGTTGAACCGGCCGGTATGATCTGGTTTAGTAATTCATGCTTTAGATAGATCAGAATGAAGGGAAGAAAGTTTGAAAGTTGCAGTAAATCTATAGACAGTAAACAGTGGATAGAAAGAGCCACCCAACCAAACACCTCACAAGAACCGACACACTGACCTCAAGTAGCATAACCTATCCCGCATCGCAGTTTTGAATTAAACTTAAAATCATTATTGAAAAATAGTTTCTTTGTATGCAAGAACAAGAATTAGCACATGAAACTCTATGACATGCTTCTTCATTTATAACCTAATATTGACAATGACATCAAATCCCTCAAATCCCTTATTAGTTAGAGAGGGTTGTGTGAGACCTACCTCACATAATGAGATCTACTTATGTTAAAACCATCTAGGGTTTCATAAGTAAACCTACAACTTATATGCCATGACGTCGATGGGCATCCCACAACAACTACATGGGTTGACGTTGGCTTTACTAGAGATGGGGAAGAGTTGGACTCCTCTTTCTTGGGCTGCAACTCTCGACTCAATAGATACGATTAATATAGGCAAAGGCTAGCGACTAGCGTACGTCCAGGTGTACGCTAGTATACTAGTATACACTTCTCTTAGATAACGTGTCATATGTTTTATATGGATTGTTGTGGATTCGAGTTTAACAAGCTTGATTGTAATGAACTAAGACTTGTGTTTGCCATGCTTGTGTGGATCCTTATGTTGTTAGTTGTTTTATCCGCATGCAAGTCATGTTACGGGTTTGTTCGTGACAAAAATACCCTAGAACAATTCCAAATCCCTCTAATTACTTCCTTCAAAGCTACTCATAAGAAGAAGGTATGTTTCTTATATGTTCTTGTCGTTTTGGTTGGTTTTTGTTCGTTGATGTTAGAATAGATTTGTTTCACAAAACCTCCAAATTTGTCAATTTCGGATTTTGGTTGCTATTCGTTAGAATCGATCGATTGTATCCTTGCCTGGTCGAACGAATCTGTTTTACATTTTATTTATTTTTTGCTTCTGCTTGCAAAAACAGGTTGACCTAGTTCTAGTGATGTTGACCTTTATTATTTCGTTACAAAATTCATATATTGTCCGTTTCCAGTTAAGTTACTTGGTCGACCTATATCTATGAATCAGTCGACCATTTGTATATGCGTGTTCCACTTGCATATGATTATTCTAGGTTGCCTATAATTTTGTATATGTGTGTTCCACTTGTCGTTTGGCTAATATGAGTTATCTTTTCTTTGATCTCAGGATGTTTCAAGGAAAAAAAAAAAGAAAGTCGGACAAAGTGGGTACCTCAAGAAGTGAATGGGAAAAGTTCCATCCAACTTTGCCACATAACAAAACACAAAATGACAAATATGAAGAGAAGAAAATGCACAACCACAGGGTGGCACCTGGAAGGCCATTGATACCTGATGTAGTGATGTTTATAGTCATTTTGAAGATTACATGTTCCTTGCAACGTTAGAGGAATAAGATTGGCTAAAGGTCAGATCCCTATATGTACCGTACTACCCAAAATGGTACATTACTTCTACAACAACAACATCTATCATCATTCCCAAGATGTATTTGTTCATTCTTATAAAAAACTTTGTGAATGGGGTAGATATGCGTATCACCAAAAAGGTATTGGCAGAAGTATTGGAGACTCCCAACCTGGGGAAGAGAATCCATGCTTTTAATGCTTGGAATAAAACTCATTTCTCGAGGGCCAAACAAATACATATTGTATGTTGTCTTGCTGAAGAGGAAGATGTCGAGGATCGCAGTAGGCCAACTACTCATCAGATGAAGGTTACAACCAGGGTTTTTCACCATATGCTCTCTTTCAACATTCTTAAAGGTGGACATCAGTCGCCTACTTTGACATGGAGCTCCTCACCTACCTACTTTCATACCAGCAGGTTAACTTGCCACATTTTATCTTTAAACATATGTTTGCTACTACAGAGAGTTCAAACAATGATCTTCCCAATGAGATGATCTTGGTGACTTTGGTTTGGATTTAAGTGGTGACTTTGGTTTAAGAGTTACAATGTAGGAGTCGTATTCAGTTACATCATCGAAAAAGATGGGATTTGAGTTGCATGATGTTGTGTATGTCCGAGTATACAATCCTAATGTAGAGTGGATGAAGATGAAGATGAAGAGCCCGAAGACAAGCCAATGGCACAACTAGAGGGTTCAAATCCACCAGTCACCCTCGATGCTATATGGAACTGAATGAATGGAATGACTGATTACATGGGCATTTGTCCATCCACAAGAGCACACTACTAGTGAGTGTAACAGAGATGCGAGATGAATTCCAACATTTCAGTGGAAGATACATGCTTCCCACCACATCCGACTACCATAATGCTAGCAACACCAATGAGGAAAATGACGATGAGTGAGAGAAGAGAGGATTACGAACTCCATGAACTAGATTGGGTTTTTTGTTGTGAAATTTGTTAAGTCTTAAAGACAATTTGGTTTAAAGCAACTATAATCGTGGATTGATATTAAGTCTTTGTGGTTTTCGATTTTGGATATGTGTGAACTATTGTGAGGTGTGTTTTATGTTATTTGGTCTTAGTGATTAAGTTATTAAGAAGTTATGCGTTTTTTATAAGGTTGATATATGTTTCTTATTTGTAATTAAGGTACTACTTATGCGTTTCTTTATATTATGATTTTGGATTGAATTTGTTGATTTCAGTTGTAATTTGTTAGACCAAACAAAGTACAAACATCGACATAAATAAGCAAAAATTCAAAGGTCGTAGGCTTATTTTACTGTAAGCGGTAGACCTTTTACTATAAGCGGTCTACCGCAAAACCAACATTTTCCTCTACATTTCACTTCAAGAGGGATGTATGGATATGCTGTCGAGACCTCTTCTATCTGGTCAACCTATAGCTGGAAATGGCCGGCCTCATTGCAGATATGGTCGACCATGTCTCTGTTATGGTCGACCATTTTGGTAATGACTACCCTGAAATGAACGACCACTTTTCTTTTATAGTCCACCATTTTGCATAAGACTGCCTCAAAACGGTTGACCTCATTTCTATTATGGTCGACCATTTTGGTAATGACTACCTTAAAACGGTCGCTCACTATATGTTAATGGTCGACCGTGATTTTCCATCAGAATGACCACGATGGTGTAATCGGTCGACCGTATTGTGCCAATTACGGTGCCTTGCATGTCACCATAGGTGTACCCTAGTAATTATGATTACTAAACATAATTTTTAATTTTATTATATTATATTAGGATAAATAGTTACTTAATTTATTTTATAATAATATAATTTACTTACACTCCCTAATTTTTCTTTCCAAACAACAATTTCTCCTTTCATTTACACCTCACCAATTTATACCCACAATTTCCCTTTTCAACTTGCACCACTCGGATTTACTCCCACGGTTGCCAAATAGCATAAATAGTGTTTGAGCAATAATTAGTGATGGCAATGGGACAAAACTGGTACCTCAATGTCCATATCCCGCCAAATGCAACTGCAGGCTGAGGCGAATAAACCCATGCGGGTATGGGATGAGGAGGGTCAACCCACTCTTACATGTTATTTGAAAGAAAAAAAAAGTACGCAAAATTTTAAATTTTACAATAAAACGAAGGGAAAAACACTATGAATGAAAAATAATGATAATAGAAAAATTGATTCCAACTAGTTGAACGATCACGTCTAACTAGTTGAATGAAAGCCAAAATAGCAGAAAAATGAATAGATGTTGTAAGAAATTAAGATAGAATCTGGCAGAGTCTTCCTATTCCGATGTACAAAGATGAACAACCAAGAACGAGGCGGGGCAGGGCAGAGCGAATCAGAAGTAAATACTCATTCTCCATCTCACGCTACTATAAGTTGAGTAATATCTATCATTACAAGTCAAGTCGAGTAATACTTAACCGACAGGTTAAAATTGTCATCCCCGGTTAAATTGTCATCCCTAACCCGTGAGCCCCTACCTGCCCCACTAGGACGGGGTTTTATCAACATTCATGAACTCGTCCTAAAGCAAAATGCTCACGCTGCGTAGATAAAAAAAAACCAAATATGGGTTATACCCTACTTTCAACAGGATGAGCTAGTAGCATAGATTAGACCCCACTAACAATGGTAGTTAAGCAAACAGTAAGTATAAACTCAGTTCTTGCTTCTTCGTCCAAATGGTAGGCATGAGAGTTTTTCTTAGGAATGAAGCGTTGCCAAGTAATCATGTAAATCAACCTTGAAGAGAAAAAGGTTGGCTGGCAACTAAGAAATGGAGAAAGAGAAAAGAAAAACAGCATATTATCTGATGAGGAGCTTTGATTACTCGATGATGTATTTTTGTTCCCCAAAATTGTGCTTACAATGAACGAGTAATGGGACCGGCCGGGCACAAACACAAGCGCACAATGAACAACAGTAATTGCACAAAAAGGAGAAGGAAAAGGAAGCCCCTTACCCTGGGCCCAGGGCAATTCGGTTTGATCGGTTTAAAACCGAATTATAATTTGGTTCGGTTCGATTTTTCATACAAAACCAAATTTGTAAAGCTATTTGTATTTTCTAACTTTTAAATTATTTTTCACCCCTAATATAAACAATAAATATCAATTATATGCATCATCAATGATAAAACCAAACTTTTCAATACATAAGTCATCAAACATTTCAAATATTTAAGTCTAAAAACAACTACAAACATAAAAATCCACCATTTGGAGTTTGCAATTATAGTATTTCGGTTTTTCGGTCGGAAATTCGGTTCGGTTGAAAGAACCCTGATTTCCGAACTATCCATATTTTCCTTCCGAATTCCGAACCGAATAGCATTAATTCGATTTCGGTTCGGTTTAATTCAGTTCGGGTTTACCGAACCGTTTGCCCACCCCAGTGGTGCTGTTAATCTATCTAATCTATATTGCTTTGCTTTGCCTTGCCGGACTCTGAAACTTTAGCACCCAAAACGACACAGAAAGAAAAAGGCACAACTTTGGCAAGACAACAGACAGACAGACAGACCACCAAAGGCAAAAGACGACCCTCCAGCAGCAGCTTTAGCACTCCTGAACAAATTGACTAGCTTTACCACACAGTAAGGATATATCATCATGACATTCCACCTATAATATCTCTACTGCGTCTCTACTGTTAGTCCTTGGATTCACTAGTACTAAGCTAATAATGGATGCTCCAACTCGTGAAAAAAAGCATACTTCCATCCACCTACATTCACTTCTTTCAATTTGGCAATTAACTTCTACAACAGCAACAACAACCAGAGATGTGGGAAACAAACACTGTAATTTCTCAAATGGCCTCCTACAACAGTACATTATATTCTACAGTTGATGGGAAAATGGCGTTGGTTCGTGAAATCAAATCTAATACACAACACTGACAGCGCGCGCAACTCACCGGGCTTTCTTCCGAGACTTGAAAGGGAAATTAGACGGCGGAGATGGTGAAAACTCGAACGGCAGGTGGGGCGGCTCTGCCTCGCCGGAGAGCATCTCCACTATCTCCTTCATGGATGGCCGCTTGCTTGGTGACCTCTGCAGGCACAGCAGCGCGATGGTGATACAAACCAACGCTTGCTCCTTGACCACGGAATGTATCGAAGGATCAACGAGGTCCAAGAGCTTCCCATTGTAAGCAAGCTGCCTAGCCCAGGAGATGAGATTGGCCCTCTCGAATTCCGACATCGGCGAGGCAGTGACTTGAAGCGGCCTCCGCCCTGAAACCACCACGAGGAGCAACACACCGAAACTGTAGACATCGCACTTCTCCGACAACTGCCCGCCGCCGCCGTACTCCGGAGCTATGTAACAGACGGTTCCTCTCATGCTGGGCGTGCTACTGACGCCGCCGCCGCTCTTTGGAATCTCTCCACTGGCCCAATCTTGGCTGTTCCTTCGCCCATTTCTCAACTCGCCGCTGAAACCGTCCAGCCACCAATCGATGCTTCCCCTGCTTTTCCGCTTCTTCTTCTTCCTCTCTTGAACCGAATCTTCCTCGTCCTTGTGCCACCAAGCTTCTCCGCCATTGCTCGAATTCAGACCCCTCTTCTTCTTCTTCTTATTCCTGTTCTTCTTAGATAACTCGTCACAGAACTCTTCCTTCCACCATTCCCTGGGCTTTCTGTTCTTCTCCTTCCTTGTCAATCTTTCTTCGTCCAGAGATGCCCACCATTCCAATCTCTTCTTCTTCGTCTTCTTCTCCTTAGGCTCTACCTTCAAAGTCGGTGTGCTCAACAGATTGTTATCGGCCGAGCTCGGAGACGCAACATTCCATCCGCCGGATTTGGCTCGTTCCTTACTGATCTCGCTACCAATCCACTCCATTACATAATCCTTCTTCACTCTCCCCGATTCCGATTCCACTCCGCTATCCTGTTTCCACCACCAATCTCTTCTCGATCCGCCTTTCTTACCACTCAAATCTCGCCCGCTTTCCATGCTCGCCCTGTCAAACCCTAACTCCGATAAGCTCGCCTTATCCGCCCCCACGGCCTCCGGCGACGTATCCGAATCCAAGACCTTACTCACCGGCGAGCGATCGACAGCTGCTCCGGAGTCTTCGTAGCCGGCGGTCGCGACGCTCTCCGCCTCCTCCAGGATGGATCCGTTGTCCTCTCCGGCGGCACACTCGGCGATCTCCCCCGTCTTCAATCTAGAGAGTCCGAAATCGCCAATCTTGGCATTGAAATCCGAATCCAGCAAGATATTGCTGGGCTTGACATCGCCGTGAATCACGGGAGGGTTGCAGGAGTGGTGTAGATAGTCGAGGCCTCTCGCGACATCGGTAATCACGCTGTACCGCTGGCTCCAATTCATGAGCTCCTCGCACTTGCGATCCAGGAGAGCCTCCTGCAGGCTCCGGTTCTCCATCAGCTCGTAGACGAGGACGAGCTTCCGCTTCCGGCGGTCGGTGGAGAAGCCGAGGAGGGTGACAATGTAGGGGGAGCTGAGGGAGGAGGCGAGGGCGAGCTCGTTGTGGAACTCGCGCTCGCCTTGGAGGGAGCCGCTGGGGTCCATGACCTTGACGGCGGCGAGGAGGGAGGAGGAGAGGATGGCCTTGTAGACGGAGCCGAAGCCGCCGTGGCCGAGGCGGTTGGAGGGCGAGAAGGAGGCGGTGGCGCGGCGGAGGAGGGAGTAGGAGTAGCGGCGGCACTGGTTGGCGGTACTCTGGATGTGGGTGGGGGATTTGAGGTCGGAAGTGGTGGGAGCGGTGCGGTTGCTGGAGAGCTTCCGGTAGAGGAAGAGGAATAGAATGAGGATGAGGGAGAGGAGAGCCAAACTCAAGGCTCCGCCGAGGACGGCGGGGAGAATGGGTTGGATGCGGTGGCGGTGGCGGTGGTCCGGCGGGAGAGAGAGGAGATGGCGGGATGGCATGTTGCGTAAATGTGAGGGGACAGTGTTATCACTTCATGGAGGAAGAAAGGGACTTGTGTTGATGAAGGAAGGAAGGGAGAAAGCTTGGATTCTCACTCTTGTTGCTGCTGCTGCTGCTGCTGCGCTGTTCTCTCTTTGCTCCTTTTTTTTTTTTCCTTTTGGTTTCTGCTGAGAAAAGATGGAGAGAGGATAAGAGAGAAGGAAGGAAAGAGGAAGTGTGGTGTGGGTAGGGTGACAGACCGAGACACGTGAGGGAGAAGGTGGTACGTGGCGTTGTTTTGTTGGGTGGTGAGGGTTTGATATGTGACTGCCATGTGAATGAATTTTGTCCGTTATGTTGGTGTTGAATACTGGTTCTCTGACGTTCGGAAGTGACAAAAACACAAAAGCTGAGAGGAGGCGAGTATGGAACACGCGCCTTTTGACTTTACTAACAATGACGCACCTCTTCCTCTCTCTTCAGTAGATATATATTTATTATGTTATTTTTTTTTATTAATGAAGGCGACAGGGATGGCAGGGATGCTCAGAGACAGAGCAAAGGGTCACGTGGCTCAATGAGCATGAAGGTTTGCCACAAAAAAAAAATATAATATTTAAGTATTTTTAAAATTCAACTAGTCATCGGTCAAATCAACTAAGATAATTTTAATTTTGAAGAATACTCATATACTCAAGATTTTAGTTTTCATCTGGTCATGTCATTTGGTTATCTAAAAAAAAGAGCTCGGTTCTAATGTAGTTTTCCTCTTATTTCTTATGGTAAATGACACATTTGGTCACTGAGATTATTAAATTGTGTCATGTTTAGTCACTAGAAAAAATTAATATTAATTTTGGTCACTCGAATTACCGAAACTGGTCAAATTTAGTCACTCTCCCGTCAGTTTCCGTCCAACTCCATTAATGTAGTTGGACGGAAACTCTTGGGAGAGTGACTAAATTTAACCAGTTTCGGTAATTCGAGTGACTAAATGTGACATTTTTCAATAATTCGAGTGACCGGAGTTGGACAGAGGCTACAGAAGACTGACCAAATGTGACCTGTGTCAGTAATTCGAGTGACCAAAATTGATATTAAATTTTTCTAGTGACTAAATATGACACGATTTAGTAATTTCAGTGACCAAATGTGTCATTTACCCTATTTTTTTCTTATTATTAAAGAACAAAATGAAAATGAAAACATCGACATTAAAGGTATAATTGGATTGAATGCATTTAATGAGATTGTCGATTTGGCCGTTTTGTGTGTATAATCATTTGAACTCAAATAGATTCATGGTGTGTTTGACGCAAGTGAATTGCTCAAGTTGGATCCAATTTAAAGTCAACCCAAACTCAAAATCATTAAAAGTGCATTTAACTTCGGTCCAATATCTATATGGGTCATGACAATTAGATAAAATTACCCAATGAGTCGTTTGGTTAAAAACAATGTTCTGACATGACCTATACAATGTATAAGGGTTCTAATAGGGTCATGGGTCGACCTAGCTTTTTACAGCAGACTTCCACACATCACCTTGCTGCCCTTTCTGATTAGTCTCGCATTCATAGAACTCGTAAGTATCCATTTTTTATCGATCATCTGTGCTTATCATCTCAAGGGCTAAATAGGTTTCATGTTATCATCTCAAGGGCGCATGTTTGGTTGTAGGGTAATATAACATAGCCAAAGGTCGCTTGTTTGATCTTAGTACTCTCTCTCTCTCCTTTGATTCCTTATACTGCTAAGCCAACCAAAACTAATTAGGTTTCATGTTATTGTAGAATGACTGTTCTGCACTGTCGCGGCTCGGGTGGAGAATCTTTAGATCTCGATGGGATTTCAATGGCAGGATCTGCTTGGGTCATTGCAGGGAGCCGTTAGAGGAAATTTTAGGGAAATGCAGTTGTAAGAAAGAGAATGATAAAGGAAGAGAGACAGAGACAGAGGGTCGTTATTATCATTCATGTTGTTATATAGTGGGTTCAGGTCTTATTTATACGACCCGTATTGGGCAATTACCCACATAATCCTCTATTGCAGACTCTATTATATTTTAGTCATTCCTTTCTAATCACACCACTTTTACGTTGTTACATTCCAGTCCAATTTTTGAAAAGACTCCCTCCTTCGCTGAAGATTTGTCCTTAAGTCTTAAATTCTAGGTATTTTATCTTGAACTCATCAAGGAATTCCCAAGTAGCATATGCAACATCTTGATGCAACCAATGGACCAGCGCTTGAGTAGCCTCCTTGCTATCATGAGCTACAACCTTCCTTGCAAGGATCACCAAGGGTGAGAAATCGAGAAAACGTAAACGAGACACACGAGATTTACGTGGTATCCTCGGTCGATTGAATGACCGAGACTAATCCACGGGAGAGTTCAGACTCTCCGGCTTATGATATTATTGATAGATCACCCTGTTACAGTGGCCGTATGGCCTATGCTCTCCTTATATATGCTAGCATGATGACCTAGCTCTATACAAGTAAAAGACGAGACAAGTAATGGGCTAGGGCCAGGACTCCTTCTCGTGGAAGGCAAAACTTCAGCAACATGGGACTTCGGCCAGTCCTGTGACTCCATACTGGGTTGGGCCGTGCGTGCTGACTCGTTGGGCTCGTCACCACACTCCAATACGCCCCCGCAAGCTGAACGGTGGAGGTCTCGAACGTTCAGCTTGGAGAGAAGAAACCGGAAACGATCTGCACCCAACCCTTTGGTGAACATATCAGCAACTTGTAGGTGAGAACTAACCTTGAGAGGAAGGATGTCACCTGAAACAAACCGTTCACGAACGAAGTAGCAATCCATCTCAACATGCTTTGTCCGTTCATGAAACACGGGATTGGCAGCAATGTGGAGTGCTGCCTGATTGTCACAGTATAAGGGTGTAGGATTCGACTGAGGAACACCAAGTTCTTGTAACAACCAACGTAACCACAAGAGCTCACTTACCGTGCTAGCCATAGCCCGATACTCGGCTTCTGCAGAAGAGCGAGCAACAACCTTCTGGCGCTTCGTACGCCAGGAAATAGGAGCTGAACCAAGTGAAATGAAAAACCCACTGGTAGAACGTCGGGTGGACTGACAACCACCCCAATCTGCATCACAGTATGCAGACAACTCAAGAGAATTAGCAGCCAGAAAATAGAGACCCTGACCCGGTGAATTCTTCAAGTAGCGCAATATCCTCATCGCAGCATCCATATGTGCCTGCGTAGGAGCATGGACAAAGCGGCTCAAAATATTAACTCCATATGTGATGTCCGGTCGTGACACTGTGAGATAAAGAAGACGACCGATCAGACGACGATAAGCAGAGCCATCGACCAAGGGACTGGACGACCCAGGGTTGGTTAACTGGTGGTTCTGCTCAATTGGAAACGTACTAGGACGAGCCCCAAGGACGCCGGCTTCGGTCAGAATGTCCAAGACGTATTTCCGTTGACTGAGGACAATACCGAGAGGGGACCGGGCCACCTCTAACCCGAGGAAATAGCGAAGAACCCCAAGGTCCTTGATACTGAACTTCTGATCTAGAAACTGCTTGACATGATCGATAAACTCCATGTTATTTCCTGCGAGAATGACATCATCAACATAAATCAAAGCAGTGACAAAAACATCTCCCTTCCGATAGATAAAAAGGGAATGGTCAGCAGGTGATGAACGGAAGCCCAGACCAACCAGAGACTCAGTGAACTTTTGATACCAATTCTGCGAAGCTTGGTGCAAACCATAAATGGATTTATGAAGGCGACAAACACGCGAATCTCCTGGGGCTGCAAACCCAGTCGGTACCTTCATATAGACCTCTTCGGACAAGTCACCATGCAGGAAAGCATTGTTGACATCGAGCTGATGAATGTACCATCCTTGACTGACAGCGACAGCTAAGAGACAACGAACTGTGACAAGTTTGGCTACAGGGGCAAACGTGTCGTGAAAGTCCACGCCTTCGATCTGCGTATAACCTTTCGCTACTAGGCGAGCCTTGTAGCGCTCAACTGTTCCATCTGGGCGATATTTGACCTTAAATACCCATTTCGAATCGATGCAGCGCTTGCCATTGGGAAGGTCAACCAAACTCCACGTCCCATTAGCAATAAGCGCCGCAATCTCTTTAGCCATTGCCTCCCTCCAGCATGCATGGCGAACAGCTTCCTTGAAAGTAGTAGGCTCAGGTATTCGGTCCACAGCAGCTAAAAATGCTCGATATGGAGGCGTCACTCGGGCATAGGAGACATGGTTTGACAACGGGTATCTGACATGAGATGCTGACTGCAAATCAGTCTCATAAATGTCCACCAAGTGCTTCGGTGGACGACGCTCACGGTCACCTCGACGCGGGACAGGCGGTGGAGGAGACGGAGCTGACGTTGACGAGGAAGGGGCCACCGACTGCATGGCTGGCTGGTCGGCAGCTGGGGAACCAGTGGACGCCACGTCCACACCTGGGGAAGGAGACGAGGAATGAGGCTCGTCGATGACAGCAGCATCAGAAGAAGATGCTGGACAGTCCTCAAGGGGAACTGCATTCGTGGGTGACCCGGCAGAAGGAAGCGGATCATCAACAAATGTTGACTGCGGTACCCAATGGAAATCCCTAGGATCCTGCGCCTGGAAAGGGAAGTAATTCTCATGAAATATAACATCACGAGAAATCAAAACCTTACGAGTTTCTAGATCATAGATGCGATATCCCTTTTGAGTAGCCGCGTAACCAAGAAAGACACCGGCACGCCCCCGATCTGCGAATTTATGGAGACTCCCATGATTATCCTTAGCGTAGACGAGGCAGCCAAACACGCGTAGATGATCATAGGAAGCCGGCCGACCAAATAACACCTCAAATGGTGCTTTACCTGTCGCAGTAGTGGGTAAACGGTTGATGAGATATGTGGCAGTGAGGACACATTCGCCCCAAAAACGAAGGGGAAGACCTGCTTGAAACCGCAAAGCACGTGCTGTTTCAAGAATGTGACGATGTTTGCGCTCTGCCACACCATTTTGTTGTGGAGTATCGGTACAACTAGTCTGCAGAATGATGCCTGTCCTCTCATAATAGTCCCGCAGCACGTTAGTAGAGAACTCTGGTCCATTATCTGCCTGTATACGCATAACTGGCTTACCGAATTGCGTGCGAACCATCTCACAGAACATAGATATATATCGAGCAACCTCAGATTTAAACTTCAGCAAATAAACCCAAACACTGCGACTGAAATCATCAACAATAGTCAGAAAATAATGAGCCCCACTGAGAGAAGCAATCTGATATCCTCCCCATATATCCATATGAACCAACTGAAAACAATCCGACGTTTTTATGTGACTAGACGGAAAGGGCAACCTTGTTTGCTTGGCACGCAAACAGGAGTGACAAGGACCCTTGACAGTGCTAGGATTAAAAGAAACAAATTGACCAATCTGAGACATTTTTCCCGACGAGGGATGGCCGAGTCGACTATGCCAGACCTCTTCAGATACTTGTTGCTTCCCATTAGCTGCAAAGACAAAACTCTCGTCGTGCCCAAAAAGCTTCAAGTAGTATAGACCGTCACGGAGAATCCCCCTCCCAATCACGCTCCTGGAGCGTAAGTCCTGAAGTACACACAAGTCGCGGAGAAATATCAACGCTACATCGTTATCTTTAGTTAACCGACTGACAGATAACAAATTGCAGCGAAATTCCGGTACATGAAGAACACGGTCTAACTTGAGACCCGTAGATAATGTGACTGACCCTACGCCCTTGACGGGAACGCTGTCACCATTAGGAATTCTGACAGGTTGACTAACTGAACTAACTTCATCACGATTTAACCAATGATCATCTTTCGTGATATGTTCGTTACACCCAGAATCGATTAACCACTCGGAATCGTTAAGAGATATACCTGCCATGTGAGCCGAGGGATCAAAGTTTGGTGATGATGAGCCAAAAAACTTCTTCAATTGCTCAAGCTGAACAACGGTGAAACCAGTGACCGGGCTGGCTTCAACTTCTGCTTGCGCAGCCTTTGGGGCACCTTCCGCCGTGCTCCGACGCGGTCGCTCACCCTTTTCTCCCTGTCCAGTTTTTATCCGAGAAGGCCAACCTATTAAATCAAAGCACTTCTCCTTGAAGTGTCCAATTTTTCCACAGTGTAAGCACTTGGGACGTCCATCTTGTGTGCGAGGTCCACTAGAGCCACTTCGATCACCATCAGACCTGGCAGCAACAAAAGCGGCCGCTTCTGGAGGGGACCTCCTCTTTTGAGTAAGTAACTTTTGTTGTTCATCATTGGACACCATATTAAAAGCTTCTGTCAACGTTGGTGATGGCTTCATGGCCAAGATTTGGCTACGGACAGTTGCGAAGCTCTCATCCAAACCCATGAGGAAGTCGAAGAGCCTTGAACGTTCTTCTTTAGTACGTGTCCTCTGCTCCAAACCACATTGACATTTACCGCAGGTACACGTCTCTAGAGGTGATAATGACTGCTGCTCCTCCCACAACGACTTGAGCTGGGTATAGAAAGAAGATACACTGAGCTTCTCCTGCCAAAGAGCACTAACCAGCCTTCACAGTTCGTAGCCCCTTGTCAGGCTACCTTGTCCAAACCTTTCCTTGAGATCAACCCAAATATCACGCGCCGTCTTAGCATAACGAACACTGCTTCTAATTTCTTTATCCATTGCAAGACGGAGCCAACCCTTGACTACAGCATCACAACGATTCCAAGAACGTAGCTCAACTTCATTTGTTGGTTTCGGTATCGTTCCATCGACAAAACCGAACTTGTTCTTTACTATGAGTGCATCGGTCATATCGACCACCCATTCACCATAATTGGTCGGAGTAAGAGCATCTCCAACACTGAGTTGTCCTCCGCAGTCCGAAGGATGTAGAAAATAGACTGACATGGGGTCGACTTGCCCCGAAAGCTCGGACTTGACATATCCGAACTTCATACTTTCAGCATGCTTCGATCCAGAGTCATCCGACTTCTTGGCTTCATCCGAATCACTCATGCTGTGAACCGATCAGAGAAACACCACAGCGAGCTTATTGAGACCGTCGCTCTGATACCATGAGAAATCGAGAAAACGTAAACGAGACACACGAGATTTACGTGGTATCCTCGGTCGATTGAATGACCGAGACTAATCCACGGGAGAGTTCAGACTCTCCGGCTTATGATATTATTGATAGATCACCCTGTTACAGTGGCCGTATGGCCTATGCTCTCCTTATATATGCTAGCATGATGACCTAGCTCTATACAAGTAAAAGACGAGACAAGTAATGGGCTAGGGCCAGGACTCCTTCTCGTGGAAGGCAAAACTTCAGCAACATGGGACTTCGGCCAGTCCTGTGACTCCATACTGGGTTGGGCCGTGCGTGCTGACTCGTTGGGCTCGTCACCACACTCCAATAAAGGGTTCCACCTTAAGGTTGCCAGGGTTGTCATACTATGGTAAGGATGGTTGAACTGACACCTGAGCTCCAATTGTACATTTGACGAGTGAGAGATGGAATACATGGTGTATTGCTAAGTCAGAAGGCAATTGTAGTCAATAAGCCACTGCTCCAATCTTCTGAGTAATGGGAAAAGGTCCATAGTATTTGGCAGCTAACTTCTGGTTCACTCTAGTGGCCACTAACACTTGCCTGTACAGTTTGAGCTTCAAGTACACGAGGTCTCCCACTGCAAACTCCCTCTCAGTTTTGTGAGGATCATCCATTTTCTTTTGCTTGTTCTGATCCATGGCAAGGTTTTTCCTAATGATCTTGATCAACCTCTGCTGGTATTGGAGCTTGTCCACAGCTGCCGCTACAAAAGTGGACAACGAGTTTCTGACCTCGAAATGGGATAATGGATGACCATACGAACACTTTAAATGGTTTCAGCTGCAAACTACTATGGTAGTTAGTGTTATACCACCATTAAGCTAAGGATAATTAGAGAATAATTGATGTACAATGACAGTTCTGCACCGAGATTAGTGAAGAAAATTAGAGAATAATTGATAGATTTATCTGATTAACAGGAAGAAAAAAAAAAGAGATTTGATGATAATTGATTAAGGTAGTTTATTTTATAGGGTCAATAATTCTAGGGTGCATAATTCATGCATAATTAAATTTAAGGCTGTGATTTGAAGTGAGGTCGGATCTAAGAGTTGAGAATAAAACAGTTTATTAATTATTTAATTTTCTATTTTTAATCCGCTTTTATCTTAATCGTTTTAACTTGGATTTCAAATTTTTTACATAGATGGAACGAATTCATTGTGATATACAAAAAGAGTTCCATTTTCAAGAAATTCTTTTTTTTTTCATACCACACCATCACCACATTGGTACTACCTTTATTTTTAACTTAATATTTGAGCCCAAACCAGCGCCCCTTCTCAAAACCTAGATGCCCTGCCTCCCACAAATCCTCCGCTGCTAGAGCCCCCTGAACCGTGCCTCTCATAACCCCCACCGCTGGAAAAAGGGCGATGGAGCCAAGACATGAAGCAGGAGCCAAGACATGAAGCGAAGACGAGCCATAGTCACCTCTGACCCATCCTCGCGGGACCAAGACACCCTCTGTTCCTCGTCGACCAAGAGCACCAAAGAAGAGCAGAAGATGCATGGGCGGCCAATGATGATGCCGTGATAAAACCATATGTCTCTAAGATCTTCAAACCGAGTCCAAACCAGCGGCCACATCTCCAAATCACCAAAATCAGCAAGGTGAAGCAAAGGAGGTAGACGAATGGCAAGTGGAAGAAGAGAAAAGCTGGACAAAGGCCAGCCTCCTTTGTATCTAAGAGATGACATCTCTAGATCTGAAACCTTAAACCAGAGGGACAAAAATTCACCCACTGAAGGAGAGAAAACAGATCCACAAAGAGAAAGAAAGGACCAAACCATAGTTGAACCAAAGCTAAAGAGCTAAGAAAAAATGAGCTGAAAAATCAGAAACTAGAGCCAATTGCAAGGGGAAACCAACTATGAGAAAGAAAATAAAAAGAAAAATTGAGGGCCACCGCCGGTTCCAGAGGAGGTCGACGGGAGCCCATGGAGGAAATCACCTTTTGAAACTAGAGAGAAGAGAAAGAAACGGTAAGAATATTTTTACAACCATTTTACACTATGGTATATATTCATACCAACATAGTACAATTTTATACCACGTGGTATAATTTTATGTACATACTAAGTAGTATCACACAATGTAGTCAAAAGCGAGTTTCTATGTAGAAACGTTTTGGTGATCTAGAAGCGTAAAATGTTAAGTTTTTAAGTTTTAAAGCGGAGTTTCTAACTACATAAATTGTAAAAACTACGATTTTATTTAGAAGCGTTTTAGTGATTTAGAAACGTAAAATCGTAAGTTTTTAAGTTTTAAACCGTGATTTTGACTACATTACTATCACATAGTACGAACTGGTAATATTTTCTTTTTTTGTTCCTAAATATCAAAATAGGAGCACTTCTACTATATTATAAAGCATTGGTGCTTTAATGTACAACTTGAAGTTGTACCATAACAGTTAAATATATAAGTTCAGATTGTACTATAAAGGAATTTGTACCCTTATGCTATGATACAACTTGAAGTTTTCAAGTTGTACCATAACATAAAGGTATTAGTTCAAATTGTACAAACGAGTATAGGTACAATCTGAAGTTGTACCATAACATTAAAGGTACAACTTCAAATTGTAACATAAAGGCAAAAATCTATAGAACCAATGCTATATAGCATTGTAAAATTTCTCTCAAAATAGAGGCAGCACAATTAATAGAATTTTTCAGTGCAATTCTTTTTTTTAATTCTTTTTTTTAATTTGATTTGAATAAAAAAAATACCCTGTCAAAATTTATTTGGGAAAAGTCATAGCTTTCCATAAATTGTAAGTATGGAGTTATGCATGTTTATATACTATGGATCCAATGTAGAATGATAGTTCTGCACCGAGATTAGAGAATAATTGATAAAGATTTCATGGATTCACAGGAAGAATTCGGGTAGTTTATTTCTATATACGTAGTCTGTTGAAAATATGAAGGGGGAAAAAATTGCCAAAGGGAAGAAGATACAGTTGAAAACTAACATTCGACCCACATAAATATCAATCAAATAGAAGTTGGGACTTCTGTGCAGATAGTGTAGCATATTTTCTAAAGCAAACTCACTCGAAGAAAATTACAAGCCAAAAGAGAGCAAGCACGGACGCACCCACACCTTACTGCAGCGGCTTAGCCCCGCCGCCATTTTCCAGAGTGGTAGGAGTGGAAGAGCCACTTCTCTTGCTGGATTGCCCTGTAATTGTCCTCCCCATGAACTTGCCAGCTTTGCTCAGCCCACTGCCCACGGCTCCAAACCCACTCCCAACCATCCCAACCCCTCCTGCAACCCCGCTTCCGACAAGGTTGGCTCCAGCCCCAATACCACTCCCCACCAGACCAACACCACCGACGAGCCCAGTGCCCACCATCGACGCTGCTCCATCCAGTGCATCCATGGTGCTCCCAATCACTCCAGCTTCTTTCAGTTTCTTTCTTTCTTCCAGGACCCTCTTCTCCTCTTCCAAAGCAGCCATCTGCTCCTCTTTGTTAAATTCATGGTACAGCACCTTTTTCCAGGAAAAGCATATTTGGATGTCAAACAAAGACTACAAGAATACCGAGACATCTGGGATAACATAACGACACCCACACAAGAGAGTAAGAGTGTACCTTAATCGTAAGAGTTCCACGATCCTTCTTGTCCTTAACCTTCAACATATCAAGCGCCGGCATAAGTCTTAACTCCATATCTTTCCAAGACTCTGCTTCCAGGTCAATGAGTGGTACCTTCACAATACCCAGCCTCTTGTCTTGTCCAATGTCTTTATCAAACACCTGCGATGAAGAGTTACATTAAACCCTTACTGCTAGAAAGTTGTTTCCCAATTGGTCGCGCACAGCAAGAGTGCAGTGTGACGTAAAAGGAAGACCATACATAATATAATAACAGGCTACTATGAAGTAGGGTACCAAGGAAACGGAAAGAAAGAAGGGTTCCACACCTCGAAAATAAGTGATTGAGTTTCCTTATCTTCAGCAATCAAATCAAATGTCTGATTCCATACAGGATTAAGATTGTTCTCCACTACATTTGACTTGACCTTGAACACCGGTCGAATATGTAGAACAACATAAGGATCAGATTTTCCAATCATTTCCATGTTCTTCAAATCATTCGCTTTGACTACTGTCACCGTCAGCTTCCCTTGAGGCTTAAGCTCCAGTTCACTGCACAATATGGAAGAAAAATCACAGTTCAGAATTAGCTGATGATGTGAGATTCATCTAAAATAATACTCCAAACTGAGCCCATATTGAGCACCTTCTGTATTCATGTTACATGATGAATGTGAAATGGCAGCGATTTAATCAATTTTGATCGAATATAATTTTAAGTGACACCTTTAGGGACTAACAACTAGCCACTCCAGCGATTAGAAAGTCAATCAAATACCTGGTATCAACAGGTATGCCACCAATCGGAACAACAATTCTGTGAGGCCACTGAAGCATATCGGTCACAATTGAATTGACTGTATCCTATATCAGATATGATGTAACAGCAGAATCAGCAGTTAGATACCCCATGGAAACAAGAATAAAAGCTGAGTAATGAAGCCAACGTTTACTTACATCAATCATATCTGATAAACCAGGAATGGCAGTCAAGCTTCCACCAACAGCTTTTAATACGTATTCAATTTTAGGTTTTGGCTGGTTAATAGACAAGAATAGAGTTAGTTTCCATCTGTGACAAAAAATAGTGTGAACAGTATCTGTAGGCCTGTGGCAAAAATTAATCATTCGACGTTGCAGAATGTCAATTATAGTATAATGTATCAGTGGCAAACTATGTTTCAGTTAAAGGGCTTCAATAATCTTAAATGGGTTTTTGTCGTTCCAATAACAGAAGAGGATTCTGCAGATGAATCAGGCAATCGGCCAACCCTAACATAAAAACATGATATTACAATGTACATGCATTAAGATGATGGACAAAATCAACAAACGTAAGAAGTTTCCCTTAGATATTAGATTGGTTAGAATACATCTGCATTGCTGTAGACTAATAAAGAACAGTCAAAGATTAGTTGCAAAAAAAAGGTCTCAAATAACACATGAATTTTATATTTTCGTTCTAAATGCAAATCTCCAACAAGAACTAATAAACTCAGATAGATATCCTCACAAAAAGGTAGAAGCCCCCGGTAAAAGACCATATGTAAATAAAATGAAAAGAGTTAAGAATGGGAACTTATCTAGTCATACCTCAGAAAGTAAGGCCACAACAACAGCAGAAATGCAAGGTATCTCCTCAGAAAGTTGGAAGATGACACGAATTACAGAGTACATTTCGAGATCCTTAAGCTGCAACAAGTTGTGTCATGATCTTATTCATTAGTTTTCCATTGTAAAATTGAATTATTAAAAATGACAGAACACATAACACTGCCAGATCTTGCATTATCAATTAGTCATAGCTTTCAATTAACAAACCTGAATCGGTATGGAAGCAACTAGTGCAGCTTCAACCCCAAGAATGATGCTTGGGTCACCACACCATCGGAAATCTATATCCATAGTAACTTGGCCTTTCTTGAGACTTTGAACGCGAATACCTGCAATAGTTAGGAAGTGACATATTAAATATAAAGTGAATGTATGGTGCCTATGCTACTAGACATCTAACTCGACGCCAATGCATGCCACACGAGCAATACACTTCTCAATAACAGACTAAATCCGCCAGTTTACTTGCATATACCTTCGATTTTTGGTGGAACGGTTCCCAAGGAAAACTTATTAAACTTCAATGACGTTATCCCAGGGGGCCTATACTCTTCGAGCAATGGTTCAACGGATTCTTTAATCACCATAGTTGCAGCCTGTGAACAAACACATTCACCAACATTTAGCTATCTTCTACTAGCAGTTTGAGAAATACAGGACACATGAGGTCTTTGAAAACATCCAATTTTCATCCACGTTTAGACGGAAAAAAATTGAGGACAAACGATGACTATAATGTTAAAACCAGGACAGAAGAGATAGCCTTGCCATAGAGCAGAGCACAATAAATACATGTATAGTAGAAAACTAAAGAACAAGAAACTTACATCAGCGACATAGGGCCACAGCTTGCCCAGTTTCTTGTTCATCCATTTCACCTGCAAGATAACCCAAATCCCAGGACCGAGATTATGAATGCAAAAAAAAATGTTATCTCAATTCTGTAGATAGTGCAACGTTCAGTGCAATGTTATCTGAATCGCTAGCTTTGAAAACCACCTAACAGGTCTTTCTTATTTTTAACAAAGATTAACAATGCAAGACTTAAGGACCAGAACTGAATTGCTGGAGGCTGTTTGCTGAGGTGGTAGCGTTTGAAAACAGATCCCCTAATTTTTCCCATCATAAAGACACAACCTACGGACGTACAGCAAATTCAATTGCTGAAACGGGATAAAAGAAAAGCCAAAAAAAACTCTTAGGAAAGAAAATCATGAAGTAATTAATCATGTTATCAATTGAATAGAGAAGCATACCTGTTCAAAGACTGGGAAAGATATCCACTCAGGAAAATTGTCTCCACAAATTTTCTTCAAATCATCTCTATTGAGTGTTCCAAGCAGTTTCATGTCAACTGCCTGCAGGAGAAGGGAGAATAGGTAAGGAGAATATTAGTTATCAAAAAAGCTAAGCAACTTAAATAACTAAACAACCACAGAGAAACACTAATAAACAGTTCTAGGAAATCTTGTACAGTGATTTGTGGAATCCGCAGGAAAAAATGGAGCACAAGTAATTGCCAGCATTAAGTTTTTTTTTATATAGGTAAAACATGTTAGATGTAATTCAGAGGGAAGTACAACAGTTGGCAGCCCCTCACCCCACTCATATTGATCTCTCAAAACTGTGGAAGCAAACCAAAAACAAGGAACTGAAAAATGTTGAAAGGATCACTTAGTCACAACACATCACCACATGAAAGAAGAATCCCACCAAAATACACAGAGACAAGTCCATAAGAAGCGAATATCAAGATTATCAGCCTGCTCCGGTTAATGGTCAACAAATTGTGACCTGAACAGAGGATTAGAAGAATATGAACTGAGCTAGCCATCAGAACATATTTAACTTCCACTTCCCCCCAGCTATTAGCTTGTATGAACAACTGGAAAACCATAATCGGCTTTGTCAATAAGCCTACACATCAAAGGGAGAAATACACACCAACACATACTTTTCATCGCAACAATCAGAAATGCAGCAGCAGAGAGTTCACAAAATCAGCTAATCAGGTGATTCACGAAGTAACATGCATTCAGGCACGAAGCAACGAATTTGAGAATTCAGCTATTCTCATTTCCAGCAAAACGCAGCTTTTCGAAAGCCTACTGGTGAGCTACAAATCCACTTGGAACCGAAACGGAGCAAACACAGGACGATTTTCGTGACAATCGAAGCTACAGCCAGTGCAAACTCGCAATTGACAAAATGATAAACAAAGGAGCGACAACGAACGTGCCTTTGAAACTCGCTTGTTGCTGCGGTATTTCATCATATGGTTCCATCCCGCCATGAGCCCAATCCCGAAGGCGATTCCCAGGAAAATCCCAGACAAAAGCCCCATCCTCCCTCGAGATTCCGAAAAAAAACTAAGACAACATAAAAAACGAGGCAGTAAGAGCAAGAAAGAGATAGGCAGATAGCAATCAAGAGAGAGAGAGAGCGCACTTACAGCAGAAATTGGAGGAAGGCGCAACAGAGGGAGCCCAACAATTCAAACGAAGCAAGAAGCGAGAATAGAGTGAGGGAGCGTTAGGAGATTTTGAGGGATCAGAAGGGAGGAGAGAAGTGGAAAGGACATTGAAACGAAAAGAAAGAAACTATCGGTTACTGGTTTGTAGTTATGATTGTTGTCACGATCTGTAAAAGAGAAGATAATAGTTTATCAATTAATTGTTTAATTTTCATCTCTATTTAACATTTTAATATCTGTTGCCTCGTTTCGAATGAGTGTCCGTCTCCTCTCGTTATCTTTCTCTCTCCTTCATTTTTCTTTTCTTTGATTTTTTATGCATATCTCGTGAGGGGATGGGGTTCCGCCGGTTCGAACACTTTAATCAAGCCCTGTTGGCAAAGATTGGGTGGCGGATCTTGATGGAGCCTCAATCCCTTCTGGCCCAGGTTTATAAAGCTAAATACTTTCCTAACAGTTCTTTCATTCAAGCTACGGGTCGCTCACGCCCTTTGTGGGGTTGGCAGAGCATTCTGTTTGGAAGGAAGTTGCTGGAAATGGGATTACGATGGCAGATTGGGAACGGGCGGTCTGCGTCTCTGCTCCGTTCAACCTGGATACCCCAGTACCAGCTCGACCCTCCTACATATAATCCTCAAATCTTGCCGGCAGGGAGTGATCCTTTGGTGGCTGAGGTTATGTGCCAGGGGGAGGGCCGCTGGTGTGACCTTAAACTTAGTCAATGGTTTGACCCTCCTACCTGTCGTGCCATTAAAGCAATTCCTCTGCCGCGTCACGATGTGGAGGATAGGTTGATCTGGTATGATACTGTGGATGGGGTATTTTCGGTGAAGTCGGCCTACCATTTGGCGGTCACGTTGGATAGGAGAAGAGGTGGTTGGTCGTCTAATGTTAACTGGATGGATAAGCCCAGTTGGATTCGTCTTTGGAACATGGATATTGCGCCGAAGCTTAAAGTTTTCATTTGGCAAATCCTTAATCGAGCACTTCCCACTACTGAGGCACTTATTGAAAGGAAGGTCCCGATTTCTCCCCGACGCCCAGTTTGCTGGGGCGATTCGGAAACTTTGGAGCATTTATTCCTCTATTGTCCAATGGCTCGTGCCCTTTGGGATTACTCAGTGTTAGAATATTTAGGGGAGGGGTTGCCCCGGGATACTTTCCCCCTTTTCTTGAAGAGGTTGTTGGCCTTGCTTAATCAGCCTAGGTTGTTCATGGCAGATTGGCAGTGGTTGCTGTCCTCTGGAGGATCTGGCAGTCTCGCAATTGGGTTGTCTTTGAGGGTAAACAGTTCAGTTTCGCTGCCATGATGAGGCAGTTTACCCAACAATATGATGAATGGATTAACCTGCCGGCCAGTAATGATCCCCAAGCCTTGAGTCGGCCCTTGAGCCAGTCTGGCATGGCAGGTCCTGATGGCTTGGTCTGCATGTGGGATGGTGCTACCAGGTCCGGGTCTCACTCGACAGGTGGGATGGTGCTCCTCAACTCGTCCAAAGAAGTAATTCTGGCTAAGGGGGTTCAGTTCCCTGTGATTGATGACCCTATGGTTGTGGAATTGTTGGTGCTCCGAGAGGCAATGCTTTGGTGTATGAACCTGGGGCTTACGAATATTGTTTTTGAAGGCGATGCCAAAGTAATCATTGATAAAATCAACCGGGCAGATGCAAGGGATAATCGGATGGGTGCAGTTCTTGAAGAAGTTGTTCATTATTTTGTCACTTGGTCTGATTGTAGAATTCGATTTGTAGGTCGTGATAGCAATAGGGTAGCCCATTTGGTGGCTAGAAAGGCCCTGTCTTTGTGTCCGACTATGAATAGGGGCTTTGATTATTAAGCTTGGCTGAATTCCAGGATGTAACTCGCTTTTGTGAATCAATACATGATTATCTTTTGTAAAAAAAAAAACATATCTCGGCTCAAGATAGAGTGCATAACTATTAGTAACCAAATCTAAACTCTTCTTAAACTGAATTTCTATTTAACGCCCAAACTTTTTAAATTTTTCGCCCTAAATTTGTCTAAACAGACGATTTTGCCCCCAACATATTCCTAATCCCTAGAAAATTATGAACATTTTTTTCGCCCTCATCCTGCCGACGACTGCCATGGTGAACCCGACTCGCGGCGGGGGGACGTCACCGGTGGTTTTGGGAGCCGATCAGGTGAGGGTTTTGAGATCGAATGCGTAGTTCTTATTGTCCAAGGGGGACGCGAACCGCGACTTGCCGCCGAACGCGTGGGCCTTCTCGCCGACTAGGGCGACGACGTGGGAGCTCCAAACACGGGGCCCTTTGCTTGAGGTGGGCGGCGGCGACATTGGGCGGGGTAAAACCAGAGGTGGCCGGCAGGGCGGGATCATTTCCTTTCTTCTTCATCAGCAGCGTGGCACAGCGGCAGACCTGGCGGCGGGGCGTTCTTCGTTAGGAGATCGGCGCAGCGGCAAACCTGGCGACGACGGGGCGCACCGAGGTGGGCGGCAGCAATTGGCGGGGCAGGACAAATTCTTTCTTTTCTTCTTCGTTTGTGCAACAGTGGTGGCGGCGTCGACGGGGAGAAAAGGTCACGATGTATTTACTTTAGGGCGATTGTGTTCCTATATTTTTTGTTGTTTTATAGTAGGGAGATGGTTTTCTATTTTTTTTTTTCCTGATAGTAGGGCGATGGTGATTTGAATTAGGAGCAAATTTGTTGTTTTTGAATTTAGGGCGATAAAATTTAAAATTTTAGGGCGAAAAATAGTAACTCCCTTCTTAAAATGCTGTAGAACTAAAGGTGGAAAATTAAAAAAATTTATTTTCCCTAGTTTTCTTGATTGGATCATATCTTCTTCGGTCTAACTCGAATTTCAAATTTTTTTGCACAGATGGCACGGGTTCGTTGTACTCTATAAATGATATCCATTTTCAATATTTTTTGAGAAAAAAAATTCCATACCTCTCGTTACCAACTCCATACCATATGGTATCTCCTTCGTTTTTTAGTCGTTTTCGGAAATTTTTGCACAGAAGAAACGATTTAATCATGATCTATTGGATTTCAAAAATTTCTGCGTGAAAAAATTTCATACCTCTCTTACCAACTCCATACCATACTATACCACCCTGGTATGAGGTGGTATTTTTCATACCATATGGTATGCCCTTATTTAATACTAGTCAATAACCTATGGTACAGTCTCAATATCATATGGTATAGACTGGTAATAATGACAACTTTTTTTGTTCCAAAAAATATCAAAGTGGATATCATTTTGAAAAGCACAATTAATCTGATCTAACTATGCAAAAAAAAATATGACTTAAAAATAGCGAGTAATCATCTGTTAAAGATTAAGGGAAGGAAAATTAAAGCTTTCTCGAGTAGAGAGAAGGGGGCGCTGATGTGGCGGATTCTTATTGGGTTATGCATGGGTAGGGCTGCAAATGAGCCAAGGCGCTCGCGAGCAACTCGGCGTTCGAATCGGAAAAAACTCGTTCGACACTCGACTCGTTATTTAACAAGCTGGCTCGCGAGCCAACTCGTTAGTTAACAAGCCAAGCTTGAGCTAGACCATGCTCAGCTTGATAAGCTCGCGAGCTAGCTTGATTCAGTGGCTTGTTGAGCTAAGCTCGCGAGCTGCCTTGTTTAGAGCTTGTGAAAGGATGTATTACTCTTTTAAACATGAACATTGTCTTGTTAATTCAAATGTGTATGAAATTTAGATGTTATTTATAGTTTATAGTGTTCTTTCTATCATTTAAATTCTTATGTTTACACATTTTCCATCAAGAATTATTTTAAATCGAGCTCATCTTTAGCCGAGCTTGTACTCAGCTTGACAAGCTATGTTAATGAGCATTTATCAAGCTCTATCGAGTCGAGCTCGAGTTAGATGATTTTCATTCAAGCCGAGCTCGAGCTCGAGCTGGATTATCAAAATTCGAGTTCGAGCCGAGTTCGAGCTAAAAAATTAATAAACGAGCCGAGCTCAAGCTAAGCAAAAACTCGACTCGACTTGTTTGCAGCCCTATGCATGGGTTATTGCACCACAAGGTTACTGACTAGATATGCTCCCGGGAGCCGATCCAGTGAGTAATTTTGTGGTCAATAAACATGCATAACCCACTTAGAATCTTCCACATCAGCGCCCCTTCTCTCTTGTAAAACATTTAATTTTTTCTCCTTTAATCTTTAACAGACGATTTCTCACTCGTTTTAAGTCGAAATTTAATTTTTTGCATTGTTATATTAGATTAATTGTGCTCTTCAAAATGATATCCACTTAGATATATTTTTGGAACAAAAAAATTTAGCAATTTTTTACGAGTCTATACCATATGGTATTGACTGGTATTGAAATACGAGCATATCATATGGTATGAAAAGCGTACTATGATGGTATGAACATACCAAGACTGTAGGATGGTTGAATACATGATAGTAGGAGTATACTAACTGTCATTTACAACTTAAAAACGAATAAGATACCATATCGTACGTTGTTGGTAACAAAAGGCGTTAATTTTTTTTCTTAATAAATATTAAAATGGATCTCATATTGTAGAGCACAACGAATAAGATATGAGCCGATTAAAATATGAGCCGATTAAGAAAATAAGATAAAATAAAAATGTATTTAATTATCCACCCTTAGATATGGATTTTCTGAATAAAGGACCCTAATTTAGTTATGGATGGGTGCATAACCCATGGTTATGCATTGTATCTGGAGCCTCTCTACAACCAATCTACCACCAACCTTCCTGATTAATATATTCTCCGTTTTGCAACTATACTCTAGATCTTCACGGTTTCATCTTGGTGCGTATCAAGATAACTTTCCGAGAGGTCACTCATCCTTACACAGTGCTCCATAGTGAGCATGTTTAACTTCGGATCCCAAAACGTTTCTTGTCAGTTAAGGTATGTTTCTTGCTTATGAACCATGTATCACTCCCAAGTTTTGTCGATGTGGAATTTGTTTAAAGTGTTATACTCAACCCTATTAGGGACTCAACGTCCTCGTTGAGGTTTGCCCTACAATCGCCCAAGAGTGACGCGAAGAAGCTCTGATACCACTTGTAACATCCCAAACCTTTTCTCGGCCAAGATATTATCCGCTTTTGGTCTAGACCCGAACTGTTTTTCTCTTGGGGTGCATATCAAGTTGACTTCCCGAGAGGTCACACATCCTTGCAATGCTCCACAGTGAGCACGTTTAACTTTGGAGTTCTTACAAGAACCCCTTCATTCAGTTTCCTACTTATAAACCATGGAACTTTCTCGTACTTTTGTTGATATAGGATTTTCCTAATGTGTTACACTCACCAATATTCTGATGAGCATATCCTTGACCGCCTTTAATAATGCTCATTGTTTCCAACCTTTGAGTTTTTGGCAAAATTTCTCCTCTAGGAATAGAAGTGTGTCTCTTTTAGACCTATCTAGGATAGAGGGAAGGCTTAGATAAGAGCCTTGCTGTGCATTGTCACATGTGGCAGATGGCATGGAGCCAACAAAGTGACAACATGGCGGCTGCACATGTGGCGTGTATGAAAGACTAGTAGCATAGAGATACTCCTAGAATTCTCCACCTAAATGAGGGTTTAATGGTGCACTTATGAGTCACATAATGTGTGACATTTTATAGAGTGCATAAATGGGGGGGGGGGGGGGAGTTAATGGGTGTATTGATGTAGAAGGACATTATGAGGGGCATTGATCCTTTGTATGAGGAGATGCCTATATAAGGAGCCCTTACTTCGAGATTGCTTTCAGTTGTTGAGGTCCTGTTCCTCGTGTATTCTTTTTAGTGCGGTTCTGAGGACTGCCAACTGGGCTGCCCATAGAGTGGCAAGACAAGCCCTGTTGCTATCCCCTGTAGAGATAGTGTCCTTCGATTTTGTAGGGTGGCTTCATTAATTTTGTTTTCGGGGCGTTGGGTAGAGGTTTTAACTATTGTACTTCAACCTTACTTGGAAAAAAAAAAGGAGCCATCTCCCTCACTTGTAACTCATTTCATCATTTTTTAGAGTAATACACACTAGAGAGTTCTCCCATCTTCTTTGTCTTTGTTCTTGCTTTCTTTGCTTGCTTGTGAGTTTGAGAGAAGGCTGCTTAGTTCCCTAACGAAATTGAGAGCTAAGGCCGCACGACCGAGAGAGAGAGCCGCAATCGGGGATGGTATTGCGACTGAATATTGCTATCAAAGTTTTAATCTCTATTAAATATTAATGGTCTCGTTCAGATTGGGTATCTCCTATCGTTATCTTTATTTCTCCTTTCTCGTCATTTGGATCGGGATGCGGCGGGTTGCCAAACTTAAACCCAAACCCATGGGTTTATCCACAAAAAAGAAATTCGAAGTAAACCCACTGGATTTGGAAAACTCAAACTCAACCCAACCCGCTGAGTATCCGCGAGTTTATTGGTACCCATGGGTTCATGTAGAAAGATACAATTACACTAGTTTTCACTACTATTACCTACTATGTACACACTAACTCACAAATCCTCCATACTAATTATTCAATATTAGAGATAAACATCCACAAACAATATGATTAAGTAGTACCACCTGGTAATCACGTGGTATAATCTTCTGTACATATCAAGTGGTACCACATGGTATGGACTTGTTATAAAAGTCTCAATTTTTTTGCCAAAATATATAAAATTGAATGTTATTTTGAAAAACACAATTAATATTTTTTCTGTGCAATATTTTTTAAATTTCGACTTAAAATAAAAGAGATAATTTAATAAAATTAAATGAGGATCTAATTGAATACCTTTCATAAACGGTAAGGTGTTATATTTACTTAGTTTACCATTTTGACCCTTGGGGTAATTATTATCCCTCATCTAATAATCACACATTAATTGTATTGGACGTCCGATGTGAAGTTGTGAATAGTTACCGATCATAAGGTTGTGAAAAAAGAACGACTTAACCGTGCCATGTGTTCCTTACTATTGAACACAAATCATTGGTATCATAGTGTGACTGTGCGAGACGTGTTTTCCGATCACATAGCATCAAGCGACTGCTAGCCACGAGTACGAATTCGTCAAGCGTCAACACTGTCCACCACCGTTGAATTCCAGATCCAACGGTCTCAATCAAAACACCCGCTCGATGTACCACCGGAACTTGAAAATTACCACGAAGATCCCTTTTATATTCTCATTCTTTACGGAATTAGGCAAAATAATAAACGGCGAATTAAGAAAATGGCAAAAAAAAAAAAATCTTTATTTTACTATGAGCTGCCCGCTGGCTCTTGTTTTCCAGGTTTGCCTTTTAGCCTGCCTTAAGGTGGTTTAACTCAAAAAGAGTGAAAGCTGAAAACCTCCCACCCAAAGCCAAAGCCCGAACCCCAATCCCGATGTCCGGTCGCGGTGGCGGTGACGCCGGCCCCCCACTCGCCCCGGTCCTGCACTCCAACGGCGGTGAATTTCTTCTGTCTTTGCTACAGAGGCCCAGCCACCACCAACAACAGCAGCCCCCGCCGCAGTTCCCCCCTACCGGCCACACTCCCTTCCTTGCCCCGCAACCGCAACCGCAACCGCAACAGCAGCAGCAACAACAACAACATCAACACTTTGCCCAGCGAATTCAACCACATCAACCGCTGCCTCTTGACCCGGCGGTTGCAGCCGTTGGCCCGAGTTTCTCTTTCCCCCAACCTTCCTGGGGAGCCAACGCCCGGGATCTCGTCTCCCCGTCATTGCCGCCTCACGGCTCTCTGCCTCCCGAGCAGCTTGGATTTCCACCCAACTATTGGCATTCGCCGAATCAGTTTCAAGCCCCAACTAGCCAGCCCCAAACCCTAATCGATGATCTCCAGAGATTAGGGTTTACGAGCATTGACGCCAGCGTCAACAATGCCATCCAGGGTTTGCTGCTGCATAAGCAACAGCAGCAGCAGCAGCAAGTACAGCACCATTTACAGTTCGGTTCGTTCCAGAGCGAACCACAGATCGTGGATAACGCCGCCAAGGAGCTGGAAAAGGCGCTAGGCAATGCCTACTCCAAATCATTTGAAAAGAATCCTCAATCCGATGGGCATCTAAGCTCGTCGGCTCCTAGAGATGTAAGTTTCAATGTGCAGGATCGCAAGGCTGGCAATTGGGGAAAACAGCAGCAGCAAGAAGTAGGGAATCACAACGCTCTAGGACAGCGAAAGCAGCCGCCTCCGGGGTTTTCTAATCAGCAGAAAGGAGGGCTTTGGGATAATGGGGGCAGGGGAAGAGAGTTTGATAGCAATATACGCAGAGAAAGAGGGAATAATCATCCTAGTGAGCACAATAGCAGAGGGGAATGGGTGAAGCGTGCTAACGGCGGCTCGCTTGAACCTGGAATCACTAGACAGCTAGACACGCCTGGTCCTCCTTCTGGCAGTAATCTGCATTCTGTTTCTGGGTCCGAGGTTGAAGCATCAATGATGCACTTGCATTCCAAGCTGGTTGATGATGAGCAGGATAATGATGGTCGTGAATTGGATGATCATGGTGAAGAACTTGTTGATTCTTTGTTGCGTGAGGGTGAACCTGATGATGGTGGGAAAGACAAAAAGCAAGGTCGAAATTCGCGTGAAAAGGTAAGACTCTTCCTCCAGGACTAGAAGCAATTAATGCTTAGTATTGCTTGATAATCTAACTGTTGAAGGGTTTTGATGTTAACCTTCTTACTCACGAATAGAAAGTTGTTGCCCTTGGAAAGGGTTCATATGTGTAGCAAGGAGGTTGCGAGTCATTATAACTGGAGTAAGGTGGTCAGTTTTTTTTTAATCTTTTTTTGTTTGTGATAATCAGGAAGCAAGATCGGATGACCGAGGGCAACGAATGCTAAGTCAAAGGATGAGAATGTTTAAGAGGCAGATGGTATGTCGAAGAGACATAGAACAATTCAATAGGTCTTTCCTTGCCATTTATGACTCACTTATACCACCTGAGGAAGAGAAAGAAAAGCAGAAGCAGTTACTGACAATGTTGGAGAAACTAGTTAACAAGGAATGGCCAGAAGCTCGGTTATTCCTTTATGGTTCCTGTGCTAATTCTTTTGGGGTTTCAAAGAGTGATGTTGATGTCTGCCTTGCAATCGAAGATGGTGATGCAAGAAAGTCGGAGATCTTGTTAAGGTTGGCAGACATATTGCAATCTGACAACCTCCAAAATGTGCAGGTGAACATCATTCATTTTCTTTTGATAAAAACACGCGGTGTAATATAAATAGCTTTCTATTTGTGCACAACTAATATAGAACTTTGATTTCCTAGGTCCTTAGGGCATATGCACATTTAACCCTATTAACAAGATAGGGATGTGATTAAATGGTGCAGAGTATTTAATTATTTGTATAGCCTACTGTTAGACTGTATTCCATTCTGGGTTTCCTTGCTATTTGCCGAATATCACCACCACACTGGAACCTCCTGTATATTGGGGAAGTATGGAGCAATGCTCGGTGCTACTCTGCAGTGGGAACTGTGTTCGAATGATTTCCTGTTAATTTTTAGAACTAATGCTCTATTGGGATTTGCTACCATCTATCACAGTATTGAATGTGGTATTGGACTTTCATTCAACTCATGAAGTGGCAAGCAAGATGAGCTTAATCTTGAGTTTGTTGAGAACATATATTTTAATAATATTATTATGTAGGTATTGGTTATGTTTGCCAGTACGAGTGATCTTGAGCCATTAGAGCTGGATTTAGCACCGGTTTTTCCGGGAAAACTACCCAGTAGTTCAGATGTTCGTATGGTTGCATTGAAGTTAGTACCATGCATGACCTTCATGTTTTGATTGTAACACCTTGGAAATTTATTCATTTGCTAGTTTCCAGCTGTCTTGAGGTATCTAAGTTGTTCTGCAGGCACTAATCCGAGCCAGGGTGCCCATAGTGAAACTTATGGATCCAGCGAGTGGGATATCATGTGACATATGCATAAACAATGTTCTTGCTGTGGTAAATACAAAGCTTCTACGGGACTATGCGCAGATAGATGTCAGACTACGGCAGTTGGCTTACATTGTTAAACACTGGGCCAAATCAAGAGCAGTTAATGAAACTTACCATGGAACTCTTTCCAGCTATGCGTGAGTTTTCCTTATTTTTCATAAAAAACTTAGTAATTGAGGTATAACTGATATCAGTTGTTAGGCAAATACATCTTTGCATAATTATTTGGTTTATTTTCAGGTACGTTCTCATGTGCATTCACTTCCTACAGCAGCGAAGACCTGCAATCTTGCCATGCTTGCAGGTTTGCTATCACTATTTACATGGACAGTTGACTATTTGTATTATGTAACCTGTGGGTTGAAGAGGCGGTATTTTGCAGAGAATGGAGGCAACATACTCCGTCACAGTAGACGGTGTCCAGTGTGCTTACTTTGACCAAGTGGAGAAACTCCAAGGGTGGGGATCGAGGAATAGGGAGACAATTGCTGAGCTGGTGTGGGGTTTCTTCTATTACTGGGCTTATTGTCATGATTATGCAAATACAGTTGCATCTGTGCGAATGGGGAGGACCATCAGGTGAACTCTTTTACTGTCCAACATCTCTGGGTCAAAGCATGAAAGCTAAGAATGTGATGGGACGAATGATGAATATGATTTTCTTCTTATGTTGGCAGCAAACGGGAGAAAGACTGGACGAGGAGGGTCGGGAACGATAGGCATCTGATATGCATAGAGGATCCATTTGAGGTGTCTCACGACCTGGGAAGGGTGGTGGATAAGTTTAGCATTCGAGTGCTGAGGGAAGAATTCGAAAGAGCTGCTGATATCATGCAGCATGATTCGAATCCGTGTGGAACACTGTTTCAACCCTATGTTCCCCCTTCTAGTTGAAGCATAAGCCAGCTGCTCTTTTTGTGAGTTTTAAGTTAAGGTTGGTGTTTCGAGTTGTAGAATTTCATGTAAATTATGTGCTTCTCTACCCTCTTTGGTTTGGTGGTACCCAAAAATTGAGGGCAAGGAAAGGAGTGGGAGGGATTGTCGAATTGGTTGTACGCTTCCATGAAACTAGTGCGTCCAACAATTGAGAGCCGCCAAGTTCATTCCCTGCTGCTTATGGTTGTATCTCATTTTTTCTTGTCCATTTGGCATTACCAGTTATTCTTCATGCGACTCATAATCGCTTATGGCATATGAATATGATGGTAAATTCGTTGGATATGTTCCGTACTTGGAACCGTAAGGTGGTGGTGCGAAATTTCTGGTAGGTGGGAACGTTCCCTTCCGGCGACGGGCTTATTACCAGATGGCGATTGGATTCTTTCGCGCATCTTCAGAAGTTGGCCATGATGCAAAGATGCCCAATGATTACCCCTGGAGTGTTAGGGGATTGTCGACAAGAACCCAAAATGGCCGGCGGTGATCGATTCCGATTTCCGACTGCGGTCATTAAGATCCCTATCTATCTATCTATCTATCTATCTATCTATAGAAATTAGGGCTGGGCATGCGGGCGGATCATCCGCGGGTTTGGGCCGACCCACCCGCATTTGAACCGAATTTTGTTAAGTGGGTGGGTCTGTCGGTGGGTGACGGATTGAACTGGGAGCCATCCACCGGGTGGTGGATGGGTTGTGGGTGGGTGCGCGGGTGACCCACTCAACCTAACATCAAAAAGATCAAAGTCGTTGGCGGTAGAGAGGGGAGAGTGGAGACGTTAGACATAAACTAGGACTGATCCTGGAGTAATTGGATCTCTTATTTATTGAAGCACGGCTTTGATCAAGGTGATCAAGCTCTCGAAAAACTTAACATGTTCACACTTACATGGAAACTAGGAATACTACCTACCTCCAGTACATCCCACTGGCGGGTAAAAGTAAACCAAACTGCAGATTTTCTAAGCTATACAGATGTATTTCATTACGTATAACTTGTATAAGGGCTTGGCTAAACCTCTGTTGCTTCCCAAACACTCGAGCATTCCTTTCCTTCCATAGCATCCCAACAATCCAGCACCATACAGAACCATAAAGCAGTCCGATCTCCCCCTGCTACTGCACCATCGCACTAGCTTGTTGCAAACAGCCTGCCACGTTGTTAGCCATGAGCCATCTAGTGTTTGAAAAAAACTGCAGAAGAACAGCAGATGAATATGGACAGCAGAAGAAGAGATGATCCCTTATCTCTCTGGAGCCTCCACAAAGCATACAAACATCATTATCAACAATACTCCACTCCAATAGCTTATCTTTAGTTTTTATCCGATCTAGCACTACTAACTACGTAAACAATCGATACTTTGGGACACAAAATTTTCCCCACAACACCTTATACCAATCAACAACTGGCTGTTTAATACGAATGGAGTGCCAGATTTGCTTACCTAAAAATTTGACCATCTGCTTGCCCTCCCAACATACATGGCCTGGCCCCATAATAGTAAATCGAAACTGGAACCATGGTCTAATCTTAAGCACTAGTCTCCAAACCTATGAGCGAGCTGAGTTGACCTTGATATCCCAAATTGACCTGCTCTTTAATCTATATTTAGTAATCCAAGCAACCCAAAGGCTACCCCTGCATTAAAATTAACCACATCAATCGAGCCACACATGCTATATTGCATGTCTTTAGGTCTTTAAGACCCAGTCCAGAATTGCATTAAGCTGTAAACAACTGATGCTACCAACTGCACCCTACCAGAATAAGTTAGCTTAGAAGCTTTCCATGATCGGAGCCTGCTGGTAATCTTGTCAACAAGAATTTCAGAATCAGTTTGTGAAAGGATTAATTACTCTTCTGAACATGAAAATTATCTTGTTAATAAGGAAGTGTATGGAAGTTAGATTTTATTTTTAGTTTCTAATATTCTTTTTTATCATTTTTAATGTCTAATATTCTTATTTGTACACATTTTTCAGCAAGAATAGTGAAGTATCATTTGTACATAGCCTAGTGGTAAGAGCTGTGTCTCATGTTAAACAAAGGGAAGCATTTTCAATTCCTGCTGCGACATTTTCTTTTTCAGTTTTACTTTTCAGTTTTCACTCTTACCCTTCAACAAATTTTAAGAGAACTTGCATTAAATATTTACTATTTCACTCTTCTTTTGCCTTCGAAAAATTAATAGAGAGAATTTCCATATAATATCTAATGTATAAAAATTAAAAGAGAATTTCCATATAATATCTAATGTATATTATAGAAAAGTTCCGGAAAATATCTTAATATCCATTTTTAAATTTGAATATCGTTTCGTTTAGTATTTATTATTTGTACCGCTATATATCTTACTTTGTTTTGATTCAATCAAAATCTAGTTTTATTAGCAAATATGCATTTTGAATTGTGAAAATAACATAAATTTGCTAACAAATTTACAATAAATTTCTTAATCTTACCATGAAAATTTAAATATTATATATCACTTTTTCTCATTTTTACGAAGTAAAGAAATACGTACAATTATTCAATTCCCCCCGATGCAAAAATCCTGACTTCGCCCCTGCTCTATACCTCCTCAATCGGACTAGGTAAGCTCCAACAACGACGAGAGAGATGGAATAAATTACGAGGAAAGCCTTTGGCCCGGTGCCTAATTTTTTCGCCGCCTTAATCGGCCCGGGAGAGGCAGGGAGAAGGCGGAGATCCAGCGCGGGTTCTTCTTCCCCTGTTTTACCGAAGCTCCACTACGAGAATGTACTGCGCGCTAGAGGACGAGGAAATTCAATAAAATATTTATAATTTTTTTTTTATGAAATGAGGTGTTAAATTTAAAAACTAAATTTTATTTATTTTATTGTTTTTAAATTGCCATGTCACGGTCAACTATAAGAATAGACTGCTACATAAGCAAAAGTTAAAAGAAGTTGTACGGAGAGTGACCAAACTTAAATTGTTTAACATATTTTAGTGACCACAAATAAAATTAAATATTTTTAAAGACAAAACGTGAACATTTTTTCCCCATTTTTGTAATGATAGTGACCAAAGTTTTTTCATTTTTGTAATGATAGTGACTGTACGTGGGCACCGGGTCGTGCCGCCCACGGGCTAGCACAGCACGACACGAGCACGGGCACGAAATAAATGGGCCAGCCCGGCACGAGCACGAATAATTTATGTGCCGTATCGGGCCTAAACTTCATGGGCAAGGGCACGAGCATGGGCACGACACGGTATATAAGTGGGCCGTGTCGGGCCTGTATTTTCGAGACTTTATTGAGTATAAGAACGGACATGGCTAAAAAATAATATTTATTTGATAGAAATAAATATAAAAAGAATTATAGGTTCAAATATTACAAAACACAATAATTATTTGTTGTTGTTAGAAGTGTCTAAAAGATATATACGTAATTACTAACATAAGTAAAAATGGACAAAGAATTAAACAAAGCCAAATCACACTCGCTATACTTCCAATTTTCTTTTCTCCTTATTTTTTATTTTTCTCAAACATTATCGGTTAATATTATATTTCCCTGTCCAATTTTCACCTTCTTTTCATTCTCTCTTTTGTTTTCGTCCTTTACATTAAACACGAATACGAGCATGACACGAGCACGAATAGGCACGACATGATTGGAACCGTGCCCGGGCCTGAGCCGGGCCTAGCAAAATTAACAAATGGGCTTGCATGACACGGCACGAAAACTGACGGATCGTGCCAAGCACGACACGAAATAAATGAGCCCAAAGCGTACCGGTGCCGTGCTGATCCAAGCACGGCCCAACGCCATGTACAATAGTGACCATGCAATTTACCTCTTACTTTTACACAACAAAAGTTTGACTATTACACCTCATGCATATAGGTTCCATTCCATATGCTCATCTTTGACCTCATTCCCGTTTTGTCACTTGCACAAACCATACTAAAATGCCAAAAAAATATGCAACAAGTTTCAAATAAATTAGCCTCTTTTCAGTTTCAGTACACGTTTCTTCTGCTTGCTCAACGTTTCAAATAAATTAGCATCTTTTCAGTTTCAGTACACATTTCTTCTGCTTGCTCAACATAGGAGATTCATACATCGTAAGCTTCGGAAATTTTCTATTAATTTGTACAATTTTCCTTCGGTTAATTGTATGGTTGGTCACTGAGATTACAAAAAACGTTCAAGTTTGGTCACTCGAAATATTTAAATCCATTGGTGGTACTTCAGTTTACTGAAACCGTTCACGTTTGGTCACTCTCCGTCCAACTCCGTTAACTTTGGCTGATGTGGCAGTCAACTATCAAAGTTGACCGTTAATTTAATGACGTGGCAATTAAAAAATAATAAAAAAAGAAAATTTAATCTATTTTAATGTCCAGCTCATTTTTATCATAAAATAAATAAATAAAATAAAATAAATTATTATAATTTTATCAAATTGAAAGAGACAGGTTCGAGTCCGGATCTGGTGACTAAGGGGGGGTGCTTAGTCAAGTGGCTAAGCTCCCCTCAGCCCTTAGATTAGAATGGGTAGATCTAATGGTCCAGATGAAGGAAGGGTTAGCAATTAATCAGAGGGGTAGTTTTGGCATTTAGAAAAATAATTAAATCTTGTTTTCCATTTTATTTATTTTTTTCTTTTCCCCTCTCCAATTCTCTCCAACCATCTCCTTTTTTCACGTTCACAGAGAGAGAGAGAGAGGATAGAGATGCGGCGACGGTGAGAGAAGCGCCGACGTCAACGGCGACGGTGAGAGAAGCGCCGACGGCGACGATGGAGAGAAGCGCCGACGCCTTCTGCAACCGTCTCCTCCTCTGCCCGTCCGTTTTTGCTGCGATGTCCAGAGAGAGAGAGAGAAAGCCATGGCGGAGGGGGAAAGAGATCGAACGCCGATGGAGGAGAGAGAGAAAGAGAAAGGCGACGATGTCGATGGAGAGAGAGATGGCGGCGCCGCTACGCTGGAGGAGAGAGAGGCGGCAGCCTTGGAGAGAGAGAAAGTAGATCTACTCGTCGGAAAACAGAGGAGAGAGAGACGGTGGTGAGGAGAGAGAGGCGGCGGAGAGAGCTTCGACGACGATGGAGGAGATAGAAGCGGCGCGGTGATGGAGAGAGAGAGGTAACGACGGCTGTAGAGAGAGTCGACGGCGACGTCGGCGGCGGCAGCAGCGGCGGCGGCGGCGTGGAGAGACATCGTATCGTCATCTGAAGGAAGAACAGTGATTTGTATAGTTTGTATGTTTTGTAACATTAGTTTGTATTGTTAGTATTTTTGTACAAAATGTCAGTATGGTTTGTATAGTTTGTAACATTAGTTTGTACTCTTAGTATGTTTTTCTTTGACAGTTTGTACTCTTAGTATGTTTTTCTTTGACAGTTTGTATTCTTAGTATGTTTTTCTTTGACAGTTTGTATTCTTAGTATGTTTTGCTTGTATTCTTAGTATGTTTCGCTTTGTATTGTAAGTACTAATATGTGGACAAAAATAACAAACATTACAAACATGGTTGACAAAAATGACAAACATGTGGACAAAAATAACAAACATTACAAACAATACAAAAGAAACCAACAAACATTACAAAATAACAAACATTACAAACATTGCAAACAAACATTACAAACATTACAAACAAACATTACAAACAGTACAAAGCATACTACACGTACAGAATATCACTACTTACAATACAGATTGGTAAACTTGTATTACAAACAAATGAATACAAAGTATACAAATCATAACATAAAAGTATACAAACTTGAATAACAAAAGTTACAAATTACAATATATACAAAATAGTCATACAAAACATTACAAACAATACAAACATTACAAACATGGTTGACAAAAATAACAAACATTACAAACAATACAAAAGAAACCGACAAACAGTACAAAGCATACTACACGTACAAAATATAACTACTTACAATACAGATTGGTAAACTTGTATTACAAACAAATGAATACAAAGTATACAAATCATAACATAAAGTTACAAATTACAATATATACAAAATAGTCATACAAAGATTACAAACAATACAAAAGAAACCAACAAACATTACAAAATAACAAAGTGTACAAACATTACAAAATAACCCGACAAACAGTACAAAGCATACTAAACGTACAAAATATCACAAAAAATGACAAACAATACAAAACATACTAACAGTACAAATCATAACATAAAGTATACAAACTGGAATGATAAAATTACGAAATCGTCGCCGCCTCTCTCTCCTCCTCAACCGCCGCTGCCTCTCTCTCCTCCACGATCGTCGTCCCTCTCGTCGTTGTTCCTCGCCGCCGCCGCCGTTCCTCGCCGCCGTCGTTGTTGTTACTCGCCGCCACCGCCGTCTCTCTCTCTTCTCCTCTATCGCCGCCGCTCTCTCTCCTCTACGGTCGCCATCGCCTCTCTCTCTCTTCTCCTCTACCTCCGCCTCTCTCTCTCTCTCTCTCTCTCCCCCGAACACAGAACGCCGTCGTCCCTGGCCGCCGCCGTCGTCCCTGGCCGCCGTCGTCGTCCCTGGCCGCCGTCTCTGTGGATTCATCTCCGCGTGCGACAAACAGGTGAGGGAACTATTTTTTTTTTAATTACAAAATTAAAATGTACAATTACTATGTTGTCCTTCCTTAAAATGAATTAATTGTAGCCTTAGGATTTTAATGAGCATGGAAGGCTCAGATTGACTTAGCCAAGTGACTAAGGGTACCCCCTTAGTCACCTGATCCTAGCCCGACAGATTCAATCCCCGCGATGCGGAGGACATATTCGCGGAATTCTTCGGTGGATCTGGCGGCGGGGTTGATGGAGGCGGCGGCGGGGGGAGTGGGAGGAGTTGTCATCATCATAATCATAATAATCGGAGGAACGGGGAGACCCCAGAGAATCATCATCACCACCATCATCATCAGGGGAATAAGAAAGCTCCGGCGATTGAGAGCAAGTTGGCTTGTAGCTTGGAGGATCTCTACAAAGGGGCAAGACGAAAGATGAAGATTTTCCGCAACGTTCCTGATGAATTCGGGTTAGTTATAAAACAACTTTCACCCCCGTTAAATCCCGTTTCCGTTCTTTCTTGCTGACTTTTCGAAATCTGGGCCTTCTTCTCTGTGAAAAATCATTAACAAAGGAAATAAAAAGGGTTATAGGTGTAATATGTCCCTCTACTATGATGTTTTATCAAACATGCCCCTCTACTATATTTTACATCAAACATGCCCTTGTACTTTGTAAAAATGATTAAACATGCCCTTTTGTTAAAATTTTCATCCAAAAACCGTTAACCAAGGCCGAACTTTAGTTTGGGCGACACAAATGACTAAAATATCCCTAATAAATTCACTTTAGAATTTTTTTGGTTCTTTTGTATAATCAAATCATTCAAATAATTTCACTTTGAAAAGACCCAGGAAAATAAAAAAGGGGACAAAACTGACATTTTTCCACCCATTTGCCGATGTCGGGTCGTCTAAATTTCGGTTCAACCACGATTGACGATTTTTCAATGGAAATTTTAACAGAAGGGCATATATTTGATAATTTTTTCAAAGTACAGGGGCATATTTTATGTAAAAAATAGTAGAGGGGCATGTTTGATAAAACATTATAGTAGAGGGGCATATTAATTTTTCAATGTTAAGTTCATCAATGGTCGGCTGGTCTATTTGTTTCCCTGCCATTCTAATTTTGAGCTCTCTTTCTTTGCTTCGGTGGATTCTGTTTGGTTGCAGAGAATGTAGTGGAAAAGGAGAAGAGATTTCACGTCCGAGCGTCAGAAATTGTCGGCAATCATGCGCAGGAGCTCTTCAAGGGTTGTCGCCGACAACAAACAGCAATGAGGTTTTGGAGCGTCTATTTCATTTTGATAATTATAATAATTTTTTATTTTATTTATTTTGTGATAAAAATGAGCTGGACATTAAAATAGATTAAATTTTAATTTGATAGTTATAATAATTTTTTATTTTATTTATTTTGTGATAAAAATGGGCTGGACATTAAAATAGATTAAATTTTATTATTTTTATTATTTTTTAATTGTCACGTCACTAAGTTAATGGTCAATTTTGAGAATTGACTGCCACATTAGCCAAAGTTAACGGAGTTGGACAGAGAGTGACCAAACGTGAACGATTTCAGTAAACTGAAGTACCACCAATAGATTTAAATATTTCGAGTGACCAAACTTAAACGTTTTTTCTAATCTCAGTGACCAACCATGCAATTAACCCATTTTCCTTCGGTTTCCTAGTTTCTCTTCTTCATTGCTCTCTTCTACAGGGAGCCAGGGAGTAACTACACCTGTCACTTTGCTGTCTACACAAAGAACACCCGACAAAGTAACTCAACCCTAAATACGGCTCATGCAAAGCAAAAGTCAACAAAGGATGGTTAACCAAGGATGAACACCTTGGACAATTTCTGGATGATTATTAATGAATCTACCCAAATCAACTAGCTGGATCCCTTTGCTTCCTCATCTCCATATTTACAGGATTCAGCAAAGAACTAGTCCTTCACTACCATGTATTGATCCCGATTCTTGCATCTCCGTCAGACTCTCATCTGCAATAATAAACATCATCAATACACACGAAGAGGGAAGAAACTTGAGTGGGAGATTAACAATGATTGAGTTCAGACGACGAGGGGACCAAAAGAGTGTACTACCTTAGAATTGGTCCTTCCTTTCATTGTCTTCGTCGCCGCTTCAGAAAATGCTACTGCCTTTTCTGCAAGAGCTTCGGCGGCCTCTGCCTCTCTTACGGCCTCTTCTGCTTCCGCAATGGCAGCCTCTGCCTCGGAAACTGCTTGATCAGCAACAGCTGCCGCCTCTCTGGCACTCATTTTTCTCATCCTAGATAGTTCCCGGTCAATCTGTGGTTTTCTAGCCACGTTGAAATCCTCCAGTTGCTCAGCTCTTTGGAATATTCTCTCTCTTCCTTCCAGCAGTAACATGGAAGCACTCCTCCTGTTGGAAAATGAAGCTGGTGCTTCCCTGTATTTGCGTTTGACCTGCAATACAGCAATCAAGAATCAAAATTAAAAGAACCAAGGTTAAGAAAATGAGGTGGAATTTGATTTTCTGCTGAATAATTTTTTCCCATCTAATTTGACAACAATATGACACAGCTGCAGCAGGCCAAAAGGACTGTTCTCTGCCATCAACTATTCTCTATCCTACTGGAATGCATGATAAACAAAGAAGCACCAGCTAGCTAAGCTTGATCAGAAGAAGCTATCAAACACGGCTGGAAATGCAGATTGCTCAAATGATAGGCCCTAAACTTCTCCTATGCGAGAAATTACAAACAAATTTCTGTGTATCCCTGCAGTCTGCAGATTTATCGCAAGATATGCCCTCTTTGAGAATGGACTGACTGAATTGCTAATCGCATCAATATGAAGTAGAACAACTATTGCTGTCACAAAATATGGACAACTTCTTTCCTGCCGGCTAGAGTTTTATTCAAGTATGAAGTATATATTATCGAATGTGATCAAATAATTACCTTGATCAGTTTGCCAGACGAAGTCAAATGCTTCAGTTTTGCTGACAATATCCTCTTAAAATCTTGAGGTGGCCAATATTGCTCCTACATAAATGAACCGGACAATCAAATAGGATACCAATATCAGCTGCATCCTCAAATAGAAAGAGGGAAGTTGAATAAGTTATAGAATCTTATAAGCAGATATGTGCTAACGTCATTCATACTGAAATTAAGAGTCAAAACCATGCTCAGGCAACAAACCATACAAATAATCAGACCACTCTGATGATATTACCAGATTTTAAAAGGGAAAACACATGACAAGGTCATAAACCTAGAAATTAGGAACCACGCCAAGGGTGAACAGATTCAACCAAATGGTAACCAAACTAAACAAGACACCTGCGGTGTTTTCACATGTGAATCCAGTACAACTAGTTATCCAAGCCAGTACCACTAGTATATGTCTTCTCCCAGCATATTTACCTTAATGTATGAAGCAATCGCTGTCTTATTTGAACCATCAGGCTCCTTCAAGTGGGCAATAGCCTCCATGATTAGATTATCCAGCCTAGAACAATGAAGACAAATCTTCTTATATAAACATTTGAATGAAATGATGACTGGATAACTATATAAACCCTAATATATAGGAACCACTTTGCTCGAGTATGCATCAGATTCAGGCAACATTTTGACGCTTGACATGTCCCTATAACAGTTGAACTCAAAGGTGAGAACATCTTGTTTTTGTGTGCCAACTAAGTACCGAACCTCATGCTAAATTTTGTAGCACTCCTTAGTTTCAAACTACTATGTTATGAAAAGCCCCGTGGTGAATACCATGACCATAGTGAGCTGGCAAAGGCTTCAGAGGAAACTTATTGTGAACTGAATGGTCCACATTCAGTTGATCTCATCTGCAATGTACCACCAGATTATTTTGATTTCGCAAGGGCCCTGAGATATACGACCAGCTAGAGCCTTCATTTTCTGGCTTCTTTCTGATCAGCTAAATTTCCTCTTACATAGTTCCTGAAACAACTGATATCCCCACTTCAGCATGATCGTGACAATTGCTACTGGAATGTCCAACTAGCTAATGTTGGAAATTCTTAGTATATACATTTAACAAATATGTTCTGATGCACACATCATATTTATTCCAACACAATCTCCTTGCAAATAGCTTAGTAAACCATATTGGCACTCATCCGTCTCTATCCCAAGTCAGTTTCTTCAATTACAAGCATCCAGTTTGCAACCGAGATCACCAATAATCAGAGCAAGAACATGAACCTTGTTTAAAATAATGGAATCGGTTGCGGTCTCTGACAGTAATTTCTCGTTGGTATACATCTGAAGCAATCTTGATCGCAGAATGGCAATCGTGACACATACGTAGATTTTTGAATATATACAAGGATGTACCAGGACTCGTGCTTATAAGACCAAAACAAAAGGCAAGCTTTTCACTGTGTGATAGCAATGCCTGCTCCTTCTCCTCCTCATCTCCACTATACCCACCATCAGCCCCCGCAGAAATCTGGGAGGCAGTATGTGGGACATAACCAGCTAGCCTTAACCTAATTATCATATCATCTAGGGTATGATAGATCTCTGGAGTTCGAGGGTGTGACTTATCACCAGCAGTGAACTGATGAACACGGCATCCTATATGAATGGAACTCATTCCAGGAACCTTTCTAATCCCCCTACGATACAGAGCATCCCGCAGGGAGTTTGCCTGCTTCTGGTTTCCTGATGAAGCATATATATTTGAAAGCAGTATGTGATATTCAGTGTTCTGAGGATCCATCTGAACCAGATCATGTAAAATCCTCTCACCAATCTGTAACTTTCCATGAAGGCTGCAAGAACCCAATAATGATCCTAGAACCACCTCGTTGGGAGGCATTGGCATATTCTGTATTAATCTTTCAGCTTCCTCTAAGCGACCAGCTCGTCCAAGCAGATCAACCATACAAGCATAATGATCTATTTTGGGTGTTATTCCATACACTGGTTTCAGATTATGAAAATACTCCCAACCTTGATCAACCAGACCAGCATGACTACAAGCACTTAGCACAGCTATAAAGGTTAAATCATCAGGATTAGCTTCTTCAAACATCTTAGAGAACATATGCAACACAGCTTTGCCCTTTCCATGCATTGCTAGCCCACCAAGCATAGCGTTCCATGTAACTACGTTCCTCCTGGGCAAATACTCAAAAACTCTAACTGCTACGTTTATTCGACCACATTTGGCATACATATCAACCAGAGCTGTCCCAACCATGATGTCCAACCCCACTTCCTTCAAAGCAAGAACATGAACCAATCTCCCAAACGCTACATCACCAGATTGTGCGGAAGCTGATAAAATAGAACAAAGGGAAACATGATTCAACCTGAGGCCTGACTGCAAAACCATTTCATTCAAAAGTAAACACCCTTCCTTGATCAATCCACTCCCAACATAACCTGCGATCATTAAAGTCCAAGCAACCTCATTCCTCTCAGGCATTTTATCAAACAACTCCCTGCCCTTATCTGGCCCTTCCAACTTCACCACACCTTCCAAAAGTATACTCCACGACACAACATTCTGTTCCTTCATTTCACTGAAAACACCTCTTACTTTGGATAGTAACCCACATTTCACATACATATTCATTATCGCATTGCACGCCTTAAGACTATACTTGAAACCCATCTTCATCACACAACCATGCAGTTGAGTTCCCATCTCCAAATTTCCCACTCTAGCGCACAAACCGAGCATGGAAAGCAGCACAACATCATCAACAAGAATACCCCTTCTCCTCAATTCATTGAACAACCAATAAGCTTCACAAGGATCGTTCTTATGCTTTGAAAGACAATTCAAGAAAGAGGTCCAATCTGCTAAGTCTTTGTGTGATGAGGGGATTTGGAAGAACAAGTGGCGGGCATAACTAACAACTCCACAGGACGAGTAAAGGTGAAGAAGGGCATTCGGAAGGAAGGAATTGTGTGATGCTGGTAGGCTAGCGGTGAGTATGACCGCATGGAGCTGCTTCCCAGCAGAGAGAGAAGACTGATGTGCACATGAGCGAAGAAAAGAGCGTAGAAGGCTGGGGAGAAAGAGCTGACTGAGGCATTTCATACGGAGGGACCGACCAAAAATGGAACTTCTGCCCGAAGATCATCGTTCCAAAAGCAACAACCCCCATTATTAATTTGATTTCTCTTACACCAGAAAAACAAATTGCACATGGATTTCTATGTTTAATCGCCAAGAAATGATTTAATGTCATTACTTCTATATTTCTAGAGGCCCTGAAATGTACCATAACTGTAGCAGAAGGTTGCACATAAGCAATTCATGAAAGGCTATATTGATTGTAGGAATCATGCCATAAGAGATCGACTCACCTTATGGTAGATCTTATCGGAGCAGGAATAGGCATCAGAGGAACTTCGTGAGCCTTAATATCCACGGCATCTTCATCACTTTTGACATCATTATCAGCAGGCAGAGGACTCTCTTCTCGTTTTGAAACATGGTGCATCCGCTTAACAGCAAACTTGGACTTCTCCCTAGAGCTCCATCCATTTGCCATGACACTCATGTTTCTCCATTTGTCCTGGCCGATCATGAAAGAAAATTAAAGGAACATGAACAACACTGGACTGCACTTCTATAAATGTTAGCATAAGGCATTTGAATGTCGTTTGAAACAAAACCCAACATATTAGTCACTCAGTTCACTATAAAATGGTTTCCAGATACATGAGCACAAAATTGACAACTGCTAACCTTGAGGTCCACATTCGATCGGAGGTACAAAACACTACTATATTCAGGATCCTTTAGTATTGTCCTCCATTTACCAGCACCATGCTTGATAACTCCAGCTTTCAAGGCTGCTTCTTCATCGGCTGTCCACTTTTGTTTGGGCGCACCCATAAGGTACTACAACAAAGCTCCAGTGGACCTACACTGCAGCCACCCAATAGATGCAGAAGCAGCACTCGTAACACAACCTCCTAATAAATGAATACGCTGTTTAGTTGGATGTGTTGGGAGGGTAGAACTTGCAATAACATGCAATTAAACAAATGTGTTGTTTTCTTTAACAGTTTTGATGCAAATGAGCACATTCAAAACTGCACATGCACATCAAACCAAACCCATCCAAACGTAAAACAATTAGGAAAGCTAGGAGTTATGGCCTAAAGAGAAGAGATAAAGAATCTGGCGTGTGTAACTAGTAACCAACAAACAAAACACTACCACTCTCTTGACATTTCACAATCTGAATCACGCCCCGCAAAGAAAACTTTTTTTTTTATGGGCAATATCAAAAAATTCAAAGAAAACTTTACAGAAAGAACTCCCAAAATGAATTCAATAATGAATCCGACCCAAACCCAAAACTATCATTTAGAAACCATAAGAGCATAAGGGAGCATTATTACCGTCAAAAGCTGCAATTCCTCCTAAAGACCCGACAGATATACGCAAAACAACAGATATTGAACGTTGTCGCTGACTACGAAAGCCTAGAGCAGATTTGGAGCTGGTGGGCGACGAAAATGAGCCGCTTCTGCTTGAGCTATTCTTATTGCTGCGAAGGAGGAGATAGTTTAAGGACGTTGCGATGTCGGAGATTCCATTAAGGAACTAGGGGGACGACGCAGCGGGTTCACTCAAAGTCTGTTACTGAAACCCTAATTCATAATTCTTTCGCCAATTTCCTTTCTTTTGTTTTTTTTGGAAAAAATCCCAGAATACACCAATTATTAAAAAAAATTACCAAAATACAGTACTTATAAAAGTATTTCCTAAAGTACAGCAGTTTCAACATCACTGTCTTTGTCTAAGACAGTGATGTTGATCACCGTTTTGGTCTAAAACGATGATACATCACCGCTTTTGACAAAAGCAGTGATGTTATCACCGCTTTAAACCAAAGCAGTGATGCCATCACCGCTGTCAAGGACGACAGTGATGGCAAGACCGTTGATGTTGGAGGCAGTGAAGCCTTCACCGTTGGATCCAACAGCGGTGAAGTGGCGCGGATCGCTGACGTGGACGCGCGCGGGCACTTCACCGCTGAAGACCAAAGCGGTGATTGCCCCGCTTTCCACGTCAGCGATCCACGCCCCACCCCGCGCCTTCACCGCTGCCGTCGGATGCAGTTATGCGCGGATTGTGGTTTTTCTCCACAATCCGACGCATCAGGAGAGGCCACGTCAGCGATCCTTGACCATCACCGCCTTTGTTGGACGCGGTGATGGCGCTGTGTTTGTTTGGGGCGGTGATAACTGGCCAGGTCTTTCCCAGCCCCAAACACTATAAATACCCATCCCCCCCCCCTCATTCCAAACCACACCACCACTTTATACTTCTTTCTCCCTCCATTTTTCACTCTAGTTTCGTTCTAAGTATGCTCTGTGGTTGCGGCTAAGTCTGATCTTCCGCATCAGAAAGAATTACTAGAGTTTTTGTTTTGTTGTTTTGTCGATACTCTCGCTAGCTTTTCGGCAAAAAATGGACGAAGAGGCTTTGAGAGTACGTAAATTTATTTAATTCTTTTGTGCTTTTTTTTACATGGGTGCTAAAATTTAAATTGATTTGATTTCATATTTTTTTATAGATGGGTGCTGAGATATACGACCCTAGATTGTATATCGATCCTGGCCCAAGGGATCGAAGGTATTTAACCGGGCAAGATCAACATCGCTCTCGTTCAATTTGGAACAATAATCCGGTAAACACACTAAAATTATTTCAATAGTTTTAAAGTTTTTATTTTGCTTTCTAAGTTTTTATTTTGCTTTCTATTGACTGACAATATTGTGTTTTTTGTTTTGTAGGAATCACTTATTCCCATCAGTCATCGAGGTACATGTCGATTGCCCCCTTGGCATCCTCGACTGCATCCCTATCTAGAGAGGGCGGGATTGCACAATTTGAGGCACTTTATGAGGCTAGATATTGACAACGATCTGCTGACGGCAATGGCAGAGCGATGGCGCCCTGAGCTGCATACCTTCCACTTTCCCGAGGGTGAAATGACGATCACCCTCAAAGATGTTGCCATCCTCACCGGGCTCCCGATCACCGGAGATGCCATCATCGACAGCTCGAGAAAACCAGAAGATGGTTGGGGGCCATTGATTCAGGAACGTCTGGGGTTCAACATGCCGACCACCACGCCCGTCGAAGGTCAGGGGCATCCACCACTGAATTCGGGACAAGTATCGATCCCGTGGCTTGTTGACCACATCCAGATGGAGGTTAATATAGGCCCGGATACTCCTGAAGATCAGGTGGAGCGGTATGCACGTGTCTACCTAATTGCCTTGGTTGGTGGGTTTCTGTTCCCCGACAAGTCAAACCGGTGGATACAAGGCATGTGGTTAAATATGCTCCTCGGTGACTGGGACGAGATTGGGCAAAAAAGCTGGGGGTCGGCCGTCTTGGCTGGGATCTACCGCGAGTTGTGTACTTGCTCGAAGTTGGGAGCGAAACAAGCTGGTGGTGCGATGTTCATACTCCAGCTCTGGGCATGGGAGCATCTTCCGTTTCTCGCACCTCGAGACCCTCGGGAATTCTGGTTGCCAGATGATGAGCTACGATTTGTAGCAAATCCCCCATATGGTTTCAAGTAAGTTCAATTTAAGTTGAATTTATTTTAGATATGCAATGGTAGCTAGTTAGGTGAATTTAGATTTTAGTGAACTTAGTGAACTTAGTATGCAATTTTAAGTATGCAATTATAGTATTTTAGTGAACTTAGCTATCTTCCAACTAAGCGGATTTAGAGACATTTTAGGTCTGCAATTCTAGTATTTTAGTGAATTTAGATATCTTCCAAGTAAGTGAATTTGGATTTATTCTAACCAAATCGCATTTAGCTAATTTAAAAATTGCTTATATATGTACTTTTGCTTAATTAGGTGGATCGGAGCAAATACAAACGACCACCAGCCCGAGCACTCTTTACTGTTTTATCGTGCTGAATTTGATAAGCCTTGGTGGAACCAGGTAAAAATATTGAATGTCATGATTTTCAATTTATTAGGTGGAGTGGATATAATTTTTACTAATTCCATGAATTTTAATGATTGTAGGCGGTATGGGATCCATATCCAAATGAAGTGGTTGAGTTGCATCGTCTTAGACATCCCGAGGATCAAGAGACATGGTTGTGCAAGGTGCCCTTAATCTGCTGGCACATGGTGGAGTGGCACCTGCCCGATCGATCTTTGAGGCAATATCGATTGGAGCAACCAATTCCAGCATCCCCACCTCAAGGGTTCAGGGAGCTCCACGCCATTGACCTACGCTACAACAAAAAGGATTGGACCCGCAAGCATGAATTCTACATCAACATATGGGAGAATAGAAATCAGTGGGTGGTCCAAGGGGCGCCGGAGACAAGGCCAATGGGGTACCACGATGGCTACATGCGGTGGTATCGGAACTTCACGCTAAGATGGGTGTCAAAGCAAGGTGCTGTTTGGGGCGCAGTGGTAAGTGAATTCCATTTTGGCCTATTTTAGTTAATTTTTGTAGTATGATTACATGCCTATATTAGCTAGAATGTTAATTAACATTATTAGATTTAATGAATGTTAATTTTTGTAGTATGATTACATGCCTATATTAGATGATAGAAATCATTATTAGATTTACTATTAGTTAATTTTGTACAACAATTTATTAGGTTGACGGTTTGGAGCATGCGAAGCACACCGTCGAGAGTGCACCCACCATGGATGAGCGGAAGACATCTTTTTGCGCAGGCTCTTCAACAACTTGCTCTGTTGTACCAGAGAGCAAAGGAGGGATGTCATATTATACCCTCCAGTGCCTGCTCCGGCCCGACCTTCATTCCGTGCTGATGAGAGGATTGTGCCCCCACAAGAGCCCCCACGGAGGAGCAGAAGAAGGGTGAGAGAACACATTGAAGAGCTTCGTCCGTCTCAGCAAACTCAACTTCCTCAACCATGGCCACATTGTGAGTGGGCTACTAGTACTGAGGGAACCGGAGGGTCGTCAAGCTATGCCCCGACTCAGGAGCATGACATGTTCACCCAAGCCACCCCTCAGTTCCACCATCAGCAACAAACTACTCAGTATCATGACCCCGCAACAACAACATACATCATCGACTTTCTACCACGCTTCTGGTCCATCTCAGCAACCTCCCCCCCCACCACCTGTCTACACTCCGGTGGGTGGTCGGGTTAAGAGGAATCCGCGCGCAGTTGTCCAGCGGGCTCGTGAAGAAGGAGGAGGAGGTAGAGAGGGAGGAAGAAGGGGCCGAGGAGGTCGTGGAGGAAGAGGAAGAGGAAGAGAAGGGGAAGTGGAGGGAAATGAAGACAACCAGTGAACTATCTATGTCGTTCTAATTTAGTTTCATCTTTTTTTGTTTTCCATGAACTATCCATGTCGTCTAAATTTGGTTTGGGTCTTGTGTTGTTTTCCATGAACTATCTATGTTTCTAAATTTGGCAATCGGATTGTGTTGTTTTCCATTAACTATCTATGTCGGCTAAATTTGGTTGGTTTTTACCCCCATGTTGAAACAAAATGAACAACAAACGCCCTTTATTACAATCACTCAACAAGATTAAAACAAGAAGTCCAAATTAAACATCACAACAACGAAAACTACTCAACAAGATTAAAACAAGGAAGTGAACAACAACAACATCAAGGTTGGTTCGGAATTGGCGCCGAATCTTGCTCTATAGGTGGACCTGGGTAACGCCTCTTGTCATGACCCGGTCGTCTGCACTTTGAGCAACGCTTTGGACCCCGTCGGGCACGTTGTGATTGGTCCATTTCATTGTGAATCCTTTCGGTCCTAGAACGACCTTTGGTGCGCTTTAAGTGTAACGGTGGGATAATCAACTTCCCATTGTCTACAGGCCAATAAGCTTCATCCGGCAGGGGGCTAAAACTTGACGAGTAGGAGTTCCTGATCGCCTGTTCCGTGTAGTAAGGACTAACCAAACTGTAAGCGCTGAGGGTTATCGACTTAGCTACTGCCATTGCATGTGAACAAGGTACTCTTCTGTTTTGATACTTTTGGCATGTACACTCTCCGGTCCGAGTTTCTACGTGTAGAGTAACGGATTGACGATTATGCCCACGTCTTCCTCCACCCCAGATACCTGTTTGCACAGCAAAAATACCTTCATTGCGGTTGAACAGAACAACTCTGTGCTTACTTGATTTCTCTTCGATCTTCTGCATGCCATCAAATATATGCTTAGCTATTGAATGACCAGCACGCTCCCTCCCTATAGCAGCATCCCGTCTCTTCACAAACCACTCGTTTACCTTCCAATATGTCATCTCCACTAGGACAGATACAGGCATTGCCCTAATGCCCTTGTAGACTCCATTTATGCTCTCCCCATGGTTGGTAGTTGCAATTCCGAATCTATGTGAAATGTCCACATGTGCAGATCTTGACCTTCTGCCCATACTGCTCCCGCCCGGTGTATTTGACGGATCGTCTTCATCTTCTGCTCGTACTTTTTTGGTTGATGTGCAACCGCTACAAGACCGGATAATTAATAATTAATCCATAAGAAATTTCATTTGAACAATAAACCATGAACAAGCACTGAATTACATTATTACCTGCACTCCACAATTGATCTCTTATGTCTTTCTTCTTGCCAAATTTGTGTTGGAAATTGGCTAGGAAGTGACGAATACACCAACGCCATGTCCATCCCCATTCGTCCGGGAAACCACGGACGGCGTGTTTAATCCCGGCATGTCGATCCGATATAATTGTAATACCCATTCTTTGTGTGACGTGGGCGTGTAGCTGGTCAAAGAACCATGCCCAACTTAGGTTGTTCTCCCCTTCAACTAATGCAAATGCTAAGGGAAAAATACTTAAATTTCCATCAACCCCAGTGGCAATAAGAAGAGTTCCTTTATACTTCCCAGTAAGGAAAGTTCCATCAACCTGTTAAAATGAATAATGAGTTAATAAAAATTGAAATTAGTAAAGTAATGAAATAGTACAATATTTTGAGTCCGTAATATACCTGAATCACTGGCATGCAGAAGGGAAACCCGTCAATGCATGGCTTGAATGTCCAGAACAGACGATGAAACATCAACTCGTTCTGTACTCGAACTTGATCTTCAGTTTCTACGTTGTTGTACCAAGGCACGAAAACCGTCCCAGGGTTGGACTCCTCCATTGCGGACATTAGTCTGGGGAGTAAAGCATACGAGTCATCCCAATCACCGTAGACATCAGCCATGGCCTTCTGCTTCCCATGCCACGCCTTCTTATACCTTATGGTGTAGGAGTGTCGATCCTTCACCTCCGCCATGATAGCTTTTATCTTGATATCTGGTTGTGCCTCGATAAGGTGCTTAATGGTTCTTGCCACTTTTTTTGCTTTCAGTTGCCGGTGATCCTGTGAAAGTATGGTTGAGGAGCAACTGTGGTTGTTCTCTACTGTCCGCATGACCCAGACCCCCTTTCTCTTCATATATGCAGCACGAAGTTGCCACATACAACCCTCTCCAGCATTCTTACAAATGACATGCAGTTGTCCCTTGTCAGAATATTTTACCTTCCATTCGAAATTACGCCGCATGGCTTCTTCGCTAAAAGCGTCTTGCACATCGGCTTTCGAAGTGAACGCCATACCCACTTCCAAATTAGCAGTCGGATTATACACAGGCATGGGCCGAAAGTCAGGGGCATCGTTCTGACCATATAAAAATTGATCAGGAACCTCTGTGTAGTAAGGCGTTGGTGCCTGTCGGAACGCCACCTCACTGTCATCGATATCGTCGTTATCGTCCGTATCTTCCTCCTCACTGACTGATCTCAAATCTTCCTCACTTTCATCGTCACTGGAGGCGAATGGATAGCTCGGCGAAGGATGGTCATCGTTAGCAGCATAACCAGCATCGCCTTCTTGGTCATGCGAAGTACGCCCAGTTCGAAGGGTGTTTTCAATGTCACCCCACTCTGGACCCCAAGCAGGCCATTGATCACCGTCGGGCTGAACGATATCGACGGCAGTCCCACCACCATGTGGCAGGTATTCTTCCCACCCAACACCTCCTTCAGAACTACCTCCTCCGTAGTTGCTTGAAGTACCTCCCCAACCATACCCTCCGGCAGAAGAACCTGCTCCGTAGTTACTTGAACTACCACCCCAGCCATACCCTCCTGCAAAACCATCATCATAAGAATACTGTGAGAATGAGTTTCACCGACCGGCTCGGTCTCGACATACACCTCTGCAAGCCGCACCCCGTTCTCAGATATGAACTGTGTCATCATGTTCGCGTCGTCATCATCATTTATGTCAACTCTTTCGTACATGACTCCGTCAGCACTCATGTTGGGATACCGGTAAGTAATTTGACGAACTCTCATTTGCCCGCCCGTACAAGTCCTTTCTGCACACCTGTCATGGAGTTCTTGCCACGAGAATCTCGACTCAATTGTAAGCATACTGGATTCGCCATCTTCATAGTCGATCCCAATGTTCGAGTTTGTCACCCGACCATTCCAATAAATAATAAGCCGAAACTTCTTAAATTTACCCATGTCTGCAATTTATAATAATTAAGTATAGTATATAATTAGTACATTATGGATACAAAAACAATATCATCCAAAGCGATAATAAAATGCAACTAATTGATCTATTATGAGAAAACTAAACAAATTCATCTAAATTCATAACTAGCTAACTAACATCTATCATATCATAATTAAACTAAATAATATCATAACATATTTTCCAATAACCGCAATTCACTAAATACAGACAGTATAATTACTAACACATCAACATGTAAAAAATACATACTTATAACATACTCAATCCCGATCTATCATGAGAAAACTAAACAAATTAATCTAAATTCAGTACTAACTAACTAACATATATCATATCATAATTAATCTAAATATATAATTCTAACATACCTAATTCTAGCACATAATCAAAATGTAAACAATACATAATTCTAACATACCAAATCCCGACGAGTTTCTTGAGCAGTAAACTACGGAGGAACCAGCTGCGAAAACGACTTAACAAAACGATAATTTTTTTACTAATTTTCTGTTTGGCAGCAGGAGGGAAGAGGGGGCGTGGCTTTTTATAGGAAAAATTGGGAGCTAATCACCGCTTTGGACCAAGGCGGTGAACCCATCATCGCCTTAGTCAACAGCGGTGATGGCTAGGTAGCTGTTACCTACCTCTCCACCTACCAGGGCTGTGTAAAACGTGGGGGCAATCACTGTTGTGGACAGCCGCGGTGATGCCTTCACTGTTGCTGTCTAAAGCGGGGATACGTTCCCCGCCTTTGTCAAAAGCGGGGATACAATCTCCGCCTTGGACAAAAGCGGGGAACGTATCACCGCTTTTGACCACAGCGATGATGCGTTCCCCGCTTTCGTCCAAGGCGGTGATGCGTTCCCCGCTGCTTCACTGCTTTGGACAAAAGCGGTGATCAATATCACTGTCTTTGTCTAAGACAGTGATGTTGAAACTGCTGTATTTTGGGAATTACTTTTATAAGTACTGTATTTAGGGAATTTTTTTTAATAACTCGAGTATTCTGGGATTTTTTCCTTTTTTTTCCTACTTGGGTTTTCGGGGGTTAATGTGCCGATTAAAAAGTATTTACATGTTATGAAACTAATGTAATATAAACAACTACAAGAGAAGATTAGAGAGGGAAAGACACAAAGAAGATATGGGGAAGTGAGCTTTCTTATTCATTCTTCACTTTTGATACAATAATATGCTCTATTTATAGGCACACTTTGGTAACCACTACATCCTTATATCAATGCATATGAATGAGAGATAATAATGTAGGAATAGGGGTTACATGTAACTCCCAAGTGAGCATCTAATGTGGTAATGGCAATGGTCATCCATATATCAATATTTACATAATATTACACAAATATTGTCTATTTGTGTAGGGTTATAGGCGCGGTCGCAGAGACTCAGGTGGGACCGCGTTTTGAATTTATAAAATCAGTCCTAGGCGCTTGCGCTCGAGTCTCCAGCGCCCCCGCCGTCTACCACTAATTTTTTTTAAAACCTAGCGGTCAGCCTTTCTTATCTTCTTCTTCCTCCCCCCACACCACACAACCCCCCCCCCCCCAACCGCCACCACTCTCGCCCGAAAAACCAGACCCCCCACGCCGCCGTCGCACCAGACCCAAACAGAAGCCACCCCGCCGCTAAGAGAGGCGGCCTAGCCGCAGACAGAGGCGCCATCACCTGAGTTCGACGGAGCAGATGTCGTCCGACGAAAAGGAAGCAGTCGCCGGCAGAGGCAGGGGGAGAGGCCGGCGAGGTCGTGGAGGCGGCGACCGTTTTCGTGGTGATAATCTCGCCGGCGACGACCAGAATCTCGCCGGCGACGACCAGAATCTCGCCGGCGGCGGGTTTTTTTTTAATTAATATTTTTGTTGCTTTTGCAGTTCCTAGACTTATGGACAGTTATTCGATGAGACTACCGCCTGCGACAATTGATCCAGCTTCGATCGATCTAGTACTTCTTTGGGGACATGGTCAAGATCGTATCGACTCAGTTTGGGCAAACGAGGTAAGTATTTGATAATTATGCATGTAAAGTTAATTAACTAGTTAGATTAGATTATTTTAGTAGGTGAACTGAACTGTACACAAATTAGAATAGAATTACGTATCAATTTTTTTGAAATTAGTATAATTTTAGATTAGATTAGATAAATTAGAAATATTACGAATGAAATTGAATTAATATAAGTTTTGTGCACTATAGGCTGGTGATCGATCTTACCATGTTTGAGGTACTACCAATTTAGTCACGTACCATGAGCGTTATCAGCCATATCTCGGAGCGGCGGGCTTGTCTAGTGTTTGCCCCTGGTCCCTATGAATGTTGATGCGAGTTTGATTACTGCGCTCGTAGAGCGTTGGCGACCCGTGACGTCAACCTTCCATTTACCGTTTGGTGAGGTCACGATCACGTTAGAGGATGTTGTGACACTGTCCGGTCTGGCGATCGATGGTGATGTCGTCGTAGTTGACATACCGGATGAGGAGTGGCCGGCGATCTGTTTGAGACTATTAGGACGGGTTCCAGATGATCTTTCAGGCGGTGTCGTTAGGATTGTTTGGTTGAGGGATGAATTCAGTCATCTGCCGGAAAATGCATCCCAGGAGGTTACAGAGCAGTTTGCACGAGCTTATGCTCTATCTCTAATGGGAGGTGTATTGTTCCCGGATCGGTCTGGAGCACCGGTGCACCTACAGTACCTACTTCTGATTGAGGACTGGCAGAGAGCTGGACGGTTCGCCTGGGGAGCAGCTGTTTTATCCTACCTGTACCGTGAGATGGGTAGGTCAGCTTTGCACATTACGTATTCCTCCACTTCTCTAGGAGGTGACCTTGGTGGATGGGTCGCCCTACTGCAGCTCTGGGCGTGGGAGTGATTCCTACATCTGACACCGCGATGTTTAGAGACGAGGGCGCAGATTGCCGAGGAAGCATCCCCACGTGGCCTTCGATGGCTACCGGCCAACACTCGTCAGTATGGTGACCAGCTATTCCAGTACACGGTGTGGTTTGACGAGATGGAAACCATGGTGGTTAGTATATAACATTTCATTTTATAGAATAGTTTTCATTTGTTTGTTTTAGATTTTGGAGTAATAACGTGACCATTTTTCATCTGTAGTGGCAACCTTATGTTAAGAGAGCACATCATCTCAGAGGTAGTGTGATACAGTCTGAGACATTTCGAGCAGTAGTGCCACTAATCTGCTTTTTTGCGGTGATGTGGCACCATCCAGACCGCGTGCTCCGGCAGTTTGGCATGAGGTAAGGTGAGTCTCATCAGCCACATCCTGAGGCTGAGGCTAGGTTTTTCCTTCGTCAGACTACTCGTGGGCCATCACGTGGGCAGCAGTTGGTACACGCCTCTAGAGAGTCGCTTACTTTTTGGAACCGTCGACATGAGTTCATAGTGACGACTCCATACAATGATGAGGTTTTAGCCTACCACTCGGAGCATATAGAGTGGTATCGAGATGTCACCAGACGTTTAGGCACACTGAGAGGAGCTGTAATGGAGGCATTGTTTAGTTATTTATTGTTTAATATATTTTTTTGTATTTGTCTTGAATTTCTTAACTTTGTGAAATCACTGACATTTAATTTTAAATTTCAGTACGACACTTTTGAGCATGCTGAGCTGAGTTTACGTGATGGAGTACGGACTGGAGGGATGTCCACCGACCATATGGAGGAGTTGGCCAACATGATGGCATCAGGGGTTGCTACTTTAGGTTTGGATCGGCGTAGGCATCCTGATCTTACAATACCTGTACAACCTTCTTATGATCAGGCCTGCATGGCTGCTTGGCCAGAGCGTACTGATCCGGCACCAGACTGGGTCGTCCCGGAGCCACAGTTCAGATAGGAGTATAGGCCACATAGACAGCGACGTGAGCATCGTGATGTACCTAACCCAGTCTAGATTTTAGATCGACAGCAAGCACAATTCGTCCGGCCTACTACGACCTTCTAGTTTAATACGCCGTTTCAGCCTGACAGTTATTCGGAACATCAGACAGGCACCACTTCTTCAGGATTTCAGGCAGGACCTCATTCAGCCTTTCATCCTCCTCCTCATCCACAGTTTCTCTCGGTGCCTTCTTCGAGCGCCCATCCACCAGAGGATAGCTTTCATACACCGCAGCATGGAGGCTGATACATGGCCTCGGGTAGTGATCAGTCAGCAGCCTCATGTGTAGACCCGTGGGACTCTCTAGAAGGTGATCACACCTTTCAGGAAACGAAGTGGTCTTATGAGCAGGAGCTTCAGGCGCGGCAGTGTGGTGGCGGTGTACCAGATGAGCACATTCAGTCTTAGCAGGATGATATGTTCGGTACTCAGGATCAGGATGATGGTGTCGATGGAGATCAGCCTCAGCATTATGATGGTAGGCCTCCACAGATCAGGCGGCCAGCGAGGTGTGGTACTGGTGGCTATCTAGTGGATCAACATGGTGGTCGTCGTGGTGGTCGTTATTGAAACTATTATGATTGTTATGTTATTATTATGTACTTCTTTGGGATATTTATGTGGACTATTTATAATTTCATGTATTATGTTATTAACATTAACTATTCAGAACAACAAATAACAAACAACAACAACTCAGACATTTTATAATAGTCCCGATAACAACAGCCTACAAGTGAAAAAACAACCACTACTTCAAACCATAACAACTACTACATTCGACCAAACTACATACCACGTCTAGTACCACTACTTCCTCTTCCACCACCTCTCGCACGTCGTTGGTCACCACTTCCTCTTCGCTGGCTACCACTCCCACTTGCTTGGCCACCACAAATTGATGCATTATGGTTTCTTTGGTTACAGTTGCTACACACTTGTTGTGATACACCCTCTCTTGGCCAATCCATCTCGTTGTGAATTCTTGTAACTCGTGGCCTCCCCGGCTTCCTAATCATGTGCACATTAGGATGGAGAATAGGACCATTATGCTTCTTCCAACCCTTAGGTTCACCAAGAAGTGTGAAACTTGTCTCATAACAAGCCAACACTGTTTCAAGCTTGTAGACATCGTTTACAAACCTATACGAATTAGCTCCCATTTGGTTGCAAGCTGCAATGGCATGGGAGCAAGGAATTTTATTTCCTTGAAACTTCCCACAAGTGCAAAATCCCGCCCGGTTGTTGTCGTCGAAGTGCACTATGAGTGTGTTCGAACTCGTCATGTTGAAATTGTTGGTAGGAGTCTGAACTACATAGATGCCTTGACGTCGATCAACCCCCGTCACGGAATGTCCAACTGCCTTTTGTGATCATGGCTTCATCATCTCCTCACACTTGATGGTGTATTGTGAACGACAACTTCTGATTTGTTCTTCTGTCTCCAATCTCATCTTAACGAATTTCTCCAACAATCGCCAATAAGTATGTTGCACAAGAGAAGCTATAGGAAGTGAACGAATACCTTTGAAAACACTATTGATGCTCTCTGCCATGTTGGATGTCAAGATAGACCATCGACGCCCACCATTATAGTTATCATGCGCTAAGCTCCAACGAATTTGATGTTAGTCTACCCAGTTATCACAAGAAATATTCTTATCAGCGGCGACCTTAAATTTCTCAACTTAACGATCAAACTTCTCCAAGCGTTATTCTCCGGCTAACAAAGTAAATAACCACACAAGTTAGATAAATTCATGACAAAATTAATACATTAAAATAAATAACAAATTAAATAAAGAAGGCTTACCGACTCGAAATAGTTGCTTATACATAATTTTGCTTTAAGTCTTTCTTTGCAAGTTGCTTGCATAGTGTCGCATGCACCACCTCCATTCTCAACCTCTTCCGATGTCACTCATGGCTTCATAGAGTCCCCGCATGCCTATCTGAGATGATGCAGACATCATTTCGACCGTTCAAACCTTGAAGGTGATTTATGAACCATGGCCAACTATCAGTATTCTCGCTTTCCACGATGGCAAATGCTATTGGAAAAATATTCTTCCGACCATCAAATGAGCTCGCCATGAGTAGCACTCCTTTATACTTTCCAATAAGAAATGTTCCATCAACAACCATGACTCCTGGACAATTCTTGAATCCATCTATACAAGGTCCATAAGCCCAAAATACTCGCTGAAAGATCGAATGACCTGGTTGAGTGGAAGGAACTCTTACCCAATCAATCACTGATGTTGGCATTTTTCTCTTTACCACCCGCAAGAATGTTTGCAAATAATCGTAGGATTCTTCCCAATTTCCATGCAACTTCTCCAATGCTCTTTGTTTCCCATACCAAGCCTTATAGTAAGTAACTTGCGTATTAAATTTATCGTTCAACTCGGCCTGCACAGTTAGAACACTCAGATTTGATTGGGCACATACCAAATGTTTGACGGACTCATATATAATCGACATCAAGATGGCGATGATCCGTCGATTAAGTCGTACTGCTACAAGAATGCACCAACTCGGCCTTTCTCACTATCCAATCGCTTTCAACATCTCGACATCCAAATCGCACCATCCAAGGACAATTGTCATCCTTGTGCTTCAAGCATCTGACCTTCCAGATTGAAGGTGACGACTCCATCACGCTATATTGAAAGTTGGGTTGTAGTGCGTGGTATGTAATCGCCACCTGTGCAGCTTGTTTCGAGTGAAATATCTGCGCCTTGTAGAATTCCCCTTCAAAACTAGCAACAATAGGCATTGGAATTACGCCATCATATGAAGCAACATATGATAATTCGTTGTCCTCTTCATTACCCTGCAAGTAAAAATATGGAGGATAATTAGGCTGCTCTCCTTCGCCATCCGCCTCCTCCTCCACCGCATCTTCCTCATCTCCGTCAACATCGTCATGATCGGATGGCATGCTCCATGTATCTTCTTCCTCTCCATCCCGATTCTCACTGAGCTCAGCATGTATCTCAGCACCCAAACAATAAGGATTTTGTGCCATAAAACTGAAAAGCACATTCAAACTATCATATCCACAATATGCATCGAATAATGAAATAAAACACCATTCTGGAAGACGGTAAGTGAAACATGTGATCACTTCACTATCTTGTACTGCTTCATCGCTACACCGTATTCTCGGAATTAGATTCTCACAAAGTTTGTGATATGTCACCCTGGATGGAACCGTCAACTGAAAACGACTACCACCAACGAATTTGACACCAAAATTATCCTCTACTTTCTCCAATTTCCACCGAACGACTAGTTCAAATCTTCTAAAATCACTACAGAAAAAAAACTCACTAATTAACTAAACAATATCATAATAGCATTTGAAGAATATAATTAAAAAAATAAATGTGTCTCTTACCTATTAGACATTTCTGCAGCAGCAACCAGAGCTTCTCCTCCTCTAACTTCGTCGATTTTTTTGTGGTGAGCAACTGAAACGAAATTCGCTGGTTTTTATAGGGGAGCCAGCAATACGCCACCGGACCCGCCATAGTCCTGGACGCCATCGCTAGGTACAAATTCCCAGTTACTCGCCTCAGTCTATGGCGTTACCACCTCAGTCTTGGGCGCCACCGCTGCCACCTTTATCAAATGATCCTAAAAAAAACCTAGACAGCGGCAGTGCCTGAGTCTCAGACGTTCTCGCCCAATTTGTTCTCCAAAACACAATAACTGTGTAAATACTTTTAAATCCGCCATATTGACAGTAAATTAAAAAAAAATACAATATTTATGTCATTAACCCGGTTTTCGGATGTTGCACGTATTTTTGTATGGTAAAATGACTCAGCTAGCACTAAAGTTTGGGAAATGGGGAGTTGTACCACTCAAATCAAAATTGTGCATCGCGTCTCACTGGGGATGGGATTAGGTGCTAACCCTTATAAGGGGTTAGCACCGTGATAACTAGCAAAAAACGCTACTAAAAACAACGAAATCACTACGGATTATTATAAAATCAATACAACATCTAAGCTAAATCACTACTAACCCTTGGTTAGGACGGTGCTAACTCTTGTACAATTAGCACCGTAACCGGTCCCCGTCTCACTGATATCATATTTGCCACGTTGGATGGGTCATGCCGAGTCACTAAGCCCACCACTTACTTGGTTACTCTCATTCTCATTCCTAGAAATAAACAAAATAAAGAAAATGGAGAAACAATTGAATTTCCTTCTCAGAAATACTACCGCCATTGTCAGTTCATGAATGCTAAGGTGGAACGGACCCGATCCATCGTTGGGTTGGAGAGGTGTTCTATATGGTAGAGAGCTGTTGAAAAGGGGACTGAAATGGCAAAATAGGAAAGCGAGACGGTGCGGTGAAGGACATGGGAATGGAGCAAGTGTTAGCTGCGTCGCCGATTGAGATGCGAGAAAGAAAGGTTGCTGACTTTATTCATTGTGAAAGAGGGCCGGGATAGCTGATCTTGTGCATCAAGTATTTCCGGCACTGGTCTGTACCGGTTAATATAGATAACAGGTGGAATCTGGTGTGGGGATTAGAATGCCCTCCAAAGTTGATTCGCCATTTTCACCAATTGGAGAAGCCTTGTTGCAAAGAAAGGTGTGTGTCTAGGCTGCTTAGAGGAGACAGAGAGTGTAACTCACTTGTTCCTAGAGTGTCCTGTTGCAATAGGAATTTGGGCAGAGATTGGCCTCCTGGCTGGGTGTGTTTAGAGAACATATATGCTACTAATATTGTTGTTTTGCGGCGCAGGCTGTTAGAAGATAAACAACTGGAACATGCGGTTAAGTTTAAAATCCTATATGGTTTTTGGAGGTTGTGGAAGTCTAGCAACAACGTTCTATTTGATGGGTCGCAGGCTGCGATCTCGGTGTTGGGGCGGCAATGGTTTCTGCAGACGCCGCAGTTCCTAGAGTTGGTTCCTAAGCGACGAGCTCTGGCCAATGTTACTCGCCAGCAGATTGCAACCGAGTCTCCGTCGAGATGAAGAGGTACGACGATAGCATTTTTTATGGTGCTACAAAGCGGTTATCTCATGGATTGTTTGATCCTTTCCTAATCGAATTAATTGCCTTAAGGGACACTTTGCTTTGGTGTCCACTATTGGGTTGGGGAGGTTGACGTACTTGGGGAAGTTCAGGTGGTGATTTAGAAGGTCAATTTCGAACATGTATGAGATTTCCAAGGTTGAGCCATTCTACAAGAGATTCGAAGCATTCTATAAAACCTGATAGGATATAAGATCTTTTTTTGTGCGACGTAGTCAAAACAGAGTTGCCCATTTTGTGACAAGGAAGACTCTGTCTTTATACCCGGTAGGGTACGTTTTATTTGATTTTGGTTCTTGGGTTCGCTCTTTGTAAACCTAGTGTTCTTGTCGTTGTCTCGTAGAATACGAGTTCCTATTGGCAAAAAAAAAAAAAAAAAGGAGTCTAAAACCAGTTGCGCTCCATCCACATCAATATTTTTCTTGAGTTTTATCCATATCCAATGACCACGAAAAAAGTCAGGAGCGATTGAGGGCTCGAGGCCAAACACCTATAATTGTGTGTCCCTAGTTTTATCATTTGACTAAATTACATTTTGATTCATAGTGGATAACGTAACAATCAGAAGGTGGGAATAGTATTGAGAGTTGTTGGATCTAGACATGTCATTTGGGGATTGATCGCCCCGAGTCTAAAGAGGTTAGCCTAATGATAATGTGGGGATTAGATATTCACTCATCCTAGGATCCAATCTTGAGCCAACAACCAACCGAAGAAGAAGGAAAAAAAACTGATTGGCCTGTCTAAACTCATACCCACATAGATATTACTCAACTTGACTCATGCTTCATGCCAGACATTTAACAAAATCATGTTTGATGGCTGATGCGAGACATTTATGCTTATTGAGATACCCATATGTGACATGACATTAACTCTCATTCTAATACTTTTCTCAAGGAACCTCTGATTATGATATTTCTAGGGAAACTAATAATAATCTAATATCACAGCAGCAAAAAATTTGAAAAAATTGTTATCAATTACCTACAACTCTCCCTCTAACAGCCATTACGTTAAACGAATAAAGATCCCTGGGGCTGCAAAAGCGATTAGATAATGAATGCCCAGCAAAATATCAGATTAGGGAAGGTGCGAATGTGCATGAAATAGCTAATTGGAAAACCAGGGGGGGGGAAAAGATTCGGTAGAAGGGTGCTGATCCCAGAAATGACTTGTCTGCAAACACGATAGGATAGGATAGGTAGGACATAGACTGAACAGAGGCCACTGCGCAAAATGCAAACAATTAAGACCCAAATTTCTTCACAAACCGAAAATAAATCCAAAGCTTAATCTCAATCTCAATCAAATTTCAAGGGGCACAATATAACTCTTCCATCTGCACCATTATGTCCAATTGCTCATCCCATTTCTTCACTCAGAAGCAGGCATCCAGTAGGCAGCAACAGCACAGAGCGGCCAAACTGAACAAAGAAGAATCGAGTACAACCAAGCCATCAGAAAGGGTGGTAGCAAAGAAGTTGAGTTAAACAACAAACTGGTAACAAATATTACAACCAGGCCTCACGATTCAGTTCAATCAACAAATTCATCCATGAACCAAATCAACAGCATCGGTTCATAATGACTGAAACAACTTCTCATCTTAGTTTAATATGCCACGAAGAGGAACATGATCAAATATAATAACTCCTTAAGATTGATAGCTTGTAGGTGTTGCAGAGATTTAGAGGGTCACTTTCAATTGAACTGAGGGTCTATTTCCAGAGACCTCCAATCAAGGGAGAATGAGCCGAGTAAAATACGAGGAACTGGGAAAGCAGAGGAAAACGACCAGAAGATGCTTCCCCCCCGACCAAAAACGTGGCGGGTAAGGCAACTGGACCCCGCACACCAACGAATCGGAAGAACGAATCACGCAAGACCCACGATCTTAGCGGGTTGACTCGCTCCTCCCACAGCATCGAATTTACCCTAGATCTGATATACCGAACCCGATCCGAATGACAGGCTCGGTCTTTCGATAATTCTAATTCAACAAATCCAAACAAGGGGGAGGAGAAAACGTACCAGCCTTCCAAGCAACCGGCGTTGCTGTTCTGCTGTTGCTGTGGCGGTGGCTGAGCGTATTGAGGTGCATAAGGCGGCGGAGGAGCTGGGTAACCGGGCTGCGGAGGATATCCAGGAGGAGGATACGCCTGCGGAGGATAGCCGGGCGGCGGATAAGCGTCTTTCGGATAGCCTTCCGGCGGATAACCTGTTCCAGGAGAAAGGATCGGAATTCCCCGATATTCAAAATCATTAGATCTAAGAGATCCTTGGATCAAAGAAACTATCGGGCAAGAACGTAGCGAAAAATTCAGGAAGAGGAAACCGGTGAGCCGGGGAAGGAGAAGTACCTTGAGGAGGTGGAACGCCGACTGGAGGTTGCTGCTGGTTGTAATAGCTCATGCTTCTTCTTCTTCTTCTATCGGATCAGTGAGTTGCGGAGAGGAGAGGCGAGACGGAGAGCACAAGTTTGGCTTGAAATTGGCAAATTGCAGTTGCCGGAGATATTTGTATTGTGTATCCCAACGCGAGATAGGGAGGGAGAGAGAGAGAGCAACTTTACGCTCTGTTTGGCAACAAGGGGGGTGCAAATTGCAGGAGGGTGCAAGTTGAGGGGTAAATTGCTGGGGGTGCAAATTGCTGGGGGGTGTAAGTGGAGGGGTAAATTGTTGTTTGGATGAAAAAGTAGGGGGGTGCAAATAGAGTGAAAAGTAAGTAATTATATTATTTTAAAATATATTTTAAAAATAGATTTTAAGATTACAAAATAGATTTTAAGATTTTAAAATATTATCATAAAATAATAAAATAAATATTACTATATAATAATAAATATACTTTACTAAAAATATTTATTATATAATAATGCTCAAATAATAATTAATTATGACAATTGTATAATCATTGATCGAGCGATCTCAAAACTCGAAGCTCAACTTGTAACTGGTCATCCTATATAGGGTTTTCGTGTCTAGTTTAATCATATTTGTCAAACTTAGTCAAACACGTTCGAATTTGTAAGTTTTAACTATTTAGTCAAATAAACTGAGTTAACCAAACAATTTCTCTCTATCTTTTCCACAAACACCTCGTATCTCTAATTTTCAATGCAAATTCGATTCAACCAAGAGATTTAGATTTGACTTGACGAATAAACTTGTTTCTAGAGTCATAATGGTCGACCCCGAATAATGTTTACATTAATGATATTTATAAAAAAAAGAAATTGATAATATTAATTATTATATAATTATATATAACACAATTAGAAAAACAAAATTCCATAATTCCCCCCTCCCCCTCTCTTCCTTCCTTCCCTTGCACCCCAATTTGGGGGGTAAGCCGAAACAGTAAATTTGCACTCCCGTTTTGCACCCCCCTACTGTTCCAAATTAACCAAACAGGTGCAAATGTGTTGGAAACTGTATTTACCCCTCACATTTGCACCCTCCTCCCATTTACCCCTCTTCCCAAACAGAGTGTTAGTCTTTTAGTTTTATTGGGTTTCAGACTCTTTTATGGTATTTTTTTTTTCTCTTCCTTTTTCTAATATTTTAATCTGGGGAGGGGAGACGCATCCAATGAAGATTTTGCTTGCGCTATTTGTTTTTTTTGCGAATTCAGTTTCCAGTGCGCTGTGAATTGCGAAACTCGTTTAATTTAATTTAATTAATCGGTTTCAGAATTGTTGTTTGAAAAAAAAGGCCATATATGAGGGGAGGGGATAGCGTCTTTTAGTGGTTTAATTTTAGGATAAGCGGAATATTGTTATATTACCAGTCGTTAATCTAGGGGAGGAAACAACACTCCTGCTTAACACCCGCTTCACCTCTTAAGAGATTTCCTCTTACCTTTGACTGTGTAAAACTAAAACGGTAAAATGATTCTCTCGCCTATATTACAGGCAACCCATCAATCATCATATTTCATCGTTAATCATGCAAAATATTAAAAATTACTCATTCATATCAACATTATAGTAAGCATTCTTGTCCAAATGTGTTAAAATTTTCCTAGGCTATATCTAGCTATATGACACACCCTACTTATTAGAACCCCATTTATTAAAAAAGCTAAATCGTAAATCCCATGGCGATATAGAGTAGTACAAGCTTACGAATTACTTGATCAAGACCAAAACCAAAACCAGCAATGAGACATCCAGAGCCACAAGGCCTTGCAGCAATTCAGTTCAGTAACAATCAACATGATTCATCCAACAATCCAGAAAAGGATGCAAAGCTTAAGAGAAACTGGGGATTGTGAAGACTATAAGCCGAAGAGACCGAACCTTGCAATTTAATTGGTCGATGGTGTTAAACAGAATACCAAATCAACTTTACACCCAAAATGTGCCTTCATTCTTTGTGAGAAATTTAATTGGTTTCATTTTATCTCGGTGCTCTAATGAAGGAGATAAGAATTCACCTTCATCCATCGATGTTGTGGGAGAACAATCGACCGAAGAATCCATTATCGATACAACAACTGCGACTGACCATGTACAAGCACGAGATGGAAGCCTTGATGGTGGTGTTTGTACGCCTCTCAAGAGGAACTTAAGTGACGAGGAATAGGTGCAATAGTTGTTTGGATTCAGTAGCTTATAGGTATATTAGGTTTCTTTATTTTAAGTGGTAAATTGGAGATGATCGGTCTTTGGTACAAAATTATTTGAACTTGGTTTTGGTGAAACTTTGTTGATCGGTCTTTGGTGTACTCCACATGATTTAGCAGTTAGATGTACTTTGTCGAGTTCCTATCAATCTCACTGATCAATTATAATTTTTCATTAAATTGAACTTCGGGTTTGAGTTTAGAGAACCGGAGCTTGGAGTTTATCCATTGGAGGTTAGGATATAGTATCATACCCCAAACTCGGTTAAAATCAATGTCGAGATAGAGATATCTCACTAAGAGTACCAGGAGTACACCAGGTGTCATTATTGTCCATTCTACACTCCATTCTACACTCACTTCACAAATTAGACAGTCGGTTTAGTTTTTATCTTTAAGGCCATTAGACGCTTAAGGAACAAAGGAAATGTATGACGAGGAAGCCCCTTCCCCAAGTGAGCCAGTCCCGAATAATCCCAAAGGGCCCTCGCTACCGAGCAGTCTAGGAAAAGATGCTCCATTGTTTCCGAACTAGCCCAGCACACAGGGCACCTGGGAAGCACCAGGACCCGTTTCTCAATAAGAGCCTCAGTAGTAGGCAGGATCCGATTAAGAATCTGCCAGACAAAGACCTTTAACTTGGGAGGAATGTTGGCTTCCCATAAACGAATCCAACTTGACCTGTCCATCCAGCTGACCAGCGATTTCCAACTCCCTCTCCGCTTGTAAATAGCGACCGCTAAATGATAGGCAGACTTAACCGAGAATATCCCATCCGGAGTATCATGCCATATCAACTTATCGTCTACCGGTTGCCGCGGGAGAGGTATAGATCGGACGGCCCGACAGGTTGGAGGATCAAACCACAAGCTAAGTTCTTGATCATTCCAGCGCCCTTCACCCTGACAGATAACCTGTGCAACAGTCGGATCTCCCCCGACAGGCAAAATCCTAGGGTTAAACCTAGGAGGATCCAGTTGGAGAGGAGGAATCCAATTAGAATGGAGGAGAGAAGCCGAGCGACTATTCCCAATTTTCCACCTCAACCCCTTCTCCAATAAGTCTCTCCCAAAAAGGATACTTTGCCAGCCCCACGAAGGGGGAGATCGTGCTGTCGCAGTGAGAAAAGAGCCTGTTGGGAAATATTTTCCTTTGTAGACCTGGGCCAAGAGGGACTGGGGCTCCATCAGAATACGCCAACCTATTTTAGCTAATAGAGCTTGGTTAAAATGTTCGAAGCTGTTGAAAAATATTAAAACTGGACAGACCCGTTTTAGGATGATAAATGGAGGTTCTGGTATTTTTGGGAGATTTTCCGATTTACCGTTTTGTTGAAAGTTAAGTTATCGTAAAACAATGATTAATATGAGGTTTTTGGGATAATTTTGTCTAAATTACTTTTTATGACCAGACATTGACTTAATTGACATTTTGTCTTAATTAATTCACCTTCATGAATTACATGATGAATTGTGATGAAACAAAATGAATTTAGAGATGATAACGTTTTACCCACAACACATGTTTATCTCAGTAAACTATGTTGGGATTATTTTGGAAAACTATATGCTGGATTTGAGTTTTGAGCTATGGTTGGGAACTGATTTGAACTGGGGTTTGGAAAGGAATGAATTGAGTAGGTTATATAGTAATGATTCATGAGATGATGAATATGTGATTAGTCGTTGAATGAATGATTGATATACATTACTGATTACGTGATTTTGGATGATATAGATGTTTGAGTGATAATTGATGTTATGAAATTGTGTGAGTATTGGCAAATGTTGGTATGAGTGAATTTATGTGAACGGTATGAATTGGAAATGGTGATTGGAATCCTGATTTGAGATTGGATGGTGGAATAACTGATTTTGAGAAATGTCGAGTTGATAACTGACATGAGATACGTATGGATTGGGAATCAGTGGGATGACATTGATTCCTGGATTGATTGAAATGATGATGACTTGATGAGATGTGCAATATGAGATCCATTTGAATTGAGAACTCAATGGGAAGGCATTGATTCTTGAGTTGGTTTGATGACATGTTTGACGTGAGATGTGCATGGACTAGCATGGACCGGTTAATCAGTGGGACTGCGTTGATTCCGGGTCGTTTGTGATGGATGAGAGAAATGGAATCGTTTGATTCGTGATCATATTGTTCACATAGACATAGAAAGGGTCTGCACTTTTACCCCCCAGATGATTATGGGTTTGGGTAGATCTAGCTCGCATCTGCCCGTATTGTGGTTGCATGAGCACCACGGATGATGATTTGCTCGAGCGGGGGTAAGTGCATGGTGACATTGGCGCCATTATAATTAATGGGAATTTTCATATCATGCATTGATTATGTGTTCGTGAAATTATGTGATTATCTTATTGGATAAATTGATTTGGTGATGATGAGTTGATGGATTTGATATATTGATGGATAATTTATATATGATGATTTAAGATGGCATCTAGAGTACTAAATTACGATTGATTATGACTGTTTGATTAGCTGATTGTGGTCCCAAAATTAGGCCGTGGGAAAGATCCACACACACAACTTAGTTGTTGACCCACTTTTGTTCAGTTTCTTACAGGTTCGAATGAATTGAGAGAAACTCTGGCACTGCACAATGATCGATGGAGGATTGGTTTTGAAGTTTTCCCAGATTTTGAAATGACTGTCATTTATGTTTGTTGAGTTGGGTATTGCCTAGTAGATGGTACTGTAATGAGCATATTAGTGAATGACACTCTGATTTGGTTTACATGAAATGAACGAACTAGATCGAATTGATCTTTGGTATATGATGAGTAATTCAGGAATTGATTATTGTGATTTTGGATTAAAAAGATGTTGGTATGTATGTTACCAGTGGTAAACAGTTGAGTTTTTTAGTAACCCCCGATAGAGATTTCGCTGTGCGGGTGAATCATTGGTTCAACCTATAAGTTTTAGAGTGGGGTGTTACAAAACCCATACCCATACACGTGGGTTTTTGGTACCAATGGGTAATACACACCCTGTATATCCAACATTATAATACCTAAAATTTTGCAATGTTGACCTTCATGTGTCTCTTTCAAGTTAGTATCATATTGTCAAGTCAATATTACTAACAAAATTGCTAACTGAAAGTTAACATTTAGCTAATTCTTAGTATTTCGATAGGTTTGGATAATATAAAAGAATCTGAAAAAGGTTTGGATACAAAGTAGACATTACCCGTTAAATTATAACATTAAACACAACTACTATATCATGAAGTCGACAAAGAGACAATCATTTTTAATACGGTTCAAAACATCCATTAATCCATATCAGAGTAGAGTACAATGTGCTCTACTATATCAGAGTATAGTACAATGTAATCCAAATCATTATTCTCTACTCTGATATATCTATTAAGCAATAATTAACTAACATAATCTTGCTCACAAAGGGGGAAAAGTGAAAGAGTGAAGAGAAAATTGACAGAAGAAATTAGTTTTTGATTTGGGGTGGCCACTTGGGATGACAATAAAACCCGAACCCATGGGTATCTTACCCGACCCAACCCGATCAACGCGGATAAAACTAGCATTGATGGGTTTCGGGCCGGGTTCGGGTTTAAACCCGTATACTATTCATCGGGTTTGGTTTGGGTTAGGGATACCCGACCTATGGATACCCACCCACACTTATTTTATCGCCCTACTCTCCCCAAACCCTACCCTAATTCTAATTACCCTCAATCTAACTCTCACTACACTTATTCCTGTGCTTTTATTTAGTGTATTTGTGATTTGTTTGAATTTTCTAGAGTGGTGTTTTATGTATGAATAATCTATATGAGAAAATTGATGTTTGAATTTTATTTTGATAGGAACTTGTTATTGTAAATTTTTTACCACAAAAATCCATGGGTACCCATGAACACGCGGATACCCAGCGGTAGGGATGGAAAACGGTTTGGTCCGGTTAAACTGGACCGGGTTAACCCGGTTTTTAAAAACTGTTTTGGCCAAATTAGCAACCGAAAACTGGACTGGATGGGGGACCCGGTTTCAACCATGACCGGATTGATCCGGTCCGGTTTCAACCCAAAAATTGGGTTGTCATTAACCTCCACCAAAACGTTTCCGTTTATACAAAAAAGGAATAAAAAATAAATGGGAAGGAGAAGAGAGATCTATGCTTCTTCTTCACGCTGGATCTAGCATCTGCTTCTTCTCTAAGCTAAAGAAACAAACAAATTAAATCTAAGGGTTAATAGCATTTTGTACCCCTCTACTTTTGCAAATTAACAAACGTACCCCTTTACTAATTTTTTGCACAAACGTACCCCTCTAGTATTAAAACGTAACGAAAATACCATTCCGTCTAATTTTCTGTTAAATGACCGTTTAATGGGCTGTAAAAAGACTCAATTACCCCTTATTAACACCTAATTTTGATTTGATTATTCTAATTCTTAACCAAATTAATTAAAAAGATTAGAACTAACAGACTCATATTTCTCTACGAGAGGCCGACGTTCCGTCTTCCTCAAGGCTCCCATCAAATCCTGCACTTGGTAAACGACGGCGGCGGGAGCAGGTTCGGCGGTTTCTACACGGCTCTTCTCCACACAACGGTGGTGCTCGATCTCCGACGAACAACAGTTGGTGAGGCGACCCTCTTCTCCCAGCAGTTGTTGACGCGATTTTCTTCTCCCGCGAACAGCAATTGTGACGCGATCCTCTTCTCCCTCCCTCTGTCCCTCCAGCATCCGGCTTTAGAGACTCCGCCACCCTGTACTCGGCTGCTAGCTACCTACCCATTCACTCTATTAAACCAAACTTAATTGATTTTGTGGTTACGTTGAATTTTGTTCTAAGAGGAAAAAGTATCTTAGCATGAGCTTGTTCATTTGATTTTTGGCAGCAATCATGACTACCAAAGGTGAAAATAATAATGAAACTGAAGATTTGGGTGAAGCGCACGGAGGAAGAGACGAGAGGGCATAGGATGTGCGAGGCTCCCCACTCGCGGCTCAACCTACTGGTTTCCAAGAGGGACATCGCTGGAGGAGAAGAGGCTCCCGGAGGACGCTAATTCGAGCGTGGTTTGTGTATCTTCGTGCGGGGAAGATACTAATTCGCCCCGCCGAAGCTGGAGTTGGCGGACGATAACGATGGCCGGAGTTGGCGGACGACATCAATGGCCGGATTTGACGGGCGGCGTCGATTGCCAGCGTTGATGGCCTGCTTTCTTCGTACATGGGAGTAAAGGGGAAGAAGGAAGGTGTTGTCGGGATAGAAGGTTTGGCAGCGTCGAGTGCTATTTAATTTTTTGGCACATAAATTAATTTTTTTAGTGAAAGGACATAAAATATTTAAAATAGAAATTAGTAGCTTTTAAGAGTTAATGAGGGGTAATTGGGTATTTTTACAGTCAATTAAACGGTCTTTTAACAGAAAAATAGACGGAAGGGTATGTTCGTTACGTTTTAATATTAGAGGGGTACGTTTGTGCAAAAAATTAGTAGAGGGGTACGTTTGTTAATTTGCAAAAGTAGAAGGGTACGAAATGCTATTTCCATGTTCTCTTCTGTTCCGCCTTCGTCAACCCACATACCCAATCCCATCCCCTAAGCCCTAACCAAATCGGAAGGAGATGCACGCAGACTTCTTGCTCGCGATCCGTCCAGCAGCGGATTCGTCTTCCGCCTGCGTGCGAGAATCGCTGATTCGCCGTCTTCGTCCACCGGTGGAAGTTGTCGATTAGTGAGGTGTTTGATGGCGGAGTCGTTTCCCTTTACCGAATTGGCCGCCATCGTTCGTCTCCTCCATCTGATTCCCTTCAACAAATCGACCGCCATAGTTGATCTTTTTCTGATTCGCTACGACGTGTTCATCGATCTCCTCGCCGTCGTCGTCGTGTGTTGGGAAGTTGGAGAGCTCCTTGGGTCCATCGTCCCCGACTCCCCATCATGAGCAGAGGACCTGCAGACGTCAGATCGGACGACAAGAAGAGCTCGGGTTTTCTTCTTTTTCTCCTCCTCCTCTTCGTGTAGTGGGTCGGCGATTGGGATTTGGGAACGAGAGTAGCTTGGGGGCCAGAGAGGGAGAGAAGTCGATTAGGGGTTGGGGTGGTAGGGGTGGGGACTGGGTTGTGGACTCAGCTATTAACGGGCTGGACTTTGCTATTAACGGGCTGGGCTGGGGATTGTTTATTTGCTGCTATCCGGTTTTAACCGGATCGGACCGGATCAGTGGTCATTACAACCGCAAACTGGATTGGATTGGTTGGGATCCGGTTTTCATTTGCAACCAGAACGGTTTAAACTGGTCGGTTTCCAGCCTTACCCAGCGGGTTGGGTTGGGTTTGAGTTTTCCAAACCCAGTGGGTTTTACCCCGGATTTTTTTGACGGATAAACCTATGAATTTGGGTTTGGGTTTGAAAAAACCCGACCCAACCCTACCTATTGCCATCCCTAGTAGCCACTCAATCGCATTTCTACTATATATTTTCCTGAGTTTTACTCACTATTATTGATAGATTTACAAATTGATTCACATAGTTTTCATATGTGAAGAAATACTTTTGGTGGGTCGGGTATGAGATTGGAGATGCTAAAACCTTACCCACCCTATACACATTAAACTCTTTTACATGTTTTACCCATATCCGTTCCATACCCAATCAATGTAAAGATTTCTCGCGTTGACTGTGTCGGGGACGATCGAATACACGTGGGCATGAGTTTGATTGTCATTCCTAATCGAGTTGGTAAGCTTTCCTGGAACGAACGAACAAACAAACACGCCGCCGCTCCCTCTCCGTCTCCTAATTTTCCTTACCGTCTGCAACCCCCCGTTAGAAAAGTCAGAGCGTCCAACTCTTTTTCCCGCTGCGTACAGTCGTACCAGTCCCCGCCTACTCGACGCTTTTCCCAGCGTCCCTGATCCTGGCTTGGTTTCTCCCACACTCCAATTACCTTCTTGCTCCCTTTATGGAGTCACTCGTGACGTACACTACTACTCCTCACCTCTCCTCCTCCTCTTTCCGGTTTTCGTCTGCGGCTATAAACTTTTGGGTCTTCGTCGTCAGGGTTTCCTCCGTGTGTACAACAGCGCCCAACCAAGGAAACAAAATCACTCTTTCGATAGCGAGCAATGGTGGCAGCAGCTTCTACCAAGGACGACGACTTCCAGCCATTCCCTATCAAGGATCAGCTCCCCGGCGTTGCGTATTGCGCCAATAGCAATCCGTGCTGGTGTACGTTTTCTTCCCTCCCCCAAATCTCCTCTTCTTCTCGTTGGCATTTTCTCGAAAACCATGCGGTCAGTAGCGGAATGTGTGTTTTTATGGATGTTTGAGAGAGAGATTTGGATTCCACTGATCATATTTCACCAATTTTGGAATGCAGATGAAGCATTAGTTTTAGGATTTCAGCAGTATGTGGTGATGCTTGGCACCACCGTCACCATTCCCACCCTTCTTGTTCCTCTGATGGGCGGTGGTGATGTAAGGACACACACAGCCGTGCTTCTGTTTTGTTTGCATTTTTCTCTTCTATCGGATTTCAACTAAACTGGACACCTTTTGGAATTCACATTAGGTGGAGAAGGCCGAGATGATCAACACATTGCTCTTCCTGTCGGCACTAAGCACACTCTTACAAACTTGGTTTGGCACTCGGCTTCCCGTCGTGATGGGAGGATCCTATGCATTCGTTATCCCAGCAATGTCCATCGCTTTATCGGTGAACAGTAGCAACAGCAGCGCCAAGCTAAGCGACCATGATGTTAGTGCCTGTTTCATTGCCATGCTCAATAGCTCTTCCCCATTCCCCACCGTGCAACTTCCCTTCTACTTTGCTGCTCATGCTTTCCTGCTTTTGTGTTTGCTCAGAGGTTCAAAAAATCGATGGCGGCCATACAAGGGGCGATTACGATTGCATCATTGTTTCAAGTGGCGATTGGTTATTTTGGTCTTGCTAGAGTTTGTTCTAGGTAAGATTGCTGTATGTGGCGCAACTGACAATTGGGCATTCTTTGTATATGTCTGTGACTCCAAGGATTTGATTTTTGATTCTCCGGGAAGCAGATTTCTAAGCCCTCTCGCTGCTGCACCACTTGTGATACTCACTGGTCTTGGCCTCTTTGTGCATGGCTTCCCACAGGTGCCAACTCTTCCATTTCTTTTAGCCCTTTTTTAACTATTCTTTTTTAAGACAGAGAACAACAAATGAACATTAAGTAGGCTTTGCATTCTCCTTCTGAGTTCAGATCTGCTGATATTCTCGTTAACAACCGTTACATGATTGAACTTTAGGGAGATGGTGTAAGACTTCATCATCTGAGAAATATCTTGTTTTGATTTGAGTAATGGCATATCATTTAAGCAGCCTACACTTACCATTTACCACACAACATTGATGTCTACATGTGGAATTTTATTGCCTGGAGAAGCGATTGCTATTTCAAAGGTAGTTAATGTTGGAAGGAGGTCTCTACCAAGCCAAATCATTGGGTGGTACCATTTCCTCTGAATCAAAATTTATTGTGATTTTGAACAATCGACCTCTGTTCACTTTGATATTGTAGGTGGCGAGATGCGCTGAAGTTGCACTTCCAGCACTAGTTTTGTTGGTTTTCTTGTCTCAAGTGAGTAATTTTTTGCAGTGCAATTTTTTATGCGTAATGTTAAGCTCATATTGATCGGGTAGGTGGAGACAATGTATGTGTTTCTAAACTAGTGCGAAGTGGATCATATATCAAGAAAATTATATCCTTATAGGCAATCAAAATATTCTGATTAACCTCAAGGCGGGAACCTGAGATATATATTTAAACTTCTTCTGGATACAATGATTGTTATGATTGTACACCTTATGCTGCTCTCTTAAAGAAGAGTCTGCACTGTCTATGTTGCAGAAAGTTGAAACTTGAATGAACCTTACATATTTTGGCCCAGTTGAAATCTACCATATAGACATCGTCTGTTCACTGGGTGATCATCTCTCTTGCAGTATCTTCCTCACATGTTGAACTCAAAAAGAACGATATCAGATAGATTTGGTGTCCTTATCACGGTAGCAGTGGCATGGTTGCTGGCAGAAATATTAACAGCATCGGGTGCCTATGATAAAAGCTCGCCCAAGACGCAAACAAGCTGCCGGACTGATCGCTCTGGGCTTATTAGTGCAGCTCCCTGGTGAGCTCCATTTGGGTTTGCTTTGCAACACCTTCTGCTTCTTCTACTCTTAGGGGAAGTGGTCGAAATGCATTACTATTAATGTCCCTAAAACTGCATTCGCTCTCTTCTATGCAGGATAAAGTTCCCATATCCATATCAATGGGGAAAGCCCACTTTTGATGCGGGCTTTGTGTTTGCTATGATGGCTGCTTGTCTAGTTGCTGCTATTGAGGTATGATTGCACTCATTTTAAGTTCTCAGAGAAGCATAATGCCATTTGAAGAACGGAGAGTCCAGTCTTAGAGATTCATGCATACTCAGCTTGTTAATGAAATATTGACTGCGAATACATACATATCCAATCTCTTGTAGTCTACAGGCACATTTGTTGCAGCATCAAGGTATGCTAGTTGCACGCCAGTTCCGCCTTCAGTACTCAGTCGCGGCATTGGTTGGCAGGTTGTTACCATGTCGTCCACGTCTTAACACCTCCTTTCAAGTAGCTCTTCATCGAGTATGTAGCCTTGTTTAACAGTTATGAACCAACACAGGGTGTAGGAACTTTATTGAATGGCTTGTGTGGGGCTCCAACCGGATCTACAGCTTCAGTGTAAGCACATATTTAATTATGAAGCATCCCATATATCTTTATCTGATTAAACGAGAGTGATAAAACATTTCAAACCACAGATTTAGCTAGGAGAAGGTGCTATTTTCCTAAATTGCACATATTTAATAATTGAATGCAAACGATGATCTAATAAAATGCTTATGTCACATGATCTGCAGCGAGAACGTTGGTCTTCTGGGATTAACGCGAGTTGGAAGCAGGAGAGTTGTTCAAGTATCAGCAGGCTTTATGCTTTTCTTCTCCATCTTAGGTCGGCATATAATTTCTTCTTGTTCACCCTTACCCTGAACTGGTGCATCTCTGCCTACTTCCCTAATCCTAGACTTCTGGATTCGGCTAATAATCTTTGTTTTCCTTTCTCTTGATCCAGGAAAATTCGGAGCTGTTGTTGCGTCCATTCCCTTGCCAATTTTCGGAGCTGTTTACTGTGTCCTTTATGGCTACATGGGTATGTCGTCTCGTCTTAATCCTTTGCACATTATTGAAGTCTGCAGCGCTACTGTATCTCTACAGCTTGTCTACAAATCAAACTCATATTGCAAATTCAACCAAGCCTGAAATTCTGTAACATAAATCTTCATGAAATGAGCAGCTTCAGCTGGCGTAGGACTTCTGCAGTTTTGCCACCTCAACAGCTTCCGGTCAAAGTTCATTCTCGGGTTCTCCCTCTTCCTGGGTCTTTCCATCCCGCAATATTTCAGTGAAGTTGTCATAGTTACTGGTCACGGCCCTTTCCACACCAGCTCCACCTGGGTCTGTTACACTACTCTAGCTAGTACTGAAAAAAAAATCATGGGTTTTCAATACCATAGAATTTGCTTATTATGAATTCAACAGACGAAATAGCAGTAGCATTAATTTTGTTTTCGTTGCTTTCCCCGACTGCAGTTCAATGACATGATGCAAGTGATATTCACATCCCAAGGGACCGTGGCCTTCCTGGTTGCTTTCTTCCTGGACAGCACACATACTCGCGGCCACAAATCGACAAGGAGAGACAGCGGAAGGCATTGGTCCGAGAAATTCATATATTTCTGCCAGGACACCAGGACTGAAGAATTCTATTGCCTTCCTTACAACCTCAGCAACTACTTCCCTTCTTTCTGAATCGAACCCCTTCGTGATCAGATAAGAGAGAGAGAGAATTTGAAGCTCTTAAGGGAAGATTAATTAGATCTCCCATCCCTCAAGATCCATTGAATATTACTTAATATTCAATTCAATTTAGAAATTCTAAAGATTTGTATATATGTTATTATAAAGATAGTAATTCACTTGATAATGAATTCTGGACTATACTCCATTTTAAAATGAACGCAGTTGGTTCCAAATGGTTGGTTAGTCTGTAGAAAGTAAAAATACAGCAAAATGTTTTTTTTTTTTACTCCAGCTTGTTTTCCTTATTAAATTGTGTATATTGCATGGTCAATGAAACTGTATCGTACCTGCGGTTCAACCACGAAATATTAGTATTGGAGGCTAAATCGGTAGGCGTTATTTAACGGTATAACAGTTGAACTATGATTAAACCATGGTTTTATCATAAAATATCATCCCGCTGACTTTTCCAGTACGATATCTGGTACGATTTCATGGACCATAATATATTGATAAAAAATAGCAGGATCAAGTATATAAGTTTAAAAACACCGAGTGATGTATTACCACCTAATGTAGGAGTGTTTGTATAATTGCCCTTGATGGTTTAGTTACCTAACTATGTTATGTTTTACATTTCAAATGTAAAAAAACCTAACTATATTATGATACAATATGCAATATATTTGGGCAAAAAAATTTAGTTACCTAAAATCATAAAATCCGCTCCGTGTTTGGTTTTAACTCCGAAAAATTAAAAATAGAAAGAGTGTTCGATCCACTTCAAATAAGATCGATGACGACTTCAAGCATTACGTCGTTGATCCGATTATGAGGGACGGTTGTGATAGAGTGGATTAAGGAACCACATGATTGAATAACAACAATGCGGTAATCAACAAAGTTGCAAGTGCAACAACATCGCGATGGTCAGTAGAGTCACGAGATCAATGATGTCCGCAAACCAACGCCCTCACGAGTCAAACAACATCACGACTAAAGCAAACAGTGGCGGAGCCACTCAGACAGATGGGGGGTGCTTGCAGCCCCCTTGGAAGACCAGACCGAAACTCCAAGAATATAATAAAAGGTAATTTAGAACCCCTAACTGTTAAAATACTGGCGCTTGCTTCCCAGCTCAGCTGCATAAGACTTTCTTTTCTAAAATACATGCATTTACATTTATAATAAGAACGATTTATCCTAAATTAAACTTACCATTAATTGTTTACCGTTCCCACCAACACACTCCCACCCTCTTATTACTTTCTGCGGCCGCTCAGTTGAATTCTTATATTAATTGTGAACTACGATTCCTTGGAATGTTCAAAAAATATTAAGGTGATGATGAGTTATCTAGAAAATGGTGGCAACAAATACGCGCAAGATGTTTCTTTACTTCTCAAATTGACACTCATGTTCGAACAAGTATAGATATCATTTGCATCCATGAAATATATCAAGAACAATCTTTGTAACTAGATGAATGATGAGTGGTTGAACAGTGTATTGGTGACATATATTAAACAAAATTTATGTGTTAGTTTAGATTAAAAAATAATTTCTATGTTGCCTTTGATTTGAAATCTAATCGATGTTCACTTTAAACAAAGTGCTTTGAACTATTATTTGTAATCGTATGAATATTCTTCTATTATCTGAACTTTATATTGAGTATTATTTTATTGATTTTTTGTTTCGTTATAGTTGACTTTTGTATTATGTATTTGATTTTTTTACGGTATGAAGCACCCCCTTGGTCAATTTTCTAGCTCCGCCACTGAAAGCAAAGATGTGGAGCACGTCTCAACATTGAGGTGTGACCCATGGTCTGCAACCTTGTCGCCTCAAGAACAATGGTGTAATTCAAACAATCTTGTGAGGTCGATACATAGTTAGTCGCACTGCACTTGTGGATCAACTAAAGAGAAAGCCACGACATTGGAGCAGGTCCATGTTGCAATCTTTCAAGGCTAGTTTAGGGCGACCTTATTGTTATCTGGCACACATGAGTTGCTTGGAATGAAGAGTGAAGAGTGAGATGCAAAGCGGTTGTAGACTAAAAATTTCATGAAGAGAGTGGAGAGTGTGGGAGTTTGCTTGGATAACTTTATGGAGACAATTTCATGAAGGACTTATCGGGAAGACTACGGGGATGTTTCAGATAAAATCTCAGGAGAAAAGATGTGGAGAGGGGGAACACAGTGGAATCAAAAGAAACAACTGTCTCACATTTTACTTTTTTCTCTGGAACTCCTAGTTACGGAGCTTTCCTTCTGTGAAGAATTTTGCATAACTGTAGGAATAGTCACAGTTGCAACTTGCAATCGCAGAGGTCTCTAAAGGTTTCTCCATAGGAATAGCATTAACTTAATGTAGATTATTCCAATATCAAACACACTCGTTCGGATATTAATTGTTTGAAGGGAGGTGAACAGAGTAACAATTGTTCTAATTTTCAGAAATTAGTAGTGCATCCAATTAATCAACACTACAAACTTGTCCAGCGCCTAGTTTATATAGTCGATGTCTAGTGTGCCTCCATGATAGAAGGAAAATAGCAATTTGTTATAAATGATGGATGAAAATAAAAATTTACAACACTTATCTACTTTAGTTCAAATTATTAGTAACTTAACTTACACTAAACATAAAGAAAATTGGGCCTCATTTAGTATTGTTTTGTTGTTGTGTTGCAGTAATGTGATGACATGCCAAAGGTCACATAGCCCAATTGATAAAACTCTCGAGAGACTCTCGACTGGGAAGTGTGAGGTCCCGTATACGACTCATCTCGAGGCCAGTTGTGGTGTTCTCAGAGGCACCAAAAGAGGATCTTAGTGGATGGCTCAAGCAGGTGAACCTCGAGGTTTCGTTTAGCTCCGCCATCGCTCAAGCGGTGTGAGCTTGAGGATTTTCCTGGGTTATAAAAAAAAGTATTGTGATGACAATAGTGCTACACTCACAACACCCTGAAAAGAAAAACTTAAATACGTTTAGTTGGTAATATGAGAAATCATGAAAGTTGACAATTCCTTTGAATGAAATTGTTACACGAAAATGGAGATGAGAAAATATATGAAAAGTGAGTCTAGTGAGATTTTGTCAATAATTGATTTGATAAAATTGTTAGAACAATAGATAGGATCTCAAAAAGAAACATTTTTTGGAAACATAGTAAGGAAACTACTTAAAGCTATTCCAATATTTTTAGCTAATTCATATCGTGTTGCCAACTTCGGTTAGCACAACAATAGATGAATATAGAACTAAACATGTTCTTAGTCTCAATTTTCACATGTGAAAACAGAAAACAAAAACGGATAAATGATACTAAACATGACATTAGCTTACAATGTCATAGATTTATAGCTCAATAACTCACAAAGTTATTTAGTTGTTGAAAATATTGATATAGAATATTGAGTTTGTTGATGGTTCGATTTTTTAGCCCGGAGATATAATAAAAAACTTGTTAGATCGTGGATACATTTATAAATTATATCAAATTTCATCAAACGTATTGATAATGACATATAAAATTATACAAAAAATAACCGTTCGTACTCGAATCCAACATATATGAAAATTCAAACACTCATATAACATCAGTTTTCAAATGTTCAACTTAGGGCCCATTTAGCATCATTTTGTTGTTCTTGTGGTTGCATTGGTGTTGTGTAAACAGATGTACAACCACAACAGGAAAAAAACAGAAAACACAAACCTGTTTAGTTGATAAATCTGAAAAATCATAAAAGCTGACAACAAGAAACAAAAACGCGTTTAGTTACTACTATAAGAACTAAAAACCAGAAAAAAGAGATATGTCCTCAATATTAAGCAAAGTCTCACAAAAGTCAACATACCTAACATCATTCATGTTCCTTACAAAAAAAAAAAAAAAATACTAAACATGATTATCACTCCATAACTGGTTAGCAATGGCATCACGCTTCTCGGTCATCTCACGTGTTGCTGCATAGCTGACGTTGAACTCAGTGAGTGGTAGTTCAACCCCAGAAGTCGAACCTTCTTAATCTTCATAATTTTCATATTCATGAAATATTTTATCATCTTCGGCATGAATCTTGATGAAATTATGTAAGGCGCAACAAGCAATGACAATACTTGTTTGCTTCCTCAAGCTATACGACCGCATGAACTTTAGAATCGGAAACCTTGCCTTTAAAACTCCGAAGCAACGCTCAATCACATTACGTAGACTTGAATGCCGAAAGTTGAATAATTCTTTACGCCCTCTTGGTCCGCCTCTACGCTTCATCTCTTGAAAATGACGGGTAGCTCCTCGAAATGGTGCTAGAAATCCAGGGATATTTTGAAATCCAGAGTTCACAAGATAATATTTACCTAAATGAATATGTTAAAAATAAACTAATCTAGCAATCACTACATACATGCCATAATTCAAGAACATATTCAGAAAGTATAGATTAACATAATACTTTGAAGAAGTCGAAGTTACCTGCTGCGGGGAGATGGAGTGAGGCTTTTATGGAGGGGAAGTGGTCGGCGGTAGGGCGTGCGGGCGGGCGTCGGCGGCGGCTGCGCGGGCGGACGTCGGCGGGCTCCGCGGCTGCGTGGGTTGTGCGGCGCGGAAGCGGGGAGGTGGAGGCGAGGCGGCGCTGCGCGGAGGCGGAGGGGTCGGGCGCGAAGGTTGGGCGAGCGGCGACTGCGGAGGTGGCGGGCGGCGCGACGGAGGTGAGGGGCGACGCAGAGGGGAAATCCTCTATCGAGAAGAAGATGGAAGGGTATGGTTTGGGGGGCGGCTGATATGTTGAAGTAGTGTTTTGTGGGGGGGGGGGGGGGCTGTGTTAAAAAAAAAGAAATTTTTTTGCTTCTGTGGGGATTCGAAAACTGGTCTGGTTTAATGAAATCAAGTGCCCAACCAGTAGGAATTCCGTGTGCAACATGTTTAAGAATCAGATCCAAAGCAATAAATTGTTGTTTCTCATATTTGGGCCTTGTTGTGCAACTCTGATTCACAACAGAAAATAAGAAACCCAACTAACCACTCTTGGTTTTCCAAATCTCATAAAACAAAACAGACAAAAAAAACAAGCAACAATACTAAACGGGCCCTTAGAATTCCAAAAATAAAATTAAGTGAAGGGAAAAATCAGGAAAAGAGGCTCAATTTACAAACAAAATAAAAACACAATGACGCGTATAACCTCCAACCCATAATCCTTATTGCGCGGGTCGACGAACAGATGTGTGGCGCTCATTTTGCTCACCGGAACAGAATCAAACTGCACCAACCTAGGGATTTACCCACCCCATTCATGAACTAAAAACGCCTCAAATGTACATTATGTGTTTTTGTTCCCCCCACTACACACAAGAATTCTCTTTTTTTTTTGGTAGAACACACAAGAATTCTCTACTTGTTGGACTTGAGCCACTCAAGAATTCTTTTCTCGGAATCGGAAAGCTCCTCCTCCTTTTTACCTCGCACAGAACCTTCCACGTAATCGAAGTAATCCTTGTAGTTCCTCTTGTAATAGCTATCCAATCTCTAGCTTCCATTCAAAAAAAAAAAAAGTCCACACTTACTCATACTATGTCACGTTAATTATGAAAAATCTTGTACAAAAAAACAGGTAAATAATGCAGAGCATACCTCCTTGTCATTTTTGGCCTTGTTTTCCTCCGACTTCTTCAAATATTCTGACAATAATAATTTAATTTTGGACAAAAAGATGAAATAAAGAATTCAGTAAACAATGAAGTAGTTAATAAATTAACAAGTCTCCATACCATAACAAACTTACTGTTGAGAAGCTCAGTTCCGGAGTCGGTAGCAATGGGGTAAGCCCCAATAATGGCGGATAAGAGGACGCTTCTTCTTCCTTGAAATGGAATAGCAGCAGCTGCGCCAGACGATGAAGAAGAAGAAGAAGAAGAAGAAGAGGAGGTATCTTTCTTGTGCTGTGGTCTGGGAAGTGCGTGGACGTTTGATGAGGTAAATTTGTTGACTGTGGCAGTCAACGCCATCAGAACGCTCTGGGAAACTAACGACGAGGAACCAGTCATGGCTAATTGCACATCCGTCCGACGGTAAGCTCGCCCACCTCTCCTTCGTTTCTCTTTGCTGTTTGTGAGAAGTAGAGAGAATGTGTAGAGATGGTGGGAGCTTAAGCTTATCCTCTCCCTTCTTTTCCCCTTTTGCAGTAGTGTCCAAAACATGGACGTTTTTTTGGGCCGTGGATGGATGGACTCGGCTTTGGTTGAAAGGACTAAAGGGCCTCTGGACTGGCCTGTGCACAGAAAGCGATTCATAAAAAGCCCAATTTTTTTTGGTAGAAAGAAAGAAGTCCAATTTTTCACCATAAAGTAAAAGGGCAAATTCTATGTTTGGTCACCGAGTTTACTAAAAAGTGTCATATTTAGTCACTAGAAATATTTAATTTCAACATTGGTCACTCAAATTAGTAAAATGGTCTATGTTTGGTCACTCTCCGTCAGTCTTCGTTAACACCGTCAGTCATTTGCTGACATGGCTAACAGAAGTGCTGACGTGTACTATTTTAATCCGCCACATCACCAAATCCAACCCTCCACGTCATCAGATTCAACCAAAGCCGACCCATAAACCAACCCAATTTCATCCCTTCTCCTTCCTTTACCCTATTCTCTCTCCCCCACCATTTTTTTTCCTCTCCGTTCAATTCCCCAATCTTCCAAATCTCTAACCTAGGGTTTCCACCATCGCCGCCCGCAGCCGATCAATCGATTCTCCGTTCCCCTTCTCCATGGGCGACATGAAGGATGCGTTCTCCCAATCCAGGAAGACTGCTGGAGCGAGGAGAGCTGTGGGGGAACTCGGGATTAGAACAGATTTAATTTATTTTTATTTATTACTTTAATGATGTAGAAATATTAAAAAAATTAAAGTAATATTTTTATTAATTTTTAATTGCCACGTCAGACATTTAACAGTTAATTGTTACTGTTAGACTGTCACATCAGATAAAATTAACGGAGAGTAACTAAACATGGTCCATTTTCCTAATTCGAATGACCAAAATTAATTTTTTTTTTTCAGTGACTAATCATGACACATTTTATAGTAAACCCATATAAGTAAACTTGTCATTTAGCCGCCAATAATGCTTTTGGGTTTCCACTAGTTTGTTATTTAACAGTCACTTTGACAGTGACAACGTTGAGAACCACGCCGACGCGTAGCATGCGATTCAGAACAAACAATTCGTTTTGGATTTTAGGTTTACTCATTTCATTTGAGAGACAGCCGGCTCTCTCCATACAGTTTTCCCATTGTTTCCACATAGATAGTCACCGGAAAGAAGCAAAAAAGAAAGGAAGCAAAAAATGGATACTCCTCCCTTTACAAGTCCATCCCCGTGGTTCTTTCATTTGTCCTGCAAACGTCACTGAAATGGTCGCCGCCTTCTTGCTCTTTCCGGCAGATAATTATAATCTGGCTTGCAAAATATTATTATTTTTTTCTTCTTAAATTATTAGCTCCTCGATATTCACTAGGTGTGACTCGAGCATCAGCAATATATGTCACACAATAAACCAAACCATGTATATATATATATATATATCCATACACAAAATTTCCCCTCAGGACATCCATTCTTCTCCTTCTTCTTCCCTCTTGCAAAATATAATTCCTCTTATTCCTACCTTCAATTAATACCACGGATTGTGGAATATGAAGTTGGCTGGCAGCAAGGGAAGGAGGAAGAAAGCCAGGTTGATAATTACACATGTGTTGCTCGCCCCTTTCAAAGCTCTCTGCAGCGCGGCGGACTTTTATGTGAAGGCTATGAATGATTGCCAGGGAATGGTCGGCGGCTATACCATGGCAGTGAACAGCCGTCCTCCCTACACTACTCTTGGTAAGCCAATCACAAAGAGATCTAAGAGAGAGAAGAAGGTTGGGAGGATCAGATCGTCTAGCATTGTTGTAGTGGACAAATGCTACAGTTTTGACATAGGCAAGATCGGCAGGATTGATGAGGAGGAGCCTTGTTCCTTCAGGGAGGATGATTTCTTTGGCAACTCTCATCTTGCCAAGCAACGTTTACATCGCAATTGGTTGATTGATTATGTAATGGCGAGGGATGCCGAAGCACTTGGTAATCATCAATAATATATAGAGATATGTATATATATCGATATGAATGTGCAGTCATATGATTCTGCTTCTCTAAGTGGGCTGCAATGAGAATGATGATTGTTTTGTGAGGTTTCTGGTGTCGTGGGTGTACATATATTTTATTTGCTTTTGAAAATTTGTGGTACGAAGTTTTTTCGTCTACTTCGGAGAACTTGTGGTAAGTTTTTTGAGATCTCTGGTATGATTAAGGAAACTTGCGATAAGCTTCATGAGATCTCTGGTAATGCTTAAGGAAACTTGCGGTAAGCTTTATGATGTATTTAGTCTGTTTCGGAAAACTTGTGGTCACCTTTATGAGGTATCTCGTATGCTTCAGAGGACGGGCAGTTAATTTTATGAGGTTTTTAGTGTTTTTTTTATGAAACTTGTGGTCAGCTTTGTGGTGTGCTTTCTACATTTTATGGTAAGCTTCAGAGAACTCGTGGTCAGCTTTATGAGATCTCTGGTTTGCTTCAGGAAACTTTTGATCAGCTTTGTGGTGTGCTTTCTACATTTTCTAGTATGCTCTATGAGGTTTCTGGTATACTTTATGAGTTTTGTGGTGTAGTTTGTACGATTTTAGGTCTAGTATGATTTTTCTTGTCTGCTTCATGAGAGTTGTGGTAATTTTTATGAGTTTCCCTTGATATGCTTTTGGAATCCTGTTGTGAGCTTTGAGTTTTGTGAGCTTTGGGAGTTCTGTTTTGTGATGAGGTTCTGGTATACTTTATGTTATTCTCTATGTGATTTGTTGTGTTTCTTGTATGAGTTTTCTGGTATGTTTTATAATACTTGTGATTTTCTGGTATGCTTTATGTTATACTCTATGCTTGCTTCCTCTTATGTTTTGGTCGTGTTTTATGTGTCATTTCAGGTTTTAAGTGTTTTTCATCGTAATCTTCAGGCTCAAGTGTAGGGAAAGTGTGCAAAAAGGATTAAAAAAAAAAAAGATCCGACCAACGGACAAAGTTCACGGTTGAGAAGATAAAGGCCAAAAGGAGTTCACCGTTGAGGCATAGGTAATTGGAGGCGTTTTGCGGGTGTGTTTCATTAGAGACTACCACGTGCTACTATAATATTTTTTAATGAATAAAATAGTATAATATTTCAACTCGACGAGTTCTCATCTAAATACAACATTTAACTATTCCAAATTAATGGCCAAAACACTTTCACTATGCTTCTCTTTCTATATCTAAAACTAAAACGCTCTCAATGTAGCAACCTTGGATGGAGCAACCCGGAAACAATCCCCATAGAAACAATTTCATACATCCCCCAACCACAAACAAATCTAATGAAAGGCTAACAAGAAACAACCTAACCACCCCAAATCAAAATCCCAAAGACGTCCAATTTATTACTCTGTCCCTACACTATAGCATCACCCTAGGGTTGGAAGAAGCATTTTAAGAAAGGGAAGATTTGGAAACCTCCTCCAGATCCAGCTCTGCTGCCACAACTATTAATCACTTATGTATATGCACCGACACGCGTCACCAGGCACTCATCACAAGCAGAGTGATCGGTAGCTATGGACAAGTTTGTGATGGGAAGGCTGACTCGTTTCTTTGCAACTCTATTATGGATGTGGAAGCTAAAGCGGTTTCGAAAGGAATCAAGCTTGCCCAAAGCCTTAACCAACCTTGCACGATTAAGTTGGATTGTCACACCATCATTAACTCCTTGATCAAGCCACCTTCGAACTGGCCATGGACATGCTTAGCAATGATTGAAAACATAGTGGAAATCCTCAAGAACGAGCCCCTCATCAATTTAGAGTTTCACACTCGAAAGGACAACTTTAGAGATGATTGGATTGCTAGATCCTATGCTGAGTCTAATCTCCAGAGTGAATGGTTAACAATTCTCGATCTCATTTCAAGCTCAACCTTATAACCGCTTCTGTAACCTCATCCATTAATGATTGGGGGTATGGCCCAAACCATCTCCACATTCAAACCTTTTGAACTAGCAACGTGAGTTAATAGCTCAATTAGTGATCCACCTATATGATAATTTTGATATAGTTAGTAATTATGCAAGTATTTTATTACATAAAATTAATAATATTAATATAATAATAAAGCTATTATCACGCTCTTATTATAAGTTATTTGAGAAATAGACGCTCTTGCGCTATCACACCTACTCTCGCTCTCGCTCTGCGAACTAGTTACCTAAGTCCGTCTCCTGTACCATTGGTTCCTCTATCGTCAATCAGTTGCACCCCTGGCCGGCCATCTTCGTCTTCCTCGCAAATCCGTCAAGCCTTATTCACGGAGCACAAAACACGACGAGGGCGCTTTGTGCGAATATTTTCCCACAAATCGACCTTTTCATCTCCCCGGAAAAAATTGTAGTTCGAAGGGTTCAAATGTCGGTAGGGGTTTGAGTTTTTTTTTTTTTTTCCTTGTCCGAATGGATGAGAGAATTTCGTGGGTGATGGCGAAAACAAAATTGATTCAGCGGCCTTTGTGGCATGTGGTCAATACTTAGTTGGCTTTTTTTTAACTCCATAAGTGGAATATACGGAACTAGATTAGGGCCCGGCCTCTTGGGCGGGAGAGTTTGATTTTCATGTGTATGTGTAGTAAACATTGAGGATTGAAGTAACAATTTAATTTGGTAAGTTCTCCATGAATAATATAGGAAAGTATTTAATGTATTTGACTAATGAAGTTTAAAAAATGACAAACAACGCCCAACTACACTAACATAAATTCATATTTCAAACAAAGTCATATCTATATAAAAATGTCTAAGAAGAACAACGATAAGAGTTGTTTTACATCACACATACATAATCAATCTTCAGTATACGATAAATTTTTTGCCTTTTCCATTGACTTTCGTCTATTCAATGATATAATGAAACAAACTATATGTTTCGAGTGTACTTAAAAAGAAACAAACTAACTCACACAGTCATGGTTCCATTGACTTTAGTGTATTCAATGATATAATGAAACAAAGCATGCAGATCTCCAGCTGCCAGTTCAACTAATAGAGCAACACATAAAAAGCTAAATCAAAGCGAAAAGAAGGCAAAAACTAAAAGTAACATATCTAACATTTTGGGGGAAATCCACAACAATAAAAGTCATTGTATGAACACTTGATAATGATTTGAACACTTGTGATATATGAGTAGTGAAAGTTAATAAAAATCATTGTAGCTCTTACTCAAGTTAGAAAGACTTTGATTTAATGGTAAGTAAACAATGATATGTAGTGCTTAAGAGGGAAGATGAGACCTTACATTGTTTATTAATATGCATCTTAGTTTCATAAATTTTACTTCATTAAAAATTTATGTGCTGAATAGAAACCCATCCAAGTTTGGAGCCATTGTAAAATGTAAGTTATGAGGCAAATGAAAAGTCTCAAGGTTGTCAACCTGCGGGTTGACCCGGACCCGGTGAAGCTAGTGGGTCAAGGGTTAATGGGTCACCCGGTGGTTTAGCCCGAAATATGGAAAGAGTCATTATATTATGCTTATCCTGATAAATTATATCAAATCTCATCTAACATATGAGTTATAACATATAATATTACACTAAAATAACATGTCGTACTTAGATCCAACATATAGTGAAAATTCACACACAATTATATAACAAAAATATTCAAATGTTCAACTTAGAATTCCAAAGATTGAGTTAGGCGAAAAGAAAATCAGAAAATAGCCGCATTTCGCAAATCAAATAAAAAAATGACACAATTTGACCTCTAACCCGGTACCTTGTAGCGGTCGACTCGGCGGGTGCGTGCAGCCCGTTTTTCTCACCGGGTCAGGGTCAAAGTGGGTCGACCAAGGGGTCGACCCGCGGGTTGACAACCTACTCTCAAGCATCCACATGCTTGCAAAATAAATCTATATTATCAAACATAAAATCATATCTTGCATTAGAAAAAAGAACAAAAAAGTAGTAATTCGATAATCGATATAGGAATCAATATGGACACAATATCTAACCAAGAGAAGAGGAAGCGAAAAAACACAAATTGTTGTGTATAGATTCCGCTCACGATATTTCAAAGTGAAAAATATCATAAAATTATTAACCAATAAAAGGGAACGGTTAAGGGGAAAATGCATCAATTTAAACCTAAAATGAGAGGAATTAATATCCTACACCAGCATATATAATGATATATTATATCCCAGAATATCATAAAAAAATCTATCTATATGAAAAAGTATACTAAATTGAATCCAATGTAAAAGTAACGATGAAGATAGATATTATATCCACCTAAGGAATAATAAAGTAAGCCATGTTTCTTAGAGACCTCTTTCGATAGAACCACTCTATTATAAAACCCATTTCGTCAAACAATTGCATCATATAGAGTTTTAACTTAAATTTGAAGCGCTTATAATTAGCTATTTCAACTCATGAATGAATTAATTATATCATTTGGTAGAAGAAAATAATTTATAAACTTGAGAGTTATTTCATTTGTTGTTAAATCATTTGAAATAAAGTATGAAATTGCTTCAGAATCGTTATTTTATTCATTATTATTAAAATTGCTATTTTATTATAATGTCTAAGCATGTCTAGGCGAGCTAGGAGATAAACAAATGCCTAATGACCGTTGTACGCCTAACGTGCTGCCGAACCTCAATAATTATAGCAAACTTTGAGTGCATCTTATAAATTTGATCACTTCTATTTTGGTATAATTGATTACATCAATAAAGCGACCAATCAAACAGTCTTTCTTTAAGATTTTGATAAGATGTCCCCTACTGCACAATTAGTATGACTAAATTGTACTAAGATAATCATGTATTGAATTTTGAATCGATAGCGCAAAAGATTGAACTAACTCAAGTAGATTTTTAGCTACTCAATATTTCATATTCGCATGTAGATAGCTATTTCGAAGAGTTCGAATATTGATTGAGTTTGTTGAACTTTACCTAACGAAACTATGATATCAAGCGCAATATATTATGCTTTTAGGAGAAATTGGGAGAATATGTTGGTGACATCAAACCTAACATGGATACCATTGAATTTAAGTGATAAGAAACATTTATGTTTAATAGATTAGACATGAAAAATATATTTAGCATTCTCATAAGTTGGTATGAAGAAGTGAATAATTAGGAATTGAAAGCTAGAAACAAAGTTGATTTAGTAAATAACTGCAAATGATATTGTGAAAAAGAAAACAAATGCTTAGAGTATAGCTAGGCATGAGAGTGTTACATTAAACTCTCTAAGAAAAAGCAAGTAATCATTAATAGTTAACTGTGGATATTGAAATAGTTAACTATGATGAATACTATATACTGGTGTTAATACTTGGACCTTAGCTTGAACATTGCATCATGCTGATAAAATTATTTCATTAATTATATTATTGAAATAAGGGGTCGTATGGAAGTTTTGATTTTTTTAGATTGTTAAAATAAATACATTTTTCATAATACAATACATATTTTTTATTTTTGTTCATACACAATCGTGAATTATTTGCTTGATTTGACTAAACTATCATTCAAATTGAATGATTAAACAATTTTGAATTTTAGCATAGACTGTCGAGATAATTGGTATCGGTGTTTGTCATTTTTATTTATCTTGAAATGTATGGTACCAGTGTCCTTATATCATCATTGAACACTTCATTCAACACTTCAATTCAATGCGCAATATTCCAACCAATGATATTTGTGTTGAGATTTTAAGATAATCCTTCATTTATAAGTTAGAAAAAACTATAAATTAATTATTAAAATATGAAAATAGAAGTATCAAACTCCACAAAATACTTACAGGAGACTTAGCGGGCTAGCTAACCGTGATAGAAAAGTACTTTGTTTCATAATTTTAACTTCCTCTATGTTTTGTATTAGTAAAGTACAACAAATGTGTTTAGTCTAATTGGTTACAATTCTTGTCTTTGGTAGAAGGGACCATGGTTCAAATCCTAGCATTTTTATCTTTTTATATGAAATAAAAAATGATTGTGTAGACGAAAATACCCTTCCTACTTTCACTCTTGTTACATGAAATTTGAAATGGAGTAAATCAAACTTTTTAAAATGTATTATAAGTAGTCTAGACTAGATGGAAGGATCCATATTTAATTGACTGTCTGGCATTGTAGTGTTCTAAATTGACTTTAGTGGTTTCTTTCTCCCAATTCTAAGTGTTTACTAGTATGCAACACTATCACAGTACACTTTCATATCATCGTAGTATAATCCTATGTAATACCAAGTATTATTACTAAGGTATAGTCTAGTATTATATGTCTCAATATTTTGTTCTAAAATATAGTAAAGTTGATTTCATTTTGAGGAACAACATTTTTCTAAGAAAAAATTGAACTACAACATGAATCCAAAGAGATATAGTGAGAAAAGTATTTGTTTACTGTATATTATCAATAAGTTTATTAATTGTTATGAAAATTGGGTTATTGAACGGATCTACGGCCGTTGACATCTAACCTAATGATAATTTTCTTCACTATTCTGGCTGCAACAACCTGCAATCTCAAGACTTTCAACTCAACACCAATCTCAGCCCGTCGCCGGCCATCTTTTTTTTTTTTTTTTTTGTCAAAGAGGGCGGCCATCACTCTCGTAGTATATATATATATATATATCATAATTCACATCAGCAGATAAATAAGCACCCTGAATTTTGCTTCAATTTACTTCCATTTCTGAGCAAAAATAAATTATGAATAATAATGACAAAAAGGAACCGACACAACAAAAAAAAGAGACTCGGTACCATCAAGATTTACGATTGATGATTTTAGAAGGAAAGGCAAATCTAAACAAAGATACTATCTCATAGCCCGTTTGCTTCGAAACGTTTCTATCACTGTCTTCCTCCGAAGAAGGGCAGAATTGTCGGCGGAAATAGAGAAAAAAAGGCAAGCGCAGAAGAAGAGAGTTTATGAAAGCGAGAGAGAGAGAAGGTTGCAGAAAACCCTGAAATCAGTTCACCTATACAGGGAGCGAGGAGGAGGAGGAGGAGAAATGGGGATCTCGCCCGCCCGGCGGAGGGTCGGAGTAGTCCGACCATCAAAATCAAGAGAGGGTGCGCTTCCCGGGGCGATCGGCGACCTTGAGGGTTTTGTCGATGAGCTGCCTGGCCTTACGGCTGCGAATCTCGACCCTGACGCTGGCGCTCTTGTCCATCTTAACGTACGGCTTCTTCTTCTTCGACTTGCGCAGTAGTGCTCCCTTCACCTTCGACTTAATCGACTCCACCAGAGTCTCCAGCTGGATCCCCATTCCCCCTCTGCCCTCCCTATCGCGATTTCGATTCGCCGATCTCTCCGATTCGGCTGCCCTGATTGTTTTTTTCGTGCTCACAAATCTTGAATTCGCTCGCTGGCTCGCCGATTTTGACTGTTTGCGGGGCTCTGCGAATCTAGAATGATGGGATTGGGGGCTGCTGCTGCTCTCTGCCTTGTTATTTCCCTCAAAACTCTGCCTCGGGGTTGGTGATGGGGTTTTTTGTTTTTGGATTTGGAACCGACTGTGGCGAGTGTGTAGAGTATATATTGATGTGTGGTTGAGGGTAAATATGGATTTGGTCTTTCAGATTATTACGGCATCTACTCCGGCTGCTTTCCTCTGACTTTTTGCCTGCCTGCCTGCCCCTTCTTTTCTTTATCATTAATGAATTATTATTGAACATACATAATTTTGGGGTGGATGATGTGACACTAGTGTCATCCCAATTTAGCTTGTTGGTCCTCTTAATTTAACTGGTTAGGGGTTAACGGTCTTATTGTTGTTTTTGATGCTTTTGAGTTCGGATGTACGAAGAAAGTCATTATAGTGTTCATACATATATGAGTTATATTATATAATATCTAACATGTGGGTAATAATATATAATATTACATAAAAAAAATATTTATAATTAGATTCAATATATAGTGAAAATGAAACACACATATAATATCAATAACTAAATGTTTAAATTAGATTTCAAAAGTAGAGTTAGAGAAGAAGGAAAAGGATGAAAAAGGGGTAATTTGCATACCAAAGTGAAAAACGATGTCGTGTAACATTCAACTCGGAAAACCTTATAACAGGTCGACCCGCAGGTGTGTGGCATCCGTTTTTCTCACTGGATCAAGGATCAATCTGGATCAACTAGGAGGTCGTCGAACTGCAAGTTGACAACCTTGCCATTGAATAGTGCACATCACAATCCAATAAATCATTTTTCTTCTTTTTTGAATTTGTTTTCAAAACAAATCATTTCATTTTTCTATTTCATTTTTTCTATTTTCTTTTTATTACTTTTATAATGTAATTGAGCTCCAAATTATTTTTTGATTTTTTTTCTCTCTATTATTATTATTATTATTATTCCGAAAGATCCCTCAACATCAAGTAGCTTCTTAAGATGAAGTTGAATTCAGATAGGCAAACAAACTCAAAATAGTGGGTATTAGAACGACAAGTTAGAATAAGCCTACACGCCATTAAGTTTATCCGACATTCACCATCAAAAGGGGGATCTTACACTAACACTAGGATCTGATTCTCCCTGTGAGAAGCTCTTACTGCTCTCGTAGCCAGTGTTACAGTAGAAGCTGTGATTGAATCACTAAGCGGTGCTGGAGGATAAACTGGAGTGAAAGGAGTTGGTAGTAGAGACTGAGGGCTTTCATTTCACCAGGTCTTGTTGAATCTCTTTCATTTGCTTTGAGGGTATCGTATTCTAGAGAAATGGCCGCCAATGAGGAAATCTCATCTTGTGGAAGTGATTGAGCCTCTCAAAACTTCCAAATACAACTATCACTGAGTGATGTAAAATAACTATATATCAGAGACAATCTATACCTGTTAGGACTTAGGAACGAAACAACAAACAGGGATGAGGTTACCGAATCTGGAGATGAGTCGTGGACTAGGTCGCTCTCTTTAAGACGTTCGCGGCACTAGCCTCGATGCGCACGACAGATTATCAGCCGGTCGTCTCCAGGATAAAACAACTCCTCGAATGCTCGGCGGTTTTGTGCGAAAACTGGAGCTCTCTAAACACTCTCTATTGTGTTTATGCTCGTTGTGGTGTGTTTAGAGGGGCTGGGGAGGCGACTATTTATAGGAGTCGAACCCCTAGGAATATACCCTCTAACTTGGGGAATATGTCAGATTAATTAAGAAAGATAATTACTTCCTTAATTAAAAACTGTCTGTTAAGATAATTCCTGCGGGATTATCCTTAGAATATTCCTCAGAATAACCGATTAATAATTAATTAGTAGATAATTAATTTCGTTCGGAATTTCTCTAAAAAATATATAGTCTCAAGTGAACCAACCGACCAACCGACCAATCAGTCGATCGGCGCTCGTGGTGGTCGGTTAGTTCCCTCTCCCATAAAAATGGGTCACCCCAAGAGGCATACCATTAAGAGAAACTCATATCTTTATCAAAACTATTTTTTCATTTCCAACAATACCAAGGATTACAAATTACCAGTCTGATCCTAATGCTTTTAGATAAAGTTTTCCTTATAAAGTTTTCACCCGCGTGTTCAACTTGTCTTGTGTGGTGAGTCAATTGTGAATGGCCATCGCGAGAAAGAAACCATGTTTAAGGAAAATTTTCTCCATACCCGTTTATACCAACTGACCTCCACTTCCGTATGCCTGATTGTGTTCTATATATACCCTCTTGCCAAAATACCTTTTCTTTATCACTCCTTCCCAAACAAAATCAGGACTTGAAGCAAAGATGTATTGTTAGATCACACTTCGAACCTATGTATTCATTTTAAAGATCCATGTACTTCGAAGAGCTCCGAGTGATCTCAACCATAGGCGAAGGGAGGGGTGTTTGCTCCTGTCTCGGGACAGGGGTAACTTTTGAGGAGGGAAAAAATAACCCTACATATATTTGTACAAATCGAATTAAACACTTACAAGTAACTTAATGATATTTTAACATTACAACATAACTCAATACTTGTTCATTAATTCACAAAAAATAATTAAATTATTAGTTTTATTCATGACACTATCATTTCACAACAACTCGTTAGGTATTATCACGATATTATGGTGTAAACAATGAATGTATTTTACATTTCTTTCACAATATGAAAACTCGTCCTGGTTATTTATGTAACAATAATTGTATTAGTTAGTTTTGTGTTTCTATGTGAATGTTTTATTTAGATATTATTAATTTTTAATTATATTTATAAAATATTATATATATTATGTATAAAGGACATGGGTAGTTTGAAATCCTGCCTCCGCCACTGATCTCAACAATCAGTTATTGTTTTCTATTAAATTGAATTTCGACTTTAGGTTTAGAAAATCGAGGCCATATGATACGAGCACGGATCTTGTACCCGCAGTTATCAAAGTTGCGTAGTAGCCTCAAGAACAAACAGAAAATAGCTTTTTAGGGTTTTTGTTTTGAATAGGAAGGAATTGAAAGTGCAATCTCAACACGATATCGGGAGAAGGCTCTATCAATATAATAAATAAAATCTCGACCACAATCAAGGAGAAAACTTGATTGGCACGGAGAAAAGTTCAAGCCTAAAGCTCAAAACCAAGACAAAAATCAATATTCCGCCAAAAACTAACCCTAAAACCCGAGTTTCAGCCTTTATATAGGTATTGACAATTAAAAATAATTAAAACAACTTAAAACATAAAATTCCATCACCCAGGTACAAATACCGGTCGGACCCCTGCAATTACGCGGTCAGGTATTTAACTCGCCGATTGGGGGGACTTCTGTTCCTTTTTCCCCGACCCCTTGCTCAATTTCCCCGATCGGGCATTCTGATAAATCGCCTGGGGTACGTATGTTCTCGTTCCCCGGTCCGGCGTCGAGTTCCCCGGTCGGGCTTTACCTCTTCTTGAGCGAGGGTTTCCGGCCTCATATAGTATAGATAGAGTCTATGTGCTAGAAGTCATATTTGTGTTAAAAAAAATAACACCAAAAGTCTCAACGGATTAGTTATAATCCAAAAATTATAAAATAATTTGAACTATATCTCAATTAACAAGAGTCTTTGGTTGAGAAACGTCCTGCCGGCAGCAGCGCATCACATCGTAGCATTAGACTTCCTTTTCAGTTTATTGAATTTTGGGGTTGGGAAATTTAAGTTTCAATATTGGACTTTTGTGTTTTGGTGTTAAATATAGTTGTGAGCGTTGGACTTTAATACCGCAGTGGCCAGTGGGGGACGGACCGGAATGCGATGCAGCGCGCGAGGCGAGGTCAATGGTGCTGCTAATTGAAGTTCCAAGATACCATATCGTTGGTCGTATTCATATTTAGTTGGCTAAGAAATAAAGGGAAGTCAGCATAAACAATAAACCTATACGCCACTGCTTTCACTATGAAACAATAATAATAAACGATACGGCAGTGGAGTATTTTGTTTGTGACTTTTCGACAGAGTTTGACCGGCCAGAATTATCTTTTCAAAGTCTCCATCAAAATTGGAAAAAGAATTCTAAGCAAACAGGCCTTCAAATTTGATTCCGGAAGTAGGTTGGCTCCTGAATTTGGCTACGTTGCTTGTATTGGTTCGTAGTCTTTGTTTGATGAGGAATTTTAGAATGTTATATAGTAGTGGTTCTATAAGTTTTTGCTTTTATGGTACAACTTTAGATTGTACTATACTTTTTATACAAATTCTTTTATGGTACAACTTTAAGTTGTAAAGTTGTACCATAACATAATGATACAAATTTCTTTATGGTACAACCTAAACTTATACATTTAATGTTATGGTACAACTTCAAGTTGTACATTAAAGCACCAATGCTATATAGCATAATAGAAGTGCTCTTCTTTGAGCACCTTCTATCAAGTTCTTTTCTTTTTCCGCTTTATTTTCATCTAGTAATTTTTAATTTTTTTGTCAACAAATTCCTAAACCATTTTCAATCTAATTGACAAAATTCTATATTTTTTGGGCCGCTTCCCGAGATATTTTCTATGCAGGATCACAATATTCACATAACATAGTTAAAACATTTATACAATATACTGAATGTATTTATAGCACATGAAATATACATACTTGTGTTGTCACGGTTTCGCGCAAGATCTTTGGATTGGACGAGATTTGCGACTCAGAGATAGAGTAATGAATTTGGGTTTAGTGCCAAATAAGCAGATCCATAGAAAAAGATGGGTGAGTCGAGATTTTTTCGATGATCGTCAGTCTTCTAACCTCCAGAAAAGCTTAAAAGATCACGTTTGGAAGCCTGGTTTTGCCCTTTAATGATTGAATTAGCTGGGCAAAACCTAGAAAAGCTAGAGAGACATACTTGTAGAAGTTTGAATATTTGTTACCTACATAAGGGTTGGGGTATGATATTTATAGGTAATGTGGGATGCTAGGTTGTGCGTGAATCGTTAATCGATCTAACCGTTAGGTTAATTGACCAACGACTGACTCTGTTCTAGCTACACTCTCAATCGAAGGTCAAGTGGACCCTTCAATCGGGGAGGTATAGAGCAAGTATTTGTCGAATTATCAAACCTGGGCGGTCTATGTATACTTCAGCAAACCACAATTTATATAGCAATAGAAACGTTGTTTTAAACTATTGAACTAAATAAACAAGAAACTAAAACAAGGTTGAATTCAAGGGAGAAAGCTTCACTCGGATGATTACCCCCTAGTTCCGTGCTGATTCAACAATGTGATACTCTAGCATGAGTTGCATATTATATATACCGTTAGGAGAGCAAAGCTAGCTAGGAGTTCCCTATTCGAGTTGTCCTAGCCCGCCTAATTGCTCTAATCGGAGAGTTGTACCGAACTACTGGATTAGGCAATTAGGGCAACTGAATCAACTCCCTCAAGCGATGACTCAGAAAGACGTAAATAAACCAATCACCATCGTTCATGGCCCCCTTACGATGATTTGCAAAATATTTTATCATAATGCACAATATGTTCTAGCTAAAGTATAATCGTCATAATATCTCTCACGAAGTTATGATAAATCATTTTGCTTTATGATATAAACTTATTTTGACAAGGTAGTCATGACAAACGTTATGAATTGTTTTTTTCCACAGTATACATGATATGAAAAATATTATACATAATATGACAAACTTTGCTTGTCAAAACTGACCAAAATTGTTGTAGTGCAATAGTACGAGGAATTACTACTTAAAGATATATAAAAGGTCGAACCACTCTTCCATTTTGCATATTCCATGAGATATATTATCAAGGCGGTGGTTAGCTCTCAAGACACCTCTCCAGAGGTTTGATAAGCACCTCTTGTCTTGTATCCCCCAACCTCCCTTCAGTTGCTGGCCATACTTTGCCCACATAACCCTCGCTAGAGCTCGTCCAGTTTGATAAGAGGTCGCCATGCTATCTTGAACATATAAGTTTCATTCATTCTCGTCGAATCCATTAAGCCCAAACCGCCCATCTTCTTTGGCCTGCATATTGTTTCAGAGTCAACCTAGTGTGGATTTTCATCCCTGCTCCATGCTACCCCAAACGAAAGCCCAAATTTTTTATTTTTTGTTCGATGGACCGAGAACCGGAAAGATTCAATCCAATATTTTGCTCGTTCGGGTTTGATTGTCGTTATACTACTGAACGCTGGTCGGTAGGAAGTTTGTCTTCATGTTGTAACCTGGAAGAGAAGAAAGGACCGACTGCGCAAATGTAATTCGTGCAGCCAGCGATAGCATCTCAACTTTCCACCTTGCAAGGCGAGTATGAATACGATCAATCAGGTCACTAAAGGTGGGTTTGGATTCCCGGTCATGGATGACTTGCACTCCTAAATAGCGCCCCAAGTTAGTGGTCTCCAGGATCCCAAGCTCTTCGCTCAGCATTTGCCTCTGCAGTGGTAGTGTTTGCATAACTGTATACTAGTGACTTGGATTTACTAGCGTGCTGGCCCGAGGATGCTCCAAAGCTCTTGAAGCATGTCATGATCTCTTCGAATCCATTAAGCCCAAAGCGCCCTCCTTCATTGGCCTGCATACTGTTTCGGAGTCAACCTAGTGGATTTTCATCCATGCTACCCCAAATGAAAGCCCACATCTTATTTTTTTCTTTTTTGTTCGATGGACCGAGAACTGGAAAGATTCAATTTAACGTTTTGCTCCTTCGGGTTTGATTGTCGTTATACTGTTGAACGATGGTCGGTAGGAAAGTTGTCTGCATGTTGTAACTCGGAAGAGAAGAAAGGATCGACTGCGCAAATGTAATTCGTGCAGTCAACGATAGCTTCTCAACTTTCCGGCTCCAGATACGGTCAGTAACACCTGGTTACTGACCAATGAGTAACAAAATCTCAGTCATCTTATTTAAGTGGGCCCAGAAAATCCAGATCTAATGGTGGAGAATTAAAGATATTTTTATTTTTCCTTGTTTTCTTAATCGACTTATATCTTCTTCGTTTTAACTCGGATTTCAATTTTTTTGCACAGATGGAACGAGTTCATTGTGCTCTACAAAATGAGATCAATTTTTAATATTTTTTTAGAATTTTTTTATTGCCTCTCATTACCAAATGTATACCATATGGTAGCTTCTTCGTTTTTAAGTCCTCTTTGAAATTTTTTGCATAGAATGAACGAGTTCATCATGATCTATTATAGCTACAAATTTTTGGGTGAACAAAATACTAGACAAAAAAACACCACACAATACCACCCAAGTATGGGGTGGTAAGTGGTATCTTGTGGTACACAATGTTGAAAATCGTAAATGACAGTTAGTATACTCCTACTATCATGTATTCAATTGTCCTACAGTCTTGGTATGTTCATTCCACCATGGTAAGCTTTTTCATACCATATGGTATGCTCCTATTTAATACCAGTCGATACCATATGGTATATGCTGGTAAAAATGGCTCAAATTTTTTTATTTCCAAAATATATTAGAATGGATATCATTTTGAAGAACACAATCTGATATAAATGTGCAAAAAAATTAAATTCCGACTTAAAATGAGTGAGAAATCATCCGTTAAATATTAAGGGAAATTAAAGACTTTCTAAGAGAGAGAATGTGTACTGATGTGACATATACTGATTGGGTTATGCATGGTTACTCACCACAAGGTTATGCATGAGATCTATTCTCCAACTTTCCACCCTGCAAGCATGGTCCATGAAACCGTACGGATATCTTACCGGAAAAGTCAGCGGTATGATATTTTATGATAAAACCGTGGTTTAATCGTTAGATCGTTAAATACCACCTACCAATTTAGCCTCCGATACTGGTATTTCGTGGTTGAACCGTCAGTACGGTACAGTTTCATGGACCATGCCTGCAAGACAAGAATGAATACGATCAATCAGGTCACTAAAGGTGGCTTTGGACACCCGGTCATGAATGACTTGCACTCATAAATAGCGCCCCAAGTTAGTGGTCTCCAGGATCCTAAGCTCTTCGCTCATCATTTGCCTCTGGGCGGTGGTAGTGTTTGCATAACTGTCTACCAGTGACTTGGGTTTACTAGCATGCTGGCCTGAGGACACACCAAAGCTATTGAAGCATGTCATGATCTCCTAAACCTGCACACTCGTGGCTTCACCAAAGAGGATAAGATCGTCTGAAAAAAAAATGAGGTAGTGCTGGTCCATCTCGGGTCGGCCTAATAGGTCCAATTCGTCAATTAAATGTCCAGTTCGTTCCATACACAAAGTAAACCGGCAAGGTGAGAGAGGACATCCCTAACGAAGCCCTCTCGTCGGTTGAAAGCTCTCGGTAAGTCTCCCATTCCATTGGATCTGCATTGACGCCATTGAAATGCATCCCATAGTAAGGATTGATGAAGTTTGCTCGCGTGCCTGCAACCTCCAGAGTACCACGCACAAGCCCCCTACAAATCCGGTCATATGCTTTCACAAGATAAATTTTCATGACCATCCAACCTCGACGCCCCTTTCGCGCCCTCTTTAGAGTGTACTACCTCCTCCAAGATGCATTCATTATCGGTGATATTAGGCCATGAACTTTTGATCTCCCCGTTCTTTTCAGTCGATGAATTACATATTGAAATTCAAATTTTTGATTTTATTTGGACTTTTGAGAAAAAAGAGGTGCCAAATTCTCCGCACGTGAAGAAGAAGAGATGAGTAAGTCGGCCAACTTAGCCAACCACAAGCCAACTTCTCCCTCACTTAAGTCAGCCCAGCCCAGCCCAGCCCGGCCCGTTTCTCACCTAATCATTGGATCGGTTTCCCCTGAATTTGACGGACCGGAACCAGAAGATTCTGACCCTTTCCCACCGAACGGCAAGGAACGAAGCAAGCTTTTTGTGCCTTTTGTTCCCCTTCTCTCTTTCCCCTCCCGTCGACCTTTTCGTTGTTTCTGTGCTCAGATTCCCACTATCCTGCCACAGCAATGAAACTGCGACTTAGGTCTCTTCTTACCAATCAAACTCTGAAGCTGGAAGTTCCGGAGACATGCAATCTCCAACAGCTTATAGGGATTCTCTCTGAGTCCTTCTCTTCGCCTTCGCCATCTCCTCCCCGTTTCTCGCTCAACCGGAAAGACGAGCTCCGTGGATCTTCCCCGCTCAATCCTTTACGTTCTTTAGGGATTACCTCTGGCGATCTGATTTATTTCTCTTTTGACGCAAACGATTTCTCCCCAGTTCCAACAGAAACCCTAGGCGCCGGCTCCAGTTCGAGTTCCATGGCCTCCTCACGAGGACAGTTGTCCGCCGAGGAAGGGTGTAAAAACCTACCGGCACCTTCTAATTCGGGTAATTTCCGAGCATCTGATGCCTTTGATTCGAAGGGTAGTGCTTGTGATGTGAATTGTGGGCTTAGCTCTGAAATTTCTAGGGATTCTGGCCTGATGGCTGTGAGTAATACGGAAGGGGAAAGTTCGAATGTTAATTTCGGTGTAGATGAACACAGGTCTATAACTCTTGGCCAAAAATCATCTGGAACAGTGAAGTCAGATGAAGATGATTGTATGGATATTGATGGGGCATCGTCTGTAAATGCTATTGGGATCAGCGACAGGTTTTCTCAGCCGTACTTCCTGCGGTGGGTGTTGAGGGCAGAACTGGGTGCTTGTGATAGTAGTTATCACAAGCTCCTGTTTGCAGCAGTTCACGCAGTTTTTCTGGAATCGGGTTTTGTGGGCTACGATTCAGTGTCTGGGAGTAGAATGGAGCAGTTTCACTTTGATAAGGACTGGCCTTCGATGTGGTCTGCACTTTCAGTCTCGTATACTCTCCCCCAACTTCAGGGAAAGGAGGTTATATCAATCGCTTTGAAGTTCCGAACTTTGGGCAATTTCTTGAATGTCTTTGGTTCTTTGGTTACAAGTGGAGCAAATACGTACCGCCTCTGCTTGAATGGAAAGGATTTGGTCCCGACTCTGCACCTGCTTTGGGCGAATTCCCAGAAGAGGCAGACTGATAGTGATGGATCTCTTGAGGCCATGGATTATTCTCATGAAAGCCAGGTCTTTAAGTTCTGGAAAGATGTCAAAGATGGGCTATGTCTGCCATTGTTGATTGATCTTTGTGGCAAGGCCGGTTTGCCTTTGCCATCGTGTTTTCTGAGCCTCCCTACTGACCTTAAGCTCAGCATTCTGAAGCTGCTTCCTGGAGTTGACGTTGCTAGGATGGAATGTGTTTCTCCGGAGATGCGTTATCTATCATCAAACAATGAGCTTTGGAAGCAGAAGTTTGCAGAGGAGTTTGGAAGTGAGCAGCTTGCGACCTACCCGATGATCAATTGGAAACAGAGGTTTGTTTCTGAACTGGAGTGGTGTAGGAAACGAAAAAGGGAGGAGGAAGAGATGGCAGCTATAAGGTGGGCTGTGCCTGGAATTAGAAGGGATCCTAATCCGCTTGGGTATCCTGCTGGTGGAATATTGGGTGGAGATTACGACCGCATACCTGGGCTGGGAATCCCGCTTCCTTTCCCACGTGTTGGTCCTGGGCTGGGCATGCCGCCATTTTTCACACAGCACATTGGTCCAGGTTTATTCCAGGCTGGGCGAAGAACATCTCGCAACGTGAGGACCAACTGTGATTTTGGAGGGGGGTTCCGTCTCTAGTGTTACTTGCCTTCGCTTGGTGTAAGTGTGATTCGGTCCTTGAATGGCAATGGCACTATCTCACCTAGGTGATGAATATTAAGGGTTCGGTCTCTGCAGCTGTCTGGAAGTTGAATTAAGATACAGTCTTGTAGGATGATGATGGTAAGGGTAAACTTGGAAAGCTGGCCGAGTGCTGGTATGTTTCAGTGTAGGAAACCTTGTTACAAATAAAATTGCAGTTTCTGTTAGCGAGTAGATGTTTCTTTTCTTGTTAGAGGTTTCTTGATTTTTTTTTTTGTGTGACCTGTGTATCATGGGTGGGTTGCTTTGATGAATGATGATTACCTCCTTTGATAAATGGCTTCTTTTTTACATGATTAGTGTCTATTGACAATTGTTACTGTGATTGGTGATGATTACGATGCTTCGTTAAGTCCCCTTGTTTAATGTTTACTACCCAAATAGAACAAATCTGAAGGGAGTTTAAATTTAGGGTTTCTTGTTAAATCGGTTTGTATGTGTGGTATACTACAAATGTGATTGTATTTTAAGTAACTAAAACTAAAAATGACTTCTTATGTAATATCAATTCACATTTACAGAATCTACAATTGCTAGCCGATGCTCTGCTATACAGTGATGACTGTAGCTTCTGATTGTTTTGTATCATCCCATCTTCCTCTCCAACCAATGAAGGACTAGCATCTTGTTGACTGGTCGATTTTGATGAGGCATGATTATGGCTTGGATGGCTTTGCGACCGATCTGCAGGCTGTCTCCCTCTTGCTGAGTTGGTTCCTCTGTTTGACCGCTCATTGCAGGGATGCTCTACTTTTGTTGTTCGGCTTCGGTGCTGTGGGGATGCACCATTCATGTTTGCTGGTTCCTTACTGTTGGTTGGTGGCTGGGGCTTTTCTTTGTTGATGTTGAACCTCTGCATCTCTGTGATTTCCTTGTTCTGTCTTGGTTTTGTGAGGTTGTCTTTCCTTGTTGTTTAGCTTTCTTCTTCCTCTGTTGCTGCAGTTTTTCCCGTCCTTTTCCTCTGCTGTAAACTACCTTTCTTTCTTTAATTAATATTATTTCACAATTATAAAAAAAACAAAAAAAAACCTAATTATAAATAAACGTACATCACTCTTATATGCGAATTCTTTAAATAGTATCTAATTATAAAATAAACATATATCACTCTTATATAAAAACAATACATATATTGTGTACACATAAATATAAAAAAATATAATGTATTATAAAGAATGCAGGCATCGTAACAATCTTAATATCCATGCACATTAAATTTGAACAGGAATGACATTCTCTCTCTAACTCTTTCCTTACAAACTATAGAAAGATAATTGATTAGGATGAGGTAGGTTCTCTATAAGCCATGCATAAACCACGGTTTTAAAGTCGTAATCATCATTGACGCCAAAAGTAGATAGAGATGTAAAATATCATACAAAAACCTACTAGTGTGTCGTTCGGGGAAATTCATCGACACAATCTCTGAATAATCATGTATGGAGTTGTTATATAAAGTAAAATTTTGTTTAGATGTCGATATTACTTTTCGGTTTTGTTGATATACTGTTATCAAAATGAAGAAAATGAGCAAGATATTTGTCTAAGAGATCATTATAAGTTTTTAATACTTGAAGGATATGAATAACCACAAGGCGGTTGAGTGTGAAGACTTTAACCATAGTTGTAGCACATATTCTAGTGAGTTTGGTACGAATACATAAAATACTAAAATCGCACCGAATTCTTGTCCTTCGTTGCTAGGTTCGAAGAAAAATTCATGAAAAAGTAATATCAGTTGGATTTTTCTCAATCAATTTGATTGGATACCTACGGTGGTGATGCATTATTTTGCCATAGTTGAATGTGTTTGTGGTGGTTGCCAAGTATACTTTGTTTCTGTCCATAGGTCGGTGTCAAGTAACCATTGTGATTCATTCGTTTTGTGTCGTATGACATGCCCCAAAAAATTTGTTGAAAAGAAGTTGTAAACTTACTTTATTTTGTACTTGGTTTGCTTGGGGACAAGCAAACATTCAAGTGTGGGTGTGTGATTCGGGTTCGATTGTACACATTTTACCACTCAATTGTACACATTCGGGTTCAACTGTGCTTCTTTTGTCATATTTCATGTCCTAGTACGTGTGGGAAGGTCTTGGACGTGTTTCGGGTCATTCGTCACGGGCTGAAAGCATTTGTCACGCCCTGAGGGGGTGAAAATCACCCCCAGGGAGTGAAGTGCAAGACTTCAATGGCATCACTCATTTATCACGTTCCTAAGACCATGATAATCACCCCCAGACCATGAAGTTGCCGAATTTCAGCAACCATTGTGCATCTTGCGGGCCTAAAAGATATTACGGTCCCGAGACCATGAAAAATGGCCCAAAATGGTGCATTTTTTTGCCAAGATCAACCTCGGCTAGCTAATATCATGTGCGTGAGAAGTGATCGTGAAGTCGGCACTGTCGGGAAAATATAAAGACAGCAGCTGGGAGAGAGAAAGGGGAGTTGGTTTTTGGAGGAGAAATTGATTCTCTCTCTAGGGCTTCAACCCAAAACACCAAAGGGAGATTTCTTGAGTGATCTTGGAGCTTAATTGAAGGCATTGATCAAGCTTGGAAGCAAGGAATCAACATAGAAGAAGAAGATCATGCGCTCCAATTTGTAATCACTCTTTAGAAACTCACCCTCTTCTCTTGGGAATAACCCTAGTTCTAGATTTTCATTGGGTGTTGATATATGTGACATATTCCATGTTTGATTGATGATTTTACTTAATTGATGGGTGTTTTCATGAAGGACATGAGTTGAGTTTCCATTTTCATGTTTTGAGCTTTTGACCTAGGAGGGTGAACATCCCCTTAGAGCCCATTATTGTCGTCTTCGGGTCACTCCTATCGTATATTGTCCAGGCAATCTCCAAGGGAGTTGATTCAATCTACCTCCTATCAATATATGAAACCCTAGGTTGAATAGAGAACCTACCCATCCACTGATTCGCCATTCCAGATCGATCCCGAGGGAGTCTATCTCTTAACGTAGAGTAATTGAGACCATCGAGCTAGGATAGTACTCAACATCGTTCAAATTGACGGAACTAGGGGGATTCAAACCCATGAGAGTTGCAACCTTGCAAATAGCTATAGGTTAATTAGTTTAGTTTTCCTAATCACTATCCGAGGCTGGCTAGACAACGAACCCTAAACCTGAAGTAAGGTAAGTTTAGATCTCCGTAGTACGATAAATTTTATTGCTTGCTTACTATATGTTACACCCGGTCTTCGGTTATACTTGACTGTCGATTGGGATGTGTAGTTAGAGTCATGCCACCCCTCCACAAACTTTAGTACGACATTGTCCGCAATGGAGAAAAAGGGTAGTGAAGAAGTTACCGAACATTTGCAAGTAAAAGTTGAACATAGACAAGGGTAGAAGAGGGGAGCTTCACAAAGAGAAGAGGCAAAAACAAACAAACACACAAATACACGCGCAAGACGAGATTATTACACAACAATAGTACTTAACATCCAAATAAAATAAAAACAAACATAAACCTATGTTAGGTTGCCTCCCAACAAGCGCTACTTTTACGTCATAAGCTAGACGGTGGTTCCTTAAGCTTCGGTCAGCCACAACTATTTTGAACTTTTGCCAAATTATTTCGCAGGAGTCCCACCACCCTTTGTTGTTGAGTCAGTCGATCAACCACAACTGCCACAGTAGTTGACAACGGGTTTTGGAGAGCAAAGTGAGATGGTGAGTAGCCATACAAGGCCTCAAAGAGTGTCAGCATCACGGTGTTGTGGAAATTCGTGTTGTACCACCATTTTGCAAGAGACAACCAGGAAGACCACAACTGGGGGGAGTGGTGAATCATGCTCCTGAGATATTTTTCGATTTTGACAAACTTTGGAAGACCATAACTTTGTGCTTCGCAATCCGAATGTCATGAAACTTTTTTTGATTTCTCATAACTTTTTAAGGACTACAACTTTGACCATAACTGTAATTTTGGAATGTATGTGAATTTGTAGAAAGTAAAGGCAAAGTTATTCCCAAAATCTCGTATACGGTAATACCCAAAACTATTTTTGTTTTGAAAATTCTTTCCTAGTAAAAGTTGTAGTTATTAAAAAGTTATGCACAATAAAAAGACAACTTTATGACTTTTGGATTGAGGAGCACAAAGTAATGGCCTTCCAAAGTTTGGAAAATAAAAAAATTGCTCGTTCAGGGTAGCAAACGATATTTTTTGGGATGATGGCCGGTTGCAGATTGAAAGATCTTGAAAAGTTATGCAGAATATTTTTTTTTTGCTACGATCGAATAACCGAGCGCAAAGTTACGTTGGTTTGAAGTTTCAGCCTTAGGTCAGGCCTTCATCGCGGCCGATAAACGCGGTGAAGCCTTCACCGCGACCGTCAACAGCGGTGATACATTCACCTCTTTAGTCTGCAGCGGTGGAATGCATTCACCGCGGTCAATGCAGTCAAAAGCGCGATTCTACCTAAAAGGAAAAAAGGGGTAAAATTGAAAATCGAAAAGCGGCGAATCAAAGTGTAAATGCATAAGTTTTTTATGCATCCTGTATAATAGTTAAAAATCTGTTAAGTACGACATAAACTATGTAAAATATAAGGGCACAGAATTTAGGTAAAAGAATAAATACTTGCAATTCATGTCTAAATTAGAACAAACTCATAACATCTTAACAATAACTTTATAAACATAAATTATAACCCACATACGAGTTAAAAATCCAATTTCTCACAAGTTGGTTTAAGTTTACATAATAACATACGAGTTTAATAATCCAAGTTCTCGAAATCAAAGCACACAAATGTTATAATGGATAGAAGGAAAACTACATCAATTCATCGGTTTCTATAATCTACCATCATCAAAAGTTGTCATCCTTTTTCATATTATGAAAACTCGGCCATTGATTTGAGAAAGTTAGATCGATGTAGGATCCAAACTGGAAACGAAGAGAAACCCCATTTCATTTAGCTTATACAAATTCGGAAAACAAAGAACCAAAGCTCCAATAAAAAAAGTATGAAAAAGCAAGGAATGGATAAGAACATACATGGCGAAGCAACATTGAAGCTGCTGTACGATCTGTACAATCCGATATTGGTGAAGCGGCGACGGGCTAGGACAAGGAAGAGAAGGAAACTAACCTGTTGTGGCGCCGGCAAGTTGCAACAAGCGATGACGAATGTGACGGGCGCTGCCGCGTTGGAGGCTTGGAGGAGCTATCGGGTATAATTTAGGATGACAAATTTAGGACATCAAATTGAACTTGAGTAGTTTTGTAATATCCTATTCATTAAATACTATTCCCATTTGTAGACCCACCGCCCCAACAATTTTTCATGCCTCTACTTCCAAATTCCAACTGATCTCTCCGGAGCTCAGCTTCCTGCCGACTTCCACCCCTGTCTCTGTTCATAATCACATGTCTTCGCTCATCGCGGCCGCGGGTCACCACAAAGTCATTCGTCGGCACTCCAGGCTCTCGGCGATGAAAATTTTCACCTCCGACTCGCCTCCTGTTTTTCCAAGTAGCTTCTTTGCATCTAAAGTAAATTACGCCCTCAAGCTGAAGGATTCCACAAAATTTCTGCCTTCTCGTCGTTTGTTGGCTCGACCAAGTTCGAGACGGGGTCCCGATTTCAGTCCGGCTGGGGACGATGGCTTCCTCGGCGACTCTAGGGATTGGAGCCGTTCGATTGGTAGGTCGGCGTTGGTAGAAGACAGTTACGGCGATGATGTTGATTATGAAGAGGAAGAAGAGGAGGAGGATCGAAGTCTCGATCTGTTCGTGAAATTCGTTCAAAACGTATACCGAAAGATTGCTAAACGAGCGAGGAAGGCCCTGCGGTCAATTTTGCCAGCCATCATTTCTTCTAAACTGGTAATATCTGATTGCTTTCCGGAATTCTGCACCCAAAACGCACTACTTTTTAATTGCTAGTTTTGCCTCTACTTTGAGATCCTTATCGTAATTTGGGCTTCCCCGTTTTCTCGTTCTTGGAAATTGCTAGGTAGGGTTTTCGGTCGATGGGGTGATAGTGCTTGCGTTCTTGTGGGTTCTGAAAGCGTTTCTTGAGGTAAGTGAAGTGCTTCTGTTGCCATTGCAATCAATCTGACCTCTATCTGCTTTCGAATATCCGTAAGATTGTCAGATATCCGTCTCTCATTGTACATGATCAATAGATGCTTTCAAATAGGGTTTGAATTCGTCACCTTGTTTATGCTGTAACTTTGTCTAAGAACTGTGAGGGAGCTCTTTCACTAGTTTCCTGGAGCGCTGGTGGTGGCTTTATCGTTTTAGCATGTAAATCCGTCCCTCGTTCTCTGGCAATTCTGGTTGATCGGTGGTTTTGTTGGGGCAACAAGAAATAGATTAAGCTTTGATCTTTTCATTAGATAGTTGATACCAGCAGTTTTGTTGTTTAAACAGCTGATGAGACTGGGTGTGGTGGACTGTTCTGGCGTCCGTAGTTAGTTGATACCAGCAGTTATGAGCTAGAATTTAGCTGCGTGTCTCAATTTCGAGAACAGTTAAGCTTAAAAGGTATTGTTACTTTCAAACGCCTACATGGTTGCAACATGGAAGAGAGCTAACATTTAAGCTTAAAAGCACCCTGTGCGAGGTTTGATCTCCATTTGGACTCAGTGAAATCGTTGGACTAGTGCATGAAAATTTTAGACGATGATGATAACAGTAGATTCTTATTGGTGCGAGGAAATCCCTTGGCCAGTCCTCTAATCAATATATTTATCTGAGACAAGATTTTGTGGTCTGGCTTTATTTATGTCCTATTTTGTGGTCTGGCTTCTGTGTCCTCAAATAGCATATTGCTATTGGATTCGATTGCCAAATTCAGGAGGCTGTGGTGATATGAAATCTACCGTTTAGTTTCTTGAACTTTTTGCTACCTAATTTGATCTTTGAGAGTGCTTTCCTTTTTCTTTGAGTTGAACCTGGAATAATGAAACTCATGCATGATCAAGTTTCAGGAGCGTTCTGCAATGGAATGACATGTTTCCTTTTTCTTAGAATGAAAGTGTTGTCCATCCTCGTTATGTTCCTTTAAATCTTGTGCTGCACAGATCCCATTTGTGGTTTCTGATTAGGCCGGTCTGAGAGCAGGTGGTTTGTACGCTTGGAACTGTGGTCTTCGTAAGTATTCTACTGACTCGTGTTGTATGGACCGGCGTGACCTATTTACAAGAAAGCCATGTACTTAGGATGAATGGGCAAGATGATGATCCGCGTGCTTGGACTGGTTCAAGGTCAGCAACTTGAGGGGCTTCTGGCTTGTTTGATACCTTTCATTGTTGAACTACATCGATTCTTTTGCTCAGCGAGACATCAGATCTTATAGATGGAAAGGCGTCAACTGAAGACACTGCCATTATCCCAAAAAGAGGTATGATGGTTGCAGTAGGGGTTTATGGTCTTGCTAGTAGCAAATAATTACTCTTCCTGAAAAATTCTTTCTTTTGCCCGCTGTTATAGCATCTGATATGGAATACAGAGAGTAGTGTATATGAGAACAGGATAGTGCATGGAAGAACATTTGTCCATCTCCACCCTTGTCATGTCAGAAGGAAAGACGAATTCCAATTGCTAATGTCTATTTGGTCATATGATATACAAGTAGATGTTGCTCATATGATCTGAAATGGAAGCAGATGTTTCTAATTTTGCAATTCTATTAGTAATATCGGAGTCCACATGAAATTTCTTTTCCTTTTTTCTTTTGATTGGGCTGCTTGACTATATTATTGTAAGATGAGCTTCCCTCTGATTGAGCTACCCAGGATCCATGATGTTCATATAACAATGAATCCAAGAAGAAGAAGAAGAAGAAGAAGAAGAAGAAGAAGAAGAAGAAGAAGAAGAAGAAGAAGAAGAAAAATACATCAAGTTTCAAACTTAAATGGCTTGTATTTTTCAAGGGAAGTGATGATGCCATCAAAAGAACCAATAGCACAAAGAATCGATACTACCAAGCAGACGACACTAAGAACGGTGACGCGCATCCAAGCGGAGCTAAACCTCTCCACTCCGGCTTGTTTCTTGTACATCTCGGTCGGGAAATACAGAGTGAGCGGCCAGAACGCCAAGGCGCCAAGCAGCCCGAGCACGCTGTTGAAGAAAGGGAAAAGCATCCCGACCACGCAAGTTGCGGCGACGTAGATGGTTCTCCACACCAATCTGAATGCATTCAACCTGAAGTAGCCGATGCCAGCACAGAGTTTGACGGGGTACTCGTTTCCGATGAACCCATTCTGGGGCCATTTCTTTTCGCACCATTTCTCCACGATCTGGAATGTGGGTTGGATGAAGACCTGGTATGCCCCGATCAGGTGGATCACAACGAAGAGGTTGGCAATGTCGACAAGCCAGAAAGGGTCGTAGAAGCCGAAGCCGGTGAGCAAGTTTCCTGGTGCCTCGTTGCCGAACGCTGCGTACCCAAGAAGGCCGCATAGACCGTAGAATACGGTCGTCACTGCAATCCCCATCATTGATGCTTTCTTCATTACCTTATTCTCCGGCGGACTTGATTTCAGTGTGTCCTGCGCATCATGCCAATATATCACTGGCAAATGGATTGATCCATGGATTGGTGGATCCATGAATCAAATGGATTGGTGGATTCATGGATTGGATCAAGTTGATTGGTGGATTATCCACGAATCCAAATGACATCCTCAACCAAAGGCCAATATGTAAAAATGTGAAAAGTTTAGGTACTAAAATGTCATAATAAAAAATTTTAGGTACTAAAACGTAATTTTCCAATGATATTTTTTGTATAAAAAATTAAGTTTTGGGTATAAAAATGTAAAATATAAAAAGTATAGGTACCAAACCGTAATTTGCCATTTGGATCCATGAATCCACCAATCCAATTGGATTTGGATCAAATGGATTGAATTATATGGATATTTTTAATGGGTTAGTAGATTGGATTTGTGAATTGGATTGAGAATGACCACCTCAACGACACTACCCCACGTCACCATACATACATACATTATTTAATTTACTAATACTAATTAAAAGTGCATACCTCAATTTCGAGAAGGATTGGGGCGTAGCTATAGGCAAATGCAATATCCCCTACAGCCTGCAACACGCTGAACACCTTCATTGATTTGGTGAGGCCTCCTTCGCCAATCTTTACCCCTATTAGCCCCGTGTTCTCAATGTTGTGATTCTCTAGGCACACAAAAAAAAATCATGCATAGCGTCACAAAACATATTTGTAGCGAGAGAGAACGTGTACATGCGATGTCATGTTTAGAAAGTGAGATACTTATTATTGTGGCTACGCAGAGGCCGAGACCAATGGTGGAGTAGGCGAAGGACATGACGGCGGCCACGACCGAGATGAAGGCGAGGTTGTGAAAGTCCGGGAGCTGGCTGAGAAAAATCTGGATGATCCCGAATATTATCACAAACTTGTTGTTGGACGTGTGGCACCCCGCTCCGTGTCCCTCCTTGTGGAAGCAGTTGGATCTCGTTATAGCTCTTTAATTTAACGTGGCGCGAAATCGTATATAATTCATTCCAAATCTTGTTAGTAATAGTATTAATGATGTCTAATTCGTACGTCCAAAAAAGGAAGACAATTAATAGTAATGCGATTGGGGGAGCTTACGCCATACTAATGGGTGTGGCAATGGTGTATCCAATGGCAGTTCCTAGAAGATATATGAATTGAACTACTCCACAAAACTTGGACCGCATTCCTCCTGACAAACAAACATCCAGTTTTAAGCTTACCCATTACGAAATTGAAGCTCATTTTTAGAGATCATTAACATATAAGAACAATTGAGTACTAAATAATGACTGAACCTAGTTTTGTATTTGGTACCTAAATGGGCCTTGACAGCGCCACTGTAGTTGTAAGTTCGGGTGCCGAAATTTGGGCCAGGGCATCTATAACAGTCGCATAGTAGACAAGCAGTGTACCAAGTAATTGCAGCGAATGCAAAAAGCACAATTGGCCCAGCAACCCATCCTAATTGGGCCGTGGCCCATGCTAATGATAGCACCCCTGATCCTATCACTGATGTGATTATATGTGCACTTGCTGTCACCATGGTTCCTTCATCATCCCCAATAATTAACCAAAACGAACAAACATTAGTGAACTATGTTTAATCAACAAATTATATGCGTAATCTCCAATCATATTGGTTCATAATACTCCCTCAAGTGTCCAAACCCCAAACATAAAACCCCCATTATTTCTCCCGCAATCTCCTCCCCTCTCAACCTCATTCCAAAGGAACAAAACATATCCCTCCACATCAAATGTTCAATGCAGCAACAGAATCACATCATCTATTATCAACAACAACAACAACAACTACAACCCCGCTCTTTCCATACATCATCAGACAATGCCTCCCCTCTCCTAACAATCGCCGTCCTATGCATCATCGGAGCCGCAGCTGCATTGCTTCTCGCATACTACGTCTTGGTCAACAAATGCCGCTGTTCCTCGCTTCCCTTCAATCTCCCAACATCGACCTGGTTTCTCCCTTCCTCCAGCGCAACAGCCGCCACCGGACAACCCGCTGTTGACGACTCCTTCATCGCCCTGTCCCCTGGCAATTGGCCTCGCGGCGGCGGCGGCGGCGGCGGCCTCGACGAACTTACCATTCAAGCTCTCCCAACTCGCGAGTACAGAACAGGAGGAGTACTAGAATGCGGCGGCGGCATCTACGGCTGCGTGGTGTGCCTGAACGAGTTCAAGGAAGAGGACATCCTCAGAGTCCTCCCCAATTGTGCCCACGCCTTCCACTTGCCCTGCATCGACCTTTGGATGCAGAGCAATGCCATTTGCCCGCTCTGCCGGACAAGCATTTCCTCGGCGCAACTCGCTTCGGGGCATAATCCTCGTCGTCTCCAAGTGGTTGCTCCGAGCTCCTCCCCTCGAGGCTCGCAGCAACAAGCCGAGAGCGTCTTAGGAAGCGACGAGGATTTTGTGGTGATTGAGTTGGGCGGAGATGTGGAAGGTCGTGCCGTCGTTTCGGAAGCTCATCCCCCTGCTGCTGCTCCTCGTCGTCGTTTCGGGAGCCAGTCTCCTGAGGTGATTGGGAAGCGGAAGCAGAAGCAGAGCAAGTGCGGCGGCCGTCACTTGTCCGTGATGGGAGATGAAGGGATCGATTATGTGAGGATGGGGAAAGAGGGTGAAGGTGATCAGTTTGCAGTTCAGCCAATCAGAAGGTCCTTTTCGTGGGATTCGGCGGCGGATCGGCAGCTTCTATCTAGCGTTCGAGCCTTGTTGATTCGACGGAGTAGTAGTGGTGGTGGTAGTCATAGCAGAGCTCGAAATGAAGGACGTTGTTTTTTCCCGTTTGGTTAAAGTCCCAGGGTCCTGCTGAAACAACTCGGTGATTGCATTGCCAGTTGGGTTTGTTTTCTTGTTAGTTTTGATCTCGCATTTTCCTCATCCGGGATGGGTTGGGATAGAATCATTGCGGGAGTCTTTTTTGGCCCTAGCAAAACAGAGTGGATTGATCCTTAATGAATGAGAATGATTTTTCCTTTCAACTTTCTTCACACCAAAGGTCGAGGGGGATCGATAAAGAAAGATATGGCAAAGGAATTATGGAGCAGAGTGTGGCGTGCAGTGATCTCCATTTCCCTATCCATGACCACCTTCTTTTGTCTCCAAGTAAAATGATTGTAATGATCGGTGCCCATTCGTAAATCCTACATAAAAGAGCACTTAACGCATGCAGGGAAGAGATGAATTCGACCACGGGCGTGGAGAAACGCTTAGGGGACTGGAATGGATGAGTTCTCCTTTCTCGACAATGCTGGGACTGGGAGAGAACAAGGAACTTGATGTTCCTTGGTCAACCGCCAAGGAAGAGTGTGGATCAGAAAATGTTAGCAATTCGAGCTTAGAAAAGATTTTCGAGTAGACTTAGCTTCGACACAACTAGTACACATACATAAGCTTGGAGGAGTTATCAATCATTTTATTATCACCAAATAATCGAAGTTTGACCATAGATACAAGCCGACTCAAATGTGGATGACCGAGACGGGAGTGCCAAAGATGCAAAGACTGTTCAGCGAGACTCGATTATTCACTAATGCAAGCAATTTCAGTTTCCAAACATATTTTACTCAAGTACTTTTATATAACAATGAATGACTCCCTAAATTTTGCTTAGTTTTCAATGAAAGATGAGATGTTGTTAATTGATTTATGAGCTCATATATACCACCATGCCACTAAAGCTACAAGCATTGTGATCTTTAGTTGTTCACTCACCTCTGCCAATGTTTACAGGTTCATATATTTTGCTATGAAATTTAGATAAAGAAGCTTTAAATCTCGCACATTTAAAAGTAGGAGATGGAAACTATGTAAATAAGTGATTGCAAATTTACTATTTTGAAACCCAAAATTGAAGGAATTTAGACCATCTCATTTCGCAGTAAATTAAAAAGTTTTATGGGAAAGTGATACCTTAGCGTTGAATGTGGTGGTGAATGAACAACTAATGCCAAACGTGGCCTAAAAAATTCACTCCACTATGAATTGCAAAATAACATTCTTCCCAAACTCAATTTATTACCAGTCAAATCATATTTGGTAATATCACTTGAAGGTTATACCGATAAACGACTATTTAGTTTGATTATAAATTAGACCTATTACATTGGCTAAAAAAATGAATATCAACTCTAATGTAATATTTGCACATTTTTTTTATAACAAACATAAATGTGATGTGGAAACACCGATAGTGAAAGTGTGAATTGGTTTAATGTGAATAGCTAAATGATCGATATTTCTTTATAGGTATAATTATATGGACTCAAATAAATTCAAATTGCAGGTTCAACCCAAATAAATATTTTTTCTGCTCTAACTCTTACCTCCATTCCATAATTAGTAAATGAAAGTAATCCGGCCAACGGGCCGGATCAAAGCTAGTTTTCTATAAAACGGGTTCATTCGGTCAAACTCCAATCCGATGAACTTCAAGCCCAACGGCTTATGTGAGTCTTTTGACAAGGAAACTTTCGTCCACGCAACCGAACTTTTGCAGCTCCGCTCCCGCTCCAGTATTACTTCTCGTCTGGTTCACTGCCGAAGACAATATAAGAGCTTTTCTTATTCCTTTGCCTTTTCCTGTTCCAGTTCCTGGGTTTCCTTCTACTTCTCGAACAAGCCCTCCCTCTGTCGTTTATCTGTCTCTCTGGGTTCGGTGAATTCCAGGGGATACCTATTTGGGCGCTGTCCACTCGATTGTTCCTAGGCCGTTTCGTTCGGAGCTCTTGCGTTGCTGGGTCGCGGGTAATTCCGTCTCCTTGTCCCTTGGCAAATTAAGATTTTATATTTGATGTTCCGCTTATTTGCGGCGTGCTAGATAGTTGAATCTCTTCCAACTTAGCTTGCTCCTTGGTTATTGGGGTTTAAAGTTCGGAATTCTATTCTTAATGATCGATTGACGTTGAATTTGGTGCCTGCAAAGCATTCCTTTAGCTCTGGTCTCAGAGTACCATGATTTGCAGCATCTCGGAGTTTCTGTCTGATCAGTGGGAGTTTATCATGTTTGATGACATGCTGATAGTTTGATGACTTAAAACTATTGATAAGCTGTTGATTATGGGTTTTCTGCTATGTGGAGTAACAAGTGTTAGATTGAGTTTTACTTTGAGACTAGAGCCTTTGTGAAGATTCGATCTTTGCTCTTCGTGGTCCTTATTTAGTGAAAATTATGAGGAACGCATCTCATTCTTGTTAACTGTAGATCAGCTTTCTTCATTTAATTGGTCTGTACTCACCATCTCTTTTAGTATACTGCCCCATTTGGATTATACATTTCTGCATTACTGCACTAGTGAGTATGGCTGTTGAAGAGCTCATAGTGGAAGTACCCAAACTACAATGCATGATGGATGTAATACTTTAAGCATGTAAAACTACTTGATTGTGAGCTGCTAATGATTCATAACGCCCTCATTTGCTTGCGTAATTTATAGCATTTCAATAACTTACTGGCAATGAGCAGTACAGCGAGTGAACAGAGGTTTTTTAGCGCACTTCATAGTGATAGTCGAACTTTGTCCTTCTGTAATTATATATGTAAACCTCATTGATTGTTCGTTCGTGGTGGTAAAAAAAAAATGTTTGCTTTGGTGTCATACATCATTGTTAAAGGTTCCTATTAGTTGGGAAAGAAACTCGGGAGTGTTTATCAGCCCTTTGTCCTTAGCAACAGGGAAAATTATGTTGCTTCTGACTTGTATACCTATTTCAAACTTGATTCTGCAAATCAGATGCTGTCAATTTGACCAAAGGATGCTTGCCGTTTTTCTCCTCTCTAGTTCTATCTCATAAAATCCTGTATAGTTGTGTTCAAGTCCAATTTGTTTGGTTGCCAACGTATGGGGTCAAATAATTTAGCGGGTTCCCCAGTCATTCTTTGCTGAAATGTTTAAGATCTTTTACGAAATACAGAAGGGGACTTAAATGATAATAACACAACAGTTTTGTCAATAAAATAGTGAGTTTGGAATATCACTTGTACTATGACTCGTGCAGTATTCTTGGCATCAAGTAGGACATATACTTTAGGATGTTTGGATTATATTATTGTGCGGTCACGTGCTTGGGATGTGCAGTAGATAATGTGTAAATAGACCAGTATTGTTCAGTTATTAAAATCAGTTTATCCTGCAGATGATTGGTTTGAGGCAGTAATAGCATTGGTTGCTTATGTGTAGTATTCTGATATCCCAACCTCTATTCTATTCCCTCCAACTCTGTTTCCTTTTACTGTCTTTTTTGCGAGTACTGGACTTTGAATCTCCAATATTTATTTTATTGTTGTACTTTTGAGAAGGGATATTTATTATTATGCTGGTTTGGCTTCTTTATATGCCGTTTAACCGATGATCACAGTAAATTAGATGTTATCCTACTTGTTTCTTACAGACTGTTAGTGTTGTCTCAACGCCACGTCATCTTTGAGTTGTCTGCTTACTGTTTGTGTCACTATCAAACGAAAATATATTTAAGGTAAAGCTTGTAAATAACTTGAGTTCTTTTTTATTTCCAGAACTTTGTTTTAGCAATTGTTCCTGGGGGATGGACTGGTTTCCTTTGCATGCTCTATGCATCTGTGAATGATGTTCAGTGGGCAGACGAACTCTAATACCCTCAGGAAATTTAATTGGAGATGGCATGAGGACTCCACTTTGACAGCAGGCTTGCTTAAGGATGTGGCACCAGAGATTGAGCTGTCTGGTTATGGAAGGATACCAAGTCCTGGTAGTGAAAGCCCTTCTGGGCTTCTTAATGGTGAAAGCTTGAACGTGGAGCCAATTGCTGATCTGGACTTGTTCTTTGAAAGGCTTTACAGCTATTACTGTGAGAAGGGCCTTTGGTGCATTATTATAAAATGGATAGTTGAGCTTCTGAGCCTTGGTTTCACCATCTGTTTCTCGGGATTTTTCTTACTTTATGTTGACTGGAATGGTCTACGTAATGCGAAGTGTGGAATGGATGCAGTTGAATCTGGAACCAAGCCTTGCGACCTTGCAAAAGAAGCTCTTCATGAGCACCCATTAACCCCCTTGACTCTATCAAAAGCCATAATTGTTGGATATTTGGGATTGTTTTCCATCTATCTGGTCTTCTGTTTCTTCAGGTTTTTCTCTCAGTTGAAGGAGACCCTTAGGATCCGTCAATTCTATCACAACAGGTAACCATGATACCCTGTTTGGCATGCCTAAAGCGTTTTGGTTTATCTTTTCTGTGAATTTTAATTTGCTTATCTGTTGTAATTTCCTTACTTATTTTTTCATTTGGCTATGTTCTTTGGGTTTAGCTGCCTTTCTCCTTTTTTATGGTGAGTGCTTCAGGTATCAAACTGTGAATTGCATTTTCTTTTGCAGTCTTCATGTGACAGACAAGGAGATCCAAACTATGCCATGGGCAACAGTTCTTGAAAAAATTGTCCAACTGCAAGCCTCACAACAACTATGTGTGGTCAAAGACCTATCAGCTCATGACATGGTCATGCGGTTGATGCGGAAAGAGAACTACTTGATTGGGATGCTCAATAAAGGGGTACTTGCATTCCCTATATCACAATGGGTTCCAGGTGCTGGGCCAACAGTCAAATTTGGTCCAGATGGAACTCAGTATCGTTTAGTTCTCACAAAGACTCTTGAATGGACCTTAAACTGGTGCATACTGCAGAGCATGTTTGATCGGTAAGTTCTTATATTTGTTTGTTCTCGTGTGTGTTTGAGGTCAAGGACTTAACTTTCTCATTTCTTTATATTGTTTTGCAGAAACTTCTGTGTTAGGATGGACTTCCTTTCGAATCCTAAAACACTAAAAAAGCGACTTATGGTTGTGGGGCTTGCAATGCTTCTGCTTTCGCCATTTCTTGTTATATTCATGTTAGTATATCTCTTCTTGCGACATGCTGAGCAGTTCTATAATCATCCTGGCACAGCATCATCTAGACGGTGGTCAAATTTGTCAAGGTGGATGTTCAGAGAATTCAATGAGGTGCATGTCTGTCTTTTGTGTCTCTTTCTTTCGCAGTCTGTTAATTGGTTAATACTTTTTTACTTTTTAAAAGAGTATTCAGATATCTCCCTGCCATTAGGATGACGCCATAGTCTAAACATATAAACCACTGCTTGGAATTATAGTTTGCTATTACCCCTTTCTAATTCTTGGCCTCACACTGAAAATACATATGCGGATGATTAAGGCCTTTCTAGTTTATCTGTGTGATGCTAAGGTATAGTGTAGGCAAAATCCTGGTTGCTGGAAACAATTTTGTTTTTTTTTTGCCATCTCCGCAAGCCAGCCAAAAAGTTTCTTCCAGTCTAATTCTTTTTTTATAGGCACCAAATTGAGCACTGGTGATTTAAGATTCTTTTGTTTGTGTAACAGGTTGACCATTTGTTCAAGCATCGAATCAACAGCAGTATAGTGCATGCTTCAGAATATCTAAAACAGTTCCCATCTCCTATAATTTCAATTGTTGCAAAGTTTATCTCATTCGTATCTGGTGGATTTGCTGCTGTCCTGCTGATCATTGCATTGGTGGAGGAATCTTTACTCGAGGGCCATGTAAGAGACCCTTTTCTCTACCCCTCCCAAGAACTTAACGATATACGTAGTTTATATGTCTCTGTGCGACTAGTACAAATATCAGAGATACATGTCATATAACATAGCGATTTCATTTTGTAGATTTTCGGGCGCAACTTGTTTTGGTATGCTGCTGTTTTTGGAACTATAACAGCTATCAGTCGGGCTGCAGTGACTGATGATCTCCTAGTTCTCGATCCGGAAGGAACAATGGCTGTGGTGGTACAGCATACTCATTATATGCCAAAGAGGTGGCGGTGCAAGGAACATACTGAGACAGTTAGAATAGAGTTTGAAACCTTATTTCAGGTAGTCAGTCTGTTTGCCGTGTAGTATGAGCCTATTATCCGAGCTCAAATAATAAAGTCAACTGTAGTGCTCTCTTCTCTTGCTTTCATATTTGACCGAGTTCTAAGTTGGTTTGTCCATCCTGGGGCTTTTACGTGCTGCAGTATACTGGTATGATGTTACTTGAGGAGATGGCATCGATATTTCTCACTCCACTCTTGCTTTTATTTGTTGTACCAAAGGTACCAACTTCTTCACACATGGTCCATATCTTGCCTGTTCTGTGCCATATATGCAATGTTTAAGCCATCACTTATATGGTCTTGCAGCAAGTTGATGACATCTTGGAGTTCATATCAGATTTCACAGTGGATGTCCAGGGTGTAGGCCATGTTTGTAGGTCAGTCTGTTGTTAACCCTCAAAATATAGATTGATTGAGAATCAACAGTTTTTTGGTTGTCTTTTGCTCTGAGCACTAAACAGTTTCAATATAACCATTTACACATTGCAGTTTTAGTGCCTTTGATTTTCTAAATCATGGCAATAGCAACTATGCTTCTCCCTGTAATGCACCTCGCACTCAAAGGAGTTCTCAGGGAAAGATGGAAAAAGCAATGTTGAGGTATGACTATGCCACTTCCTAGCAAATCTTGATGCAGGTTGATTAATACTTGGTCATACAGCTGGCCAAATTTCAAATCTTAATTATTATAGCTTAATTACTTTGCCGAGTGTGGGGTTTATAGGCTGTAAGAGCTAATTTTCCACTGTGGTTTGCAGTTTCAAGAGTAGCTATCCTTCATGGGAACCAAATGCTCAAGGGAAGCAATTCCTGCTAAATCTTCGGAACTTCAGGGAGCAGAAGCTGCAAGGTCCAGGAATTAGACATATGTGTCAGCATCCTCAATTGTTACGAGGCAGCCCCCTAAGCCTTAGAAGTGCGGAGGAGAGAAACACGACCTTTTCTCGGGGTGCGCCATATTATACTGCTAGATTTCAGTTGGATTCCTTATGGTTGATTGATGTTGATCAAAAGAATCATCATCCATATCTTCTGGATTGGTACTATATGGCCCAACACCACAATTCGATGAATGATAATACAAGAGAAGAAGAATGTACTGTACAACTTGATGTGAATGAGCAACAAATCGAAGATATCTGGAACCCTTCCAATTTGGCACAGGGTGGTGTTGCAAGATACGATCATGAAGACTACTGGGGTGCTCAGCATGTGGATGATCGACTGGGCTCTCATCTGCAGGCTTCCACGTCTGCTCCATTCTTTCGGGAGAGTGTGATCCGGCATCACGATTCCACTCACGGTGCTGTTAATCCTGGTGGAAGCCATTGGTGGTCCAGAAGCAACTTGCAAGGACGACAGCCGCAGGCAAGTTTCCTGGAGCCCCCTGATTTCAACAGATTTGCTCGTGGTAATCAGTTTGAGAATTTATCGGAAAGAAGCATGGAGGAGCAAGAACAGGACTTGGAGTTAAGGAATTCACGTAGTGCGTCCAGGACTACTTACATGTATGATGATGACATTGAAGCTGGAGGAAGGAATTTGAGTCTCCATTTTGATGAAGTTTATGCCAGCAGACCTGAAACTAGAACTATAGATCAAGACCATGAAGACCCACCTAGCTTTTAAAGAAAAATGATACTTTCTTCAGTCTGAATGGAAGGTTCTATGTTCAGATATATGGAATCGTAGTGGACTTGTGCAGATTTAGATTTAATTGTTGTACATAAGATTCATTTTTAAGGTAGCTTCCTCCAGTCAATTTTAGGAGTTGGCCACTTCATTGTGTGTCACCTTCTGAAACTGTAAAGACTAAAGGCGATCCAATTGAAATCCAGCGGAGATTCGTTGAATCTTCTGTTAACATCTACCTTCCTGCTGCTTGGCCATGGCCGCAAAGTATTGTTATGGGGCATAAGATAGTCATTATTGTTATGGCCTATGGGAATAAAATCACGTTATTTAGCGAAAGTTTAAAAACGTTATAAAATTTATCACATCCTTTTGATGTATTATGCTGATGTATGAGATCAAGTCAATCGAACTGAAAGTTTAAGCCTAGAGGGTATGATTTTCGACCCCTCTTAGATACCGTCCATCTAGGATTAATCAGCTGTTTATTAGGCATTAATTACATAATTAGTTTCTTTCGCCATATTGAGAAAGAGAGAGAATCTTGGGAAAAACATTCTCACCCCAATTCAAAATCCATTCCCCTTTTCGTCTCTCCCTTTTCTCTCTCTTTCATTTCCTCCTCTCTCTCTCTCTCTCTCTCTCTCTCGATCTCCCTCTTCCCCTGCTTGTCGCCGTCGCATTTTCCCCGCCATGATTCATGTTTTTCGGTCGTTGAAGCACCAAAAAGATTATCTCCCTCCGGCTCCATCCCCTATCCTCTGCCGTGGGCTACGTTTCGGATGGTGGTTGTCGTTGTTCTCCGAGCAACACCAGGCTTGCCGCTGCGACTCTCCATCTCCTTCCACCAACTTGACACTGTGAAGATCGACGGTGAAGACGACGACCCTCCTCACCTTCCCGGCGAAGACGACTGCCCTCCTCCCCTTCCCGGCGGCGAAGAATTTAAGGTAGCTCTTTTTCCCCCACTATCTCTCTCCCGCAAACCCAAATCTGAGTTTTTCGTGTGGTATTTGTACTAGTGCAATGGTATTTTCATTACCCATATTTGTGTCTTTGATTTTCCAGATCTGGATTTTTTTCATGTGGTATTAGTACCAGTGTATTGGTATTGATACTAGTGTAATGTTACCACGACAATGGTAATTCTACCAGTGTTTGAGTTTCTGTTGAATGTTTTCAGTGGTAAGTTTTTTTTTTATTCTAGTGGTATTTGTACTAATGCAGTGATATGTCTTACCAATACAGTGGTATTTTTTGCAGGTGATTGGAGGAAGTCAGTGCAAAGATGTACTGATAATTTTACCATTGTAGTGATAGTTGTCTTACTTATCGAACTCGTACTTCTATCACTGCATTGATAGTGCTGATTATTGTCTGTAGGAATTGCCAGGATGAAGAGACCATATTCCTGAGTGCCTAGGGGGAAGAGTCATGTAAACTATGTTCCTCGCCATGTAGAAGTTAGGGTAGGTCAGGAACATTCCTCGAGTGCGAGTACCAGCTGAAGCGACGCCGTGAAAGCCGGGATACTGGACAACAAGATAGAGGGAAAAGGAAACGTACTGATGATGTTAGTGGCAAGAAGTGCAGCCCCAACTCGAAAATTCAAATTCTGTTTTTCCGTCACATTACCCAAGTGACCCAATCGTCCTTCTGGACCTGATTTATCGTTGTTTAGACTTCCCAGTACCCACAAACAATTTCTTAGTGACTTCATGTTTATTTGTTACATTGGCTGGATATTTTATAGTTGTTACTAGTGGGAAGTTGATGGTTTGTTTACGCATCAGTTCTGTGGTACATGTATCAGTCAGGGGCGGAGCCAAGGGGTATTGGGGTGTCCCAGGACACCCCTAATTTTTGGGATAACGATTATCCAACCCCCGATAGTAGTTTTCATGTGGATAAAAAATATAAGTGGTAGACTAGGTGATTTAAATTAGGATACTAAGATTATTAGTAAACATGTTTTTCATTAGACCACAATTCATTTGTTATTGTATTTTAAACACTAGTTTAATAGTAAAAATGATATTCCTTCTCCCAATTATTTTGAAAATCTAACAATTGAACCTGATTACGAGTTATCCTTATTCCCTCCATTCTATCATATCCATTGGTTTACTTGCTTCTCAAAGTAATTGATTTTACCGATTGCAACTGCAGGTGTTGAAATAACATATTTAGTTTTGGGAAACTTTAAGAAGTTTCGAAATTGATTAAATGATCAGTTTGTGAATGATTGTATAGTAAGATGGAGATATTTGTTGAGCCGTCCAGACACTAAGTATATTTTGTAACACGTCGTAGACTTTTGTTGTAACTTGTATTAGTTAGATATTTTTTAATTTAAAATTATTTAATTTTTGAAAGAGGACACCCTATATAAATTTCCTGGCTCCGCCATGGGTATCAGTGCAATGGTATGTGTATAAGTTCACTTTTATATCTATAAGTACAGTGATACATGTACCATCTCAATGGTACCACTCCAAAGTATATTTAACATTGCAATGGGAACATTTAGTATGATTTTCGATTTTGCTAATGGTACAAGTATAAAATATCCAACATTGCAAGTGGATGGTCACATTTTGGTGTGGACTTGAATAGTTGCACTGATACTTGTATCAGATCAGTGGTACATACACCACTTTAGTGATACATGTATCAGTTCAATGGTATATGTACTAGAACAGTGGTACATTTTAACGACAATGTCGCCCTCCATGTTCTTCTTCATCCTCGACGAGTTCTCCCTCGGTGGCCAACAATGCATCCGGCGGTCGGAAGGCGAGTCTGACCCCATCTTCAAATGTCATTCGATGTCACCACAGGAGCCGTCGTTCTTGGCAATGCTCAGAACCGCCGCACGGAATCTCGGATTCGTCTTCCCTCCCGGTGTGGCCTTCATTGGCTTGATCTTCGAAGATATCCCTTGCATCTCATCATCCGACGGCGAGCAACCCACCAAGCAGGTCGGAGGCGATCCCACCGTGACAATGCCCGATGGTTTCCCACAGCCGTCGAGTTTTGCAGAGTAGAGAGCCGGGCTTCTAATTTTTCGAGAGGAAAGAAGGGTAATATGGGAGTTCAATTTATTTCCCTTATCCAACGTGATTTACTCATTCCCCATAAAAACGTAATTAATATTGGAACTTGTCCCATTTACAAAATTCTGGAGAAAAAATATAAAAAATCTCTTGCATTAATTCTTGCTCACAATGAGGTCACAAAGCGACCCTCATAGGAAGCAGCTTCTTTTCCTTCTCAAGACGTATCATAACCTCGCAAGGTCTCCTAGAATTATTTTTCTAATCATGGTTAGAGAATACTTGGAGATTCTAAAAATCCTCAAAAGAAACCTTGACTCGCTTGGTCAAACATTTAACCTGACACCCCTTTTTCCTTTCCTTGTAAAACAAAAACCTTGAAAAAAAAAACACAGATCGTCACTCCAGTATTCCTTTGATACCAAGGAACAAAGAAGTGCCGCCTTTGATACCAAAATGAAACGTTCTGATACTTTTACCCAACCGAAATACACATGGCTTCAGAGCCGATTATAAATAATACTCAAAATCTCACTAAAACAAATACAACCGAATCCGAATCCTTTTAAAACGAAACATCAAATGCAATGCCGTAAACATGTGGGCGACCTCAGACCGCAGTCAATAAAACTTAATCTTTGAACCTTGAACCTCCAATATATTTTCATAACCATAAACATAACTAACTAAATAAACTCCAACTCTAACTCCTTGCTAAGATCCCTGAGATCTTGTCCACGCTGGTGCGGCTTCTCGAAATTCACCTTTGCTAACCCTTCCTCAACCCGGTGAGTGAGAAGGGGTCAGTCTCGTCGTTACTTCCTAAAGTCTTTACCCTAAGCAATCTCCTTACTAAAACCCGTTATTAGCGTTTTCTTTCCTTAGATGATAGTCGTTCTCAGTTTCACCTTCAATAACTTATCCCAATGTTAAATCATAGAAGTTCTCTACTTCTATCCTTAACTCATAGAAGTTCTCTACTTCTATTCTTACCACATACACATGTCACTAGGGTCCATCGCGTTACGTCTCGCCGTCCGATGTCCCTACCCTGGTATGCCAATCGTGTTACGTCTTGTCGTCCAGAGGCATACCCAACTCGGATATGGTATGTGTTATGTCTTGCCGTCCATTACCATGTCTGATCACCTGCTGCGTTACGTATCGTCGTCCAGCAGTGACCCGACCATCTACCGCGTTCAGTAGTGGCCCAACCGCTAGGGGGTTCAATTACCAATAACCATACATTACAACATACATTCATTCATACTTAGCACAACACGTGCCTCCATCTTAAGTAGGCAGTGGTATGCCTCACACACATGATCGCGCAAACTCAAAAATTAACTAGCATTACTTAAAGTAATTCCATAAACTAAAAGACCTCGACAAAGATTTTAACCCCTTTACACTCACCTCAAAAAGACGACTTTGATTCCGCTCTAAAAATTCCATGACTAGATCCCATTAAATTCTCCTCGCTTCCACGATTTCATAGGTGCCGACGGTTCCTCGGTCGGACGTCAAACGAACAAGTTATAACCAAAATAAGAATTCTGTCAGATTCCCAAGTATCAGGTACCAAACCCGAAATTTTCCAAGTCAGCACCATTGACCCTGACCCTTCTTGAAAATAATATATTCAGTCTTCTATTTTTTTTTATGAATCTTCTACTTTTTTTAATTATCAAGAATGGTACCTGAACTTGACAAATTTTCCTCCAAACTTCCGCGGCTTGGTTCTCCCGCATCCGATGTCGGAATTCGATTTCGTTGACATGGTGACGATCCTAGGATTGCCCTCTATGAAACCGTACCCACCATTCAAAGTTTGGTTGAAATTCTTTTTTCCCCATATTCCAGCAACTCTCCTACGAAGCTACGACGACCCATCAAACAACCACCAACTTGGATTCCAACTCCGTGGGATGTTTTCTGACCTTCTCCTGGCCAAAACCCAGCGCTTGGACTCCTCCTTTTCCTTCTTCTCTTCACTCCACTTCTTTTCCGTCGAGGAACAACATCGAGAACACAGTGACGGCATTGGAGGACCGGCGGAGGAAAAATGAGGGGGGGGGGGGGGGAGGAAGATGGGTCGGCCACTCCTTCTTTTCCCTCTTCCTTTTTTCGTCCTCTGCTCGATCAGAGAAATCAGGGAAGATTTTTGGTGCCAAAGTTCGGCCAGAAGAAACTGCTTGTTTTCATACAGAAGCAACACGGGCACAGGACACAGCCGCGTTCTTGCCCGTGTTCTCCCCAATCGTCATCCCTGTTCCAATTGTCTTTAGCGACACAGCCACGCCACACGGGCGTGTTCAGGTCGTGTTAAGCTACGTTGCTGGTCCCCACTGAAACGGCTTATCCAATTAATCACGATAATAAAACGATCATTTAAGTGAACACGGCCGTGTTTAGACTCGTGTTCCGTCCTATACTGCTTCATGTCCAGCATCGTCAAAATGACTCGCTTCTGCGAACACGTTCGAGCAACACGGCCGTGTTGCGGCCCGTGTTCTAGCATGTTCCTCTTTTTTCAAAGCTTTAATTATTTCCATTCGCCTTCCAACTTCTAGGTCGAACCTTAGTCGAACTAAATAAAAAAAAATGGGGTGTTACATGCAATCGATTGACAACATCCCCACAGGGGTGGTAGAAAACTCATCACCAACTTGACTGGGTCAAACTATACTGGCTAGTGTCTAGGGCATGGGAATGAGATTTTCAGGTAGTGGTAGCAATCCAAGAATTATCTGTTAATGTCGTTTTTATCAATTTTATGCACCAGAGTGTAGGAGGTGCAATTTCGAGCAACTTATATAATTTGTGGCAGCTCTCTTGTTGTTTTTTTCTTTTCAATTTTTTTTCCTTTTCCAAGTACTTTGAGAGCCAACAAACTTGCCACAATTTCTCCATGTTAAGAACATACTACTCATCCTTGATGTACTAACTCCTTTACTCACTTCCATTTTCAGCATAATCATGTAAAAATCAACCATGTGGAACCTTAAAAATACACAAGCGGACCTCGACATACACAAAGAAGGGACTCATGTCTCAAGGGGTTGACTAAGGGATATTATGATCAGGACAATCAATCTTTTTGGTGCAATAAGGTAATCATATGCCTCCATCTTACTCATTAGTGGTAACATGAATGCTACATATCATGGTAAGAGGGAACTAATCACAGAGAAAAAAACGATCAAGCTCAAATCTCACATGGCTACATATATTCTCTTATCTCTTATTCTAATTCTGTAACTAGATGCATAGGAAACTGTAAGTGGTGAGTAATAGATCCATGTCACAACTTGGCTCACAAAAACAGTAGGAAAACTGAACCCTACACAAACCTACTGCATATCTCAGTAATCAGTGTGGTGGTCTTAGTCGCAAACGAGCTACTCATGCATTAAAACTAACCGCCATAAGATTCACACAACCACATGTGCCAATATGATCATACAAATATGTACTTGGAGCCCTCAAATTTTTAAATTTGGACAATGCACTAGGCTCGAAGACAAGCAAAACACATCATTTATCACGCCCAAATACAATGAAACACTCCCACACTTAAGCACGACATTGTCCTCAATGAAAAAAAGTAAGGAGGGTAGAACAAAGTTACCAGATCGGGTGATGAACGATGGCAAGTGGGACAAGGGATGCGTTAGATGGAAGAGAGAGGTTGTGGAACCAAAAAAACCACACTAAAATTCACAAAAGTTGAGTTATTGACTTGAAAATTAAAAAACTAACTCAACCAAAGAGCAAAGAGAAAGAAAGTGCAAACCGACTAGCTGGATTGCCTCCCAACAAGTGCTTCTTTCACGTCTTTAGCTGGACGATTGCTCCTAAGTTTTGGTCCACCCAAAAACCTCTTTGAAGTTGAGAATCTTGTCGATGAAATAGAGACTCAAGTCACGAGCATGTAGTGTAGCAAATGGGTAGGCTTGTGTACTTTAGTCAGATCAAGAACTTCCTCTTTATTCCTTTCTTCCTCCTCCACAACTTCTCCTCTCACCTTTCTTTCTGATCTTCAAGCACAGATTGGAGAGCAAGTCTCCATGAAAGGTTCTTGATAAGATTAGCTTGCATATCCTCATCCATGTCCATCTCTTCAAAGCGAGAATGGGGAAGAGTGTGGTCACCAAAACAATTCATTCCTAATCATAATCGTCATGAGAGCTCTTAGTGACAACTTCTATATGCTCCACAGTGTCCTCGTGATATGCGGCTTCATCCTCATCTTCTTCCGGTATGGTATCAAAAAGGCGATCTTGAGAAAGTCTTGCACAAGCTTTCTGACTCGTCCCGAATACCACAATAAAACTCCCAGTTAAGACCCAAGTATGAACCTCAACTGGGTATAAAAAATCGCGAAAAGTTATGCGGAATAAAAAAAAATGCGACGATCGGATACCCGAACACAAAGATACGTTCGTTTGAAGTTTCCACCTAGGTTAGGATTTTCCAAAAAAAAGAAGACCAAAACCGCATGGTGGGGATGCGGTTTGCAACCAAAACGCATGGTGGTGGTGCACTTTGCAACAAAACTGCCACGACCCCATGCGGTTTGCAAAACCACCCCCTACCCGTGTGGTTTTCATTGAAAAACGCGCCACCGGGTGGCGGTTTTCGACTAAACCGCTGGTTCGGCTGGCGGTTTTTGGAAAATAGTGCTATTTTTGGAATTTTTCCTGGTTGGGTGCTATTTTTGGTGGGGGGGGGGAATTAAACAGTGCTATTTCTGGAAAAAATCTCTCTTTCCCGCTAACAACATAGTTCGCTTTTGTATGCCACGTACCATTGCCTAATTCACTTTGGAGTCAAGCGAATCACTACAACTCTATTATTTTGGGAAACATTAGTGTAAGTATGGTATTTTGAAAATTTGTATTAGTAAGTAGGGGTGGGCAATGGGCGGGTTGGGTGGATTTTGGTTTAAAATTGACACACCCGCTTACTAGCGGGTTGGAATATATGTGACCCGCAATCCACCCACATACTTATGTGGGTTGGATTGGGTGGGTGGAGGATGGGTGCGGTTGGGTCGCGGATTAACCCGCAAAAACAATTCTCCAACTAGCCATTAAGAAAATTGACTAACATTTATAATAAGTTCATAGCACATTAGTAAGATTGTATCAATAATTTGTGATTTTGATACAATTAATAATTTATAGTTTGTATCCTAGTATTTAATGGATATTAACAATAATTTTCATACCAATATTCATTGTCAATGGATATTGCACAACACAGTAACCAATAATAGTAGTCAAAACTATTCTTTATTCTCCACCTTTTGCAGTATATGGTCAGACTATAGTGCAGTTCTAAAATATGATGAATATTCGATACTATAAGAAACAACATTTTTCCATGTAAAAATAGGATGCGGGTCATACGGGTGACCCGCAATCCACTTACCATCCACCCACATAAGTGCGGGTGGGAGATTTAACAATCCGCAATCCACCCACATCAATCACCCATTGCATGCGGGTCGGGTTATTTGCGGGTGGGTCGATATCAATCCGCGGATTAACCACCCACGTGCCCACCCCTATTAGTAAGTGTGGTATGTTTATATCGGTTGCCCGGTTTAATTGGGTTTGGTCATTAAATTTTTTATTAATATTTTAAGTGACATGACGTGTTGATTGGACGAAACTAACAATTTTTTGGATGGAGATGGACGGAACGACCATTTCGTTACCCTCTCAAACTTACGTTACCGAAACGTACAAAATGAAATATTTATGATTGTTTCGTACAAAGTGAATAGGTTTATAAGCTTTTATGCTAATTACCCGTGGTATGTTGGAAATAAATCGTCTATTAATTGACAAAAGTAACCTTGGAGCTCGCAATAATTTACCAAGAATAACCGTTGCTTCACCTCTTTTGTGGTGTCTGTAGTTCATACAGAGGCGGTAATTGGTTTAACAGCACTCTCCCTTCGTTTCACGCTGCCATCTGCTACCTCTTCGCCCGCTCTCTGCACCGCTGTCGCCTTCACCTCAGTTCGGCTTTTCCTCTCCGGTGGTCGGCGGTCGGTTTCGTACCCCAAACTGCCACAGTTTAACAACGACTCAGTAGTCAGCACCAGCTCTTTTCTTCCCGTCGGCCACCGCCTTTGCCGCCAGAACTATCCGCTTAGTCAGCTAGTTTCTCAAATATTTCTCGCAATGATGAATCAGTTACGGAAGCTGTTCCTCCACGATAGCTGTGAGTTCTTATTTCTGCCTGATAGAATTCAACCGCCATAGCCATTTTCTCTCTTCGCTTAAATTGAAGTGATGTTAATTTGCAGACTACGCCAAGTACTTCGTCGCGAGGCAAGAATCCTACAGGCGGCTAGCCGACCACGTTCTGCGGCGATGGCAATCGCGAACCTCCGGGGATACTTTCCAAGAATCAGACCCTACGAGAAGAGAAGCAACGGAATCCCCTCAGGTTTCCTCCAGGCCCATGCGCACCAAATCTACCGCTAGCAGTGAAAACGACGCAGGCTCCAATAAATGGAAGCTGGAGCCTGTTTGGTTCACGAAAACCCTTGAACCAGCCTTGCAATTCTGCAGGTGGGCGCTACCTGGAGGTTGGTAAAGTTGTGACCTTTTGAAAGCTCTTGTGCATTTTTTCTCTAAGCTAGGTTTGGGTGTTGAATTGGATGTTGTTCTGATTGCAAACTGACAGGGAGTGGGATTGGAAACAAAGTCCCTCCAAGTGGTCGATCTATTTCAGAAGTAATTTCTAGCATTCAGAGGAGTAAGATTGGGATTGAGGATTGGACCTTGAGTGATTTTACGATTGGCTTGTATCTTCTATATCTTCGTCAGGGTTCTTTGAATGCGTTTGAGGATGTTAAGGGGATTCAAGTCTCTTCTGAAGCAATAGTAAAGCCTAAATCTTGTATTCCTACAATGTTTTTGTCTGAATTTGATATTTGGAAAGTAATATTTGTCCCTTGCTAATTTAGGTTCATATCTTCTCATTGCTCAGATTGAAGATCTAATATATCACCTTGAGTTGGCAAAAGGCTGTTATAAGGGTGATGTTTCTGGTCTTGTCCGGCACAGCATGCTCCGGGAGAAAAATATTCTCAAATATGTGAAAGATTCTAGTGTGATGAGGCCTGGATACTACATTGGCATTGATCCACGCAAGAAGCTTGTCATTTTGGGAATTCGTGGTACTAATACAGTATATGATCTCATCACGGATGTTGTTTCGTCAAGTGATGATGACGTCACTATTGAGGGTTATTCAACCCATTTTGGCACTGCTGAAGCTGCTCGTTGGTTTCTTAAACATGAGATGAAAACCATAAGGAAGTACTTGGAGACTCATGATGTGTGTAGTTCACTTGTTTATTTTCCATGCAGATTTTTCCATGCCTTTCCGATGCAAGTTTTCTTTTTTATTGAAACTGAATCATCTACAGGGATATAGGTTTAGGGTAGTGGGTCATTCTCTTGGAGGTGCCATTGCTTCTTTGCTGGCAATCATGCTCCGCAGATGTTCGCATGAAGAACTTGGATTTTCTCCTGAGCTTGTTTCTGCTGTTGGGTATGCTACCCCACCATGTGTCTCCAGCAAACTTGCTGAAAGTTGTTCAGATTTCGTTTCTAATGTTGTAATGCAGGTAAGCTGATAGCGGTTGATCTTTAACCCATGTTAGTCAAAAGAAATCTTCTGCCTTGTCCATTGGTTTCAGACAAATGTCTAAATTTATTTTGAATAGTACCTGTTGTCTCCGGTTTCCTTGTAGTGTAGTCTTTTATTATTTAAATTTCACATGTTTGCAGGATGATATCGTACCTAGGTTAAGTGCAGCTTCTTTGACACGATTGCGGAATGAAATTCTTCAAACTGATTGGTAAATTCCTGTTGCAGATGCCGCATTTTCGTGTTTCATAGAACACACTGAAGCGAAATATGCAAGTCTAGGCTGAGAAGTTATGGAAATTCCATAGAAATGGAAATCAGTTGATCTGAAATTTATGTTACCCACTTCACATTGGGACTATATAAGCTTGTCTACATGTAGCTCGTAACTTAGGTGTGTTTAGTTACACTTCCTATTTTATGTTCAAAAGGTGGTTGGGGTTATTAGACAGTTGGGTTTTTGTTTCATGGTGTGTGACCTTCATTGACTACTAGAAGAGTAATGTGCTAGCTATATTTAGGAATTTGAAATACAGAGTGCATACTGACTGTCTTGTAGCTTCTATCAATGAGACAATCTGCATTGTGTACAGGACCAGTGTAATTGAGAAAGAAGACTGGAAAAGCGTTATAGGTATGGTCACCAATGCAAAGCAAGTTGTGTCTTCAGTTCAAGATGTGGCTAGCAAGCTGGCTGACTTTGCTAAGTTTTGGGGTAAGAGTTCTCCTGGTAAGTGAGTGCTTCGCTTTTTGGCTTTCTTGCCGAAATCTGCATGTTCGAGATAGAAACTCTACTGTTGTCGTCTTCTTTTCTGTTTAGTTTTTTCACCCTGTTCTGTAGAAGGGTATAGGATATTTCTGCTGCATAAGATAGACATGTCGGTTGAGCATTTGGACATAAGATTTATGTTTTTCTTTTGGATTAGGGTTGTAGTAAACAGAAAAGTACACTTAAATTGAGAAAACTGAAGGAACAGTAAAAACTGAACAAATTTTGGGATGGTGCCAGCCATGCATTCTGTGAGCTTCATTTATTTTCATTTCATATCCTTTCAATTCATCACTATAACTTAAGAAAAACATAACACATTTATAGATTAAAAAATAAACTTAGATTATGCTAACAAAAAGCCAAATATGGAAAAGCTGTCAAGAATACACAGCTTCACTTTTGCTCCTACTACAAGCAGCAGAGTCAATGGCGTTGAGCTGCCACCTCAGCTGTGGTCCTTCAGTCTTGCTTTTACCTTTATCCAGCTCAATGCAAGTCGTTCTCTTTCCCTTTCTTCAAGCTGCAGCTGATTTAGCCTCTTTGCTTCAGCTGCTAGCTGTGGCTCTTTGACAATGCAAGCATGTGCTTGACTTGGGTGCATTGATCCCAGCTGAGATTGCATTGCAACAAGGGTGAAGATTAAAAGCCTATGATCGAAACAATGATTTTCATCTTTATGTTAATGTGATATGCTATCCTGGATGACGGGTTTGGGAACTCGGGGTTTTCCCATAAGTAGTAGGATGATGTCTCTGAAATCTTCAATTTGTCTAGAAAAATTTCTGCTGCCAGGGAGCGTATGATTAGGCCTGTAAACAACTTTCAGCTGACTGACTACAATAGATGTCTGGTCCATATGGGTGAGCGCCTAGGTCCCTTCCGCTAGTACTGGTTGTTGAGTGCATGGCAGAAAATAGAGGTAGATACTAGGATATGCACCATGTCATATGATGGGTACTGGACTGCTGCTGTCTGTATGAGAACATTATCCACTTAAACTTCGTGCAATGTCTTCTTTTTGTTCTGCAAGGCTGATTTTTGGTACCTTTGGCAGATTCTCCTACCAGGAAGGCACCTCGTGTTGCTTTGACCTCCAAAGCTGCCACAGAGAACGCTGATATCAACGAAAAGGAAGGACACACAAATATCGTGCCAGAGGAGTTGTTCGTGCCAGGGTCCGTGTACTATCTCAAACGGAACGTCGATCTCAGCAGCAGCAACAGCAGCAGGGGCTTGGAATATTTCACATTGCTGAAGAGGCAGCCAGGTGAGCATTTCCAGAAGATAATTTTGTCGAACAACATAATTTCAGACCACAAATGCGACAGCCATCAGTACGCTCTGCGGGACGTACTCAAAGGCTTGCCTGGTGCTCGGGATGAAGTCATTTTCAGATGACGAAGTAGCCATTACCTATCACTGCCACCCCTTGTTAGCTGGGCAGTAAATTTTGCAACCTTAATAATGTACAGTTAATTTCTTGTTTCTACTTCATGTTCAATAATCATGCATTTGTAAAAGGCAAAGGGGGGTTATGCACTGTAATAATCAGTTCCTTTTTTTCTGTCAGTTTATTGGATCTTAAGTTCTTAATCCTCCAAATGTCTTCTCTCCTACCACCCCAACTCCGTTTACAATAGGTCGTGCTGTTTAGAAGAAAGGTTGGCACTTGAACTCCGTTTACAATAGGTGCAGAAGGCTTAAGGATCAAATGCCAAATATCGCCCGCCACGATTTGTTAGTACTGTTGCTTGTACCATTCTAGATTCTGCTCAAGTGCAAATATTTTGCGATTCAACCATGGTAAAACATAATTTTTTTTAAGCCTTCGATAATACATTCTCTCTATTAGAATTCTGAAGCTTATTTTTCACCTGAAAAGAAAATAAGAACTTTGATGACCGTCCGGGATCAATGGCGAACTTGAGGCAGCTGATTGAGAGATTTGTCAAACTGGGTGAGGAGGTGTAGTGCCATTCTCATCTCTTCTGGGCCGGCTTTGGCCCACAACAGTGAACCAGAGCAGCCGGGAAATCGACAAACCGTACCAGAGTTTTTTTTTTCTTTTTTCCTTCCACACTTGCAAATTACGGCACCTGTGGAAAAGTAGTTCACCCGAATTTTTAGAACTTAAACGCACTGTTGTGGGCAGCAATAGTCGGATCTCGTTTCCCCGTCTCGGAGTTCCGTTCCAATTCATTCCCCATCGGCCTATCAGGCGGCCACCAAGGAGAAGACGAAAGAAACCTCCTGTAAGCTTTGCTGTAATTCCTTTTCTATCTTTTTGTAGATCTAGATCGGCGCTCCTCCTGTAACCATCCGTCTCAATTGCGTAATTCCAATGTTTTCATTACGAATTTTCCGTCTCTTTGACGTCTCTCCCTTCAATTTCTGCCGATTTAGAAGCGGTCCCGGAAGCGAAGATAACTAGAGCAGAATACCCTTGTATAAATAGAGAGATAGAGTGGCGACGGTGTTTTGATTGTTCCAGCCATGAATTCCAGAAGGTTCGTTTCTTGCTCTCCTCTCCTGTGTTTGACACTGTCTTCTGTATGAATCTTCACGGCTTGTCTAGGGATCTGTTTGTTGTATTGGCGGCTCAGAGGTTTTTTTTCCTGTGTTTGTGGGTGTTACAATTTGTAGATTAGTAGTACCACGCCAATTCAGGGCCTGAGATATGTCGATTCCTCTACTTGGGGCATGATTTTCTCTCTGCGGATAATGTTCTGGGGCACTCTTTTGATCTGGAAAGCCCGTGTTTTAGTGGGGCAGAAGTTAATCGATTCTTCCTTTGATCATCTTTAATGAGTGATGATGCTAGAGATATGTTTAGGAGTTGCAGATTAGAAGTTGTGTCCAGGAGCTAAGCATTTCCCTCCTCGTTTTGATTATATGGTCACTAAATCATTCAATATCTGCTGAGGCGCAGAGAAGAAACACCTTGGGAATAAGTTTCCCTTTTTCTTTTTGTGGTTAATCATATGCCGTGCTTCAAATTGATAGGTGCACAATCACAGGATGAAAATGGATTCTTCTCGTGGTGGTTTGTTGTTCTTGGCCTGATGCATTCACATTCTTCACTCTAGTCCAGCTGTCCATTGAAGGCTTGCTATTAACATCATCTTCTATCTTTAACTTAATCCAGAAGTTGTAGAGCACAAAGCATTAGCGTGAATCTTCTGAAATAGAAAATAGTATGACGTGTTTGATTAACCTTCCACTGTGTCTCGCAATTTGCAAATGACGTAGTTTTCTAATGAGCTATTGGATAATATTATTTCTGAAAATACCGCCTAATTGTCTTCGAAAGCATCCTGTTGTGGGTAAAATGGCGCTGCAAATAGACTTGTGTTTGTTTTATTTCTGGGGATCTACCTGTTTTTTAGCTCAGCTTGATATAGGTGCTTTTTGTTTTAAATTGACAATGAACCTGCAAATGTAGTTCGTGCAAGAAGGGTACCCGAACATACTATACATACTGACGTCTTATAAGTTGTCTTTTCCTGAAGCTACTATCGGTTTAGGTGTATCACTCAACATAGAGCAAATGTGTACTCCTTGCTGTGATGTATTATTCCATTTATTGACTCAAGTTATACCCTTATGCAGGGACATCCGGAACAACAGAACTGCACTTTTTGATGGAATTGAGGAGGGTGGTATCAGGGCTTCTGCTTCTTACTCCCATGAAATTGACGAGCAAGATAATGAAAGTGCTCTTGAAGGTTTGCAAGACAGAGTCAGTCTCCTGAAGCGGGTTAGTAATATTGCTCAGCCAGTAAACTCCGATGATTATGCGTTTCTTAACCTATAGCAGTCTGATTGACGATGTATAATTTTGATGTTCATTTTGCCTGAATTGAATTGAGCCATTAATTTCTTCTGACCCGCCCGCAATAAATTCTCATTCCATGGGCTTCTCAGCTTTTGACTTTCACAGTCCCATGATTTGATTTTTGAATGAGCAAGAGTAGTTCTTGTTGGATGGCAAACGGAACACAGTCTTAAAATAGTTGGATCACAACCCAGAAGTTGGAAGTTGAGTTGAAGTTGTAGACTGCTTGATCAATGGCATGAAGACAGTAGTCTACCTGAAAGCTGAAATTACTTGTTTTTAATGTATTCTGTTCTTTTTTTTTTTTTTGGAAAATTGGCGGCATCCTAAAAAAATGTTTTGACATTGGTAGCTATCTGGTGATATAAATGAAGAGGTGGAAGGCCACAACCGCATGCTAGACAGAATGGTAATCATCGTTCAGTTATAAAATTCTCATGGGATGGTCTATGTCCTCTATATTTGTGTTTATCCACGTAGTAACCTCCGATTGTGTGCATTCAGGGCAACGATATGGATTCATCCCGAGGAGTCCTATCAGGAACAATGGATCGTTTCAAGATGGTATGTGGACGCTTGATCACTTCTGCAATAACAGGGATTTCAGATTTGTTTTTGGTATTTCCTAACGTTTACCTGCTAGCAACAATTTGCTGATGATGGTGGTTTGATGTGGCTTAGGTGTTTGAAACAAAATCAAGCAGGAGAATGCTCACGCTAGTCGCATCATTTGTGGCAGTATTCCTCATTGTATACTATCTCACTAGGTGAACAAGATTGCAGAAGCCCTCAGCCTATTTTGTAATGTTGTTACAACATGCATATCCTTCCAGACTGCTTTATAGTTTTCAGCTTGCAATACATAAACGAATTCGTGGACGCTGGTTGGCCGTAAAAAGTTTGTTTGCCTCTCGATGTGAGGCGTGTTTATGTTAAATCATCCATCGTGTAAAAAGTTTGTTTGAAAGGGACATATTGTTTTTCTAATTGAAGTCATCTTAGCAGGTGGGGATGTCTAGGGGTGTTAAATTGGTATGGTAACCGTTTTAGCCGGCAGTATTTGGTTAATTGAGATAATTAGTTTGATTTGGTTAAAAGTGTGCACACACCTCTCCTCGGATATCACGAAGATATACATGACCAATGAGACCGAAAGAACTAGGAGAGAGAATGTATATGCATTAAACAATGAATCAACCAATGGTAAATTGAATCTACAAATGGTAAAACTGTTAGAGTTAGTCAATTGAGTTGTAATTGTTAGAGTTAGTCAATTGAGTTGTAATACTAGATGCGAGAAGTAAAGTATAACAATTGAGTCTTATGATAGTTTAATTAATTAATTAAATTTCATACCTCTCGTTACCAACTCTTTACCATATTATACCACCCTGGTACGTGGTGGTATTTTTTTCTACCATATGGTATGCTCTTATTTAATACAAGTCAATACCATATAGTATAGACTGGTAATAACTAGCTCAATTTTTTTTTTGTTCAAAAAAATATCAAAGTGGATATTATTTTGAAGAGCACAATTAATCTGATCTAACTGTGCAAAAAGATTTAAATTCCGACTTAGAATGAGTGAGAAATCGTCCGTTAAAAATTAAAAGAGGGAAACTTAAAGGCTTTTCCAGGAGAGAAAAGACACGCTGATATGGCGGGATCTGACTGGGTAATGCATTGGGTTATTGCATTGACCAGGTTAAATGCACCGGATGCCACTTAATTGCGTCATATGTTGCACACTTACCATTTAATCCGTTTTTGTTTCAACTAATGCATACTAATCACGTTATGGTTGCATCGTAAACATTTCCGTCCAAACAGCTAAAGGCAAGTACTCAAATTATAATTTTCCATGACACGTTGTCATTCCATGTCAGCATAGGTGCTGAGTCACGCCACACGAAAGCCAGGGATACCTCTTTCTCCTGCTATTCCTTATCGTCTTAAATTCCCAACAACACTCTTCTTCCTCATTTTGATCCAATAAAAGGTATCTCTTCCCAAAGCTTTTCTCAACTCTTCTCTTCTCTAACCTAAATTCCTTCCTCTTCTGTTCAATCTCCTTCTCTTCTACTGGTTTCGGCTCCCTCCCCCAAGTTCGAAATGGTGGCAACATGTCCAATGTGTCGGTGCGCTATTCTGGCGGTTCTCCGGACCTCGTGGACTGATTCCAATCCTGGAAAGACGGTTCTTTAGTTGTGCCAACTATGGGGTACGATTCTCTAACCTAATTTCCCTGCTCTTCAATTTGGCCTTCACGACACATTTCCAAACATTGTCACTAATTTGTAATCTCTACTTCCTTCATCTCTTTTTTTTATTTGTAGCGACCAAATGCATGTAATTATTTTCGTTGTATCGACCCACCACTTGAAGATCATATTAAGCGTCTTGTTCTTGGCCTACACAAGAGGATCAGAGAGGAGGATGAATCACAACCCATTTGTGAATGAAATCGTCAAATGCTTTTTTATTGCTATTGGAGTTCTATTGGCAAGGAGTGTGATGTCTTGCCTGTTTGGGAGCATGTAATGAAGTGGGAATCTGTTTGTGAACGTGTAATGAAATGGGCACATGTATGGTTAGTTCCATAATGGAACACGTAATGAAGTGGGAACCTGAAAATGTGCATGTTGTTTAAGTTCAACTGTCTATCTTCATTACTAATCATGTTGTTGGAACCCTAGAAATATGAAATCTGATTAACAAACAAAGTAAGCCTGCAATTTGTTCATTAACAAACAGGAGAAGCCTGGAAATATGGAAGGTGTTTACATGAACCAGCTGAAAATGATGCAAGTTGCTGTAACACAAACCCAAAAGCCATCTTTGTTTTCATCTAAGTTGCTGGAACACAAACCAGATTTTGAGCCAGCTCAAAATAATCTAAGTTGCTGGAACAAAACCCACCAAAAACCAGCTCAAAATCAGCTAAGTTGCTTGAACAAAAACCACCCAAAAGCGAGTTCAAAATGATCTAAGTTGCTGGAAAGACAAACCAGCCAAAAGCCATATGTGTTTCATCTAAGTTGCTGGAAAGATAAAGAACAATACTATTCATTTCAGTCATGTTGCCTCCAAACTATCTTAACCATCTCATAGTGATCTTCCCTTTCTCTTGTTACTCTTTTCCTCCATTTGGTTCATCACGACATGCTCTGTGTACAATAGGAAGTTTGCTTGGCCTCCCTTCACCTTGTGCAGAGAATGATAGAGAAGCTGAACTCAAGCTTTGGTTACCTTCTTGGGAAGGAAAAGACCTTGTTTCAGCTTGACTTAATGGATTCAATGGACGAGTTCGTGTGCTCCTCTGTTCAGCAGCAAATGGTCAGAGTCCTAACAATTTACAAATAACTTAATAATTTGATTTATACAATAAGCAACATACATCAGTCATCCACTGTAGAACAACACCACTTGATCCCATAGGATTTGTGTTCCCCTACATATCAAGAACATAAGCATGAGAACTAAATCCAAAGAAAAACAAGTTCTAACTCACAAAACTAACCTCTATTGACGATCTTCGAGTAGCTGAGCTTTCCCCCTTCATCTTTTTTTTTTCCTATGGAAAGACTTACACTCACTACACTTGATAGTCCCCCCCCCCCCCCCCCCCCCCCTCTTGCTCATTCTCCCATTTCCATCTCTAAACTTTCATTTTCTTTTATCATTCCCTACTGTCTCCTCAAATCCCTTTCTCCTTTTGGTTTGACGCCTTCCTTTCTTTGTTTCTTCTACAATCAACGGCGGTGGCAACACAGGCTGCCTCCCACTTGCCAGCCAAGATTCTGGCCCAACCATTGGTTCCACCTCACCAGAGTAAGCTGCAAGGTAAGATCCAACCTCATAACACTTGTTCACGTAGTTCTCAACCTTTTTGGATAGTTGCCATATGCAGCGTATGGCATGAGGATATGACAAACCTGTTAATTCCACCTCGTACAAGTGCATTTGGACTTGCTCACATCCACCACAACCTGACCTTCAGGACACGAAACCTTTCATGGCTAAATTTTGCAAGCGTTGTTAATTAATAATGCTAATTTATTTACATATGTAAAATCTAGACAAAACAATAATGTAAGAAACACCAGCTTATGGGAGATGGGAATTGGGCTTAATAATAGATGATATTAAAACATTGGTGCGTCCAATTGGATGAAATTTTTCCTCCTTAGAATTTCATTTTGGTAGGGACAAATTGTAGAGGGAAAGCAAAATGAGAAGAACGAAAAGTGGCGAGGGAAAAAATTGGAAAAGTGAAACGTTGGGATGAAAATATCAAAATAAGGGGGGAAATTTTTCCACCTAAATGAAAATATGGTGGGAGAAATAGCAAGTAAGATTATGTTTACCACCCAAATGTGAACTAATATGCATTTAAGATAGGATAACTTATTACATGTTCTCAAATCTACTATATCAAATTAGTCAAGCCCTGTAAGACTATAGTAAGTTTTGCTATAGACAATATTTTAGTCACTAAATGTTAGACTCCTAAATCATCATATGTAAACATTTTGATAATTAATTAAACTACTAAACCATCATATGCATAAAAAAAATCCATAAATAAAAACACCAAAATTTCTCACCTCTTTCTCTTCCTATAAATCACCAAAACTACCCCTTATTTATTTTCCCAAAACTTGAATCACCAAATATCCCTCTTTTTTTTCTCCAAAAAGTTTAAAACACCAAAATTTTCCACTTCTTTCTCTTCCTATAAATCAAAGCATCATTCCCATTCTTTCTTCTCCCAAAAATTTAAGCACTAAATTTCCCACTGCGTTTTATTCCCAAAAAGTTGGAAACAAAAACTTTACATTCTTTCTTTTATGAAAAATGCATAATTTTTCAACTCAATTTCACTTTTTGAACTTTCCTTAATAAAATGAAAAATAGTTTTACTTAGACTTACAAGAAACAAACTTCATTTTGAAACTATATAATATATAATATAGTAATTATTCGGGTTAGTCGGGTTTGTGTCAATCGCGTTATGGGTTTAATCGGGTTGCGGTCAATCGGGTTCGGGTTAATCAAGTTGCGGGCTAGTCGGGTTACGGGTTAATCAGGTCAATCAAGTTGCGGATTATCGAATTATAGTCAATTCGGATTGCGGACGGGTTGTGGGTCGGGTTAGTCAGGCGGGTTAATCGGCTCGGGTTCTGTTTTGACACCTCTAGTTAATTATGTGGTGTCGATTGTAGTGTCTACAAAATTTACCTAGCCCTAAGGCTAGGATCTTATTTCTGGGGCTTCGCAAAACCCTTACTTCATAAGCGAGGCACGGTTCTATTGAAGAAGAGGTCGGTTTAGGAGTTGAGGATCCGCCGGTTTTGCAGAACGTAGGATTTCGAAAAGTAAAGCAGGCGCAGAAAAGTAAATCTACGCTAGTCGAAAAGTGAGAGAGTAGAGAAGGAAAGCGTTGTTTCCTTGACATCCGGTCTTCAAATCCTTACTCCAACAACTTGGGCTGGATGTCCCTTACGGCTTCGAAGTGGCCCACTAGGCTGCTTTTCCATGAAAATGCACAAAATGCTACCAAAAGCGCATCAATCCTATAAAAGCAATCATGGGGTTGCTAGAATGCACTTGAAGAAATCATAGCAATAATTCAATGTATTATGACGATAGTGATGGAAATATGTATGCACTTTGAGTCACAATCCGGGGGTCCATAATAGATATTTTCACATGTCATCAAATAACCCAACACTTGATCTTTGCTTGTTCCTAAGAAAAACCTAGGCTCAACATCCTTCTCCTTACTAGGTCTTCACGATGACACACGACTTCCAATCTTAGGTAGTGGATCATAAGAAGCTTACAAGGTTAACCCTTGCACTTAGAAACCTTTGATCTTGGCAATGATGCTCAAAGGTACCTCTTAAGAGGGAAATGATTCGCTTTTCACAAGATGAAGTTCTTTTTTTTCTCGAGTCTTGTTTTATAAATATTAAGGTGAAGCCTATGAAGCTTTATTAGGAATTATTTGCATTTTTGCCCACTGAAGTCATTTTGACATTTTTCATATTAAGGTGATCTTGTCGTGCCACATTGCACTTTTTGTGCTTCTTTATATGCAGAAGGAGGTTTCCGCCTTGTACTTTTGTACTTAGCAAGCCTGATCAAGCAAAAGCACTTGCTCCTTTTCCTCGATCGTGCGGAGGGTCAATGAAGTCAAGGGGTGTCAGAAGCTTTATCTGCGCCATCGAAAATACATCCACAAATTGGCAATCCTATCATAGTGGTGAAAATTTTACTTGTACGATAGAGGAACTAGCATCATCTCATAGGCCTGCCCCACCAAGACTGAACTAGTATCTCTTCCAAAACCAATTGTTTTTCATGGGCAGGACGCCTCACACTTGGATTTTACCACACACTTTATTTGTGATAGCATCGCCTATTGAAGTAGACTATAAGTGGTAGGATATCGATTTTACAAAGATAAATATTGGCCCCATTTTTTCTTTAAATGCAGAAGACTCCTTCCTATGAGGAGGAGTTCGAGAACTCACAAGGAATGGTAGGAAGCACCACTCCATATATTTTTATTTCAAGATGGATCCAAGTTTCGTGACAAGGACATCCTTCACAACCCCTACACTAGCCTCCTTAGATCACATATTAACGCACAGACTAGCAATTCAAAGTATGACGAACTTTGTATTTTCTTAGGGTGTGTGACATTATTCGACATTTGAATTATATGCGCATATGCACACAAAAAATTCTTCCCTGGACACATAATACACAAGTGACTGGCTTTGGAGGATCATCTCGTCCTTCTCATAGAGCGCCTCACGGGCATGAGGCAAACCTTGAAAATTAGGATGGGAATTCCCAATTTGCTGAATTGAGGGTTAAATTTCCAAGGGATTCATAGTCAATCAGACCGCTCCAAACATGTGGCCAGCGAATCAGGGTGCTCCGAGATAACTTCCTGGCGAGGTGAACGACTCTCTAAAATTGGCATCATGGCTGCCTTTTATCTTCACTAAAACGGTGTCGTGGGCGCCTTTTTTCCTTTACGTCCGGTATTTGAATCCTTGCTTCAACAACTTGGCCTCGATGTCCCTTACGGATTTCAAGTGGCCCAATAGGCTGCTTTTCCTTGAAATTGCACAATACGCTACCAATAGCACATCAATCGTATATAAGCAATCCAAGGGTTTCCAGAATGCACTTGAAGTAAGCATATCAATCATTCAGTGTATTATGAAGATAATTATGGGAAAGGTATGTACTTTGAGTCACAATATATGGGTCTATAATAAATACTTTCACGTGTCATCATTATGGTCAATCTCTTGCTCCTGGTGTATGTTCGGATGTGGGTTTCTGTTTTGATTTCTCTAGCTGGGAAAGAAGGCTTGAAGTAGAAATACATGTTGTGGCATGAGGAGGTGCAATGGGAAAGATCTGTGGGTTTCTTGGGACATGGTTAATTAGGCATATTTGTTTGGAATAATGCAATAGGGTTTTGGAGGCTCTGCACAAAGCTGGGAGGTTATGAAGGTTATATGTAGTCAAGATCTGACTTATCTTGTCTTGGGAAAGCTTTTTCTAGCTAGTGATTTGGATCTAATGTTAAACTGAGTGTTGTTGGTAGTTAGTTGGAGAAGTTTGGATTTTTTTCACAATGGTTGTTGAACAACTAGTGGTAATTTGTTGGAGCAGAAGGGAATGTTGGATTGGTTGTTTTCAATGGCATATTTTGTTAAACATGTGGGATTGAAGAAAATGAAAATTACCTATAGAAAAAAAAATCTTTGAACCCATATCATCAAATCCTCATTCCTCCCCTGCTTGTCATTTGTATTACATATGTATGTCTAATAATACAAGGAGGAAATCTATAGTAAGATTTTTGACTCTTTGTATTTATTCTTTAACTAAAAATAAAAGATATATCTATTTCTATAAGGTACCTTCCCTACAATTTTTGAGATGTACAACTTCATCCAACCCACGAAACCATACAATACCAAAGAAAAGCAAAAACAAAAGTTACTTCACACAACAACCATGATAAGCATACTTCCAAACATTTCATCGTATCTTAATGATACTTTTCAAAATCCACATACAATCAATCATACTAGAATGTGTCGCATTAGGGATGTTGTTTGTTAGAAGAGTTTGATCAGTTGTTGAGAATAGAGTAGGCACTTTCCTTATTCTGACCATTATTAGACAATAAAGATTCAAGTCACAATCTTGAAAAATATATAGATATGTATAAGTGTTATGTAGAGTATCTTACCTAGTGGGATAGGGACGCATTCAACACATATTCATCGAAGCTAAGAGGGCTGCTAAATTTGCCATGTTCTGGACCACCCGCCAAGTATACTTTCTCATGGTCGTTGCAACTCATACACATTCCTCGATACAATTGAGGGTTCCCTTCACATGTTATGGAGAAGAGTGCAGATCACGCCATTTACTATATTTTAGCCAGGAAAAGTACATAAGGAAGAAAGGTAATGAATGATTCACAGTACTGTAATCTGATTATTGCATATTGATATATATTGATTTCTCACAAAATTCTTTGTACAGTTTTTTAATTAGACTGTACTCTATGT